TATGGCCTGTTCTCTTGTTGATATATGCCTTTATGGCCTGTTCTCTTGTTGATATATGCAGGGAAACGAATTGCGTTTGGGCTGGACGAACGCTCTGCCCACAAGGTATGCTGCTGTGTTACAATAAGCCGTGAAAACGGCGTCAAACCTTGTATCCAGCTGTATGGTACATATGTACATGTAGCATAGAATATTTGTTTGTTTGATAACAAATGGATTATTCGAGTAGTGGACGTGACATACAATGTATGCATGATGTCATCATGTTATACGTACGAGTATATGGGTGCATGAACATGTCGCTTTTGCATTTGTTGTTATGTTGTGCAGAGTGCATCTGTCCAAGTCACTGGGTGCGATCTGACCGAAGACTTGCTGGTGAATCATTTTGGGGAATGCGGTGAGCTAATTGTACTGCACTGACGTACAGCACCCCTCCTGCTCCAGACCGTATCCTTTGCTGTGATTTGTCAGCTTGAGGTACCTGAGCAGACACTATCTTTTTGCTACAGATTGGCTGTTGTCATGTAGCCAGAATGCATGTGCAATGTGCATGTAGTTTCTAAGCTGTGCGGCAACAGCAAAGCAGAAGCCTGTCCTATCAGTAAGCCACAGACCTTTGTGTAGGTAAAATGTAGTGCTCAAAGGAGTACACTGAGTACTCGACTCGAATTCGAAAGGGGGCTCGATACTCGATAACATACACCTATAGTACAGGAATGTAGGCTGTCGTGACTTTACGTGTAGTACAAACTGACAAAATCAAGTGAGGAAGGTCTTTTTGACGAAGTCAGAGCTGTGATTCTGTTACTGGAAGTTTTTTTAGTTATGTAGATGCAAGTGAGAGAGAGAGAGAGAAAAAGAGTAGGGCTATGTCGGGTAGCATTTTCTTTGGGCATCGGGCTCGGGTAGTTTTCCACGGGTGGCACGGGTACCCGATCGGGTATTGTTTCCGTGGTAACACGACAATGCACCCCTTCTCTTCCACACTGGGCTGTCCCTGCGGGAATTAGCGGAAAAAACTATCAAAAACTTGCGCAAGAAATTGCGGCAGAAAACACAAAAAATGCGACGAAAAGTGCGGAATGATGCAGAATTTGCCAGGAATTCGCGGAATTATTTGCAGAAAAGTGCGGATTTGGGCCAAATCACGAAATTTGTTGCATCGTGTATCTACTCGGGAGTAGTACGAGTCGTGCCGTGCAAATAACCTACAGGATCATGGAAAGCACTGCGTGAAAAGTGCATAAAAATGTGAGATATGGTGCAGAAAACAACATAAAACGCGGGAAATCGCGGGTTTGGGCCAAAATCGCGAAATTTGTTGCATCCGTGGAATCGCGATTTCCTGGAGGGACAGACTGGGTAGACATGCTGAGTATTACATGAATTGGTACACGTGCACTGTACATGATGTCATCTGCGACTTCGGGTTTTCGGGTACTATTCTTTACCCGTCTACCCGAGGTCCTCACGGGTAACACGGGTACCCGACTACCCGTGCACACCACTAAAAAAGAGTCCGAGAGATGTCACTGACTTTGGGCGAAACTAAGAAATTGACCTACCCTGTACAATAAACACTTGTGCTTAATTTATACCTCATATTGTCGTGGTGAGAATGTGTACATATGAGTGACTAGGTTCCCAGTAGGCCCAGACAGATTCTGCTCCGCTCGCCTCGATATTTTGCCGCAAAATGTTGCTGCGAAATCTTCGATATTTTGCCGAGCCTGGCAGCAGAAACTCGATATTTTGCTCCATCTTGCTCCGGAAAAACGTGTATTTTATCCACTTTCCGCACAATCCCGTACAACGTTTCATAAAAATCGCAGGGTCGGTTTCTCAACACAGGTTTCCACGCACGTGTCCCTGAGTTCTTCTAAAATCATGTTGATCCACAGTGAATCCCAGTGATATTTCGGTGACATGATCTCGTCCTGGGCAGTGTGTCCTGCTGAACGAGTAAGAAACAAGGAAATCCAAGTATCAGGCATCGATTTTACCCATTATCTCGATATTTTGCTCCGATTTTGCCGGCAATTTCCGCTCTTTCAATTCTTCGATATTTTGCCGAAAGAATTGCCGGCAAGATCTGTCTGGGCCTAGTTCCCAGTGCTCGATACTCGACTAGATAGTGGCACTACTCGTTCGATAGCTTATAGAGTACTCATCTGAGCACTGGTAAAATGTTCCCAATTCTGTCTTAACTAGGGGTGAAACGGTTCCATGTTTTTCATGTTTGGGTACCCTAATGCCAGCATACTTTCCCACGGTTCGGGTATCGGTTCCATGCGCTCTTTTCTCCAGACAGACAAAATGCGTTCGTGACATTTATTTTTTAGAAAAACATTTTTATGAGCAAGAACGAGACATCGGAGAGTCCATGTGCGAAGAAGATAATGACCTAGAGAACTCTTTGGAAGAGCAGTTCGTTTCGAAATTTGACAGAACGGGTATCCGATTCTTTTCACCTGGCGGTTCCAAAACCGGTTCCTTACCCGAACCGTTTCACCCCCAGTCTTAACCACATGACAACGGCTTTCTCTTTCTATCCATCCATCTGCACATGAGAAAGAAGAGATCCAAGTGGATTTTGGCTGTAGCTCAGGGCGTCATGCTGACGCAATCAGCGGGGAAGCTCCGCACTCTGCATATTGGGCTTTTTTCCCTGCAGGTACCACAGCGTTTTGGGCATCCACCTACTGTATGACTACTATCTGTCCATACGTATCTCTCTCTCCACCCATCTCTCTATCTATCTAAGTACTGTATCGATCCATCTATCTGTGTGTGTGTGTGTGTGTGTGTGTGTGTGTGTGTGTGTGTGTGTGTGTGTGTGTGTGTGTGTGTGTGTGTGTGCATTTGTGTGTGTGCATTTGTGTGTGTGCATTTGTGTGTGTGCATTTGTGTGTGTGCATTTGTGTGTGTGCATTTGTGTGTGTGTGTGTGTGTGTGTGTTTATCTGTTAAGGTGAAATGGACCTCGTCAAAGTGGATGCGACGGGAAGGTATGTCCACATGTGGACCAGTATGTAATCTTCCGGCAACACTCTGTTAGACCTGTGCACTTGAAGGCATGCATGGCAAATTAGGGAGCTTTAGTCCCACGTAACGGATACGGGAACGTGGGTGATACACGTAAAGTACACACAGATTACGTGGACTAAACCTCCCTACTCTGTTAGACCTGTGCACTTGAAGGCATGCATGCCAAATTAGCCAGTGCAAGTAACATCTGCGCCTTGATCCTTGAAGGCTGGTGATGTTCCTACGGATGTGCAAAACTCGGCCTCTAACCGAGTCCCAAGCGAACCATTAAAAAACAATATTAGACTGATTCTGATTTTCAGTTTGTGGCGCTAAAGTCCTGTTGCTGTTGTTGTTGCAGGCGTGGTTTTGTTACTTTCCAAAATACTGAGAACGCTGCGAAGGCCGTTAGCACAGTAAGTGATTTATCAAAGCACACGCACACACACACACACACACACACACACACACACACACACACACACACACACACACACACACACACACATGTGCGCGCGCACGCACACACACACACACACACACTTGTACTTGTACTTGTTGCTCACTGCCAAAACTGGTCACGTGGGTCTCCCCGGGAGAGGGGAGAGAGACTCAAAAGGAATCTTGGAAAGATGACTCAACTGGCTATTGAACCGCCCAACGGCCGACACCCCCTGAAATCCCCAAAACTCTGGGTGGACTTGAAAATGATCCCACTTATGGGCTCACCACACCTCAGTAAGTGGGTGAGGACAAGGTGCAGAAAAAGGATTGACGGCATCAGGGTATCCGTCCTGGGATCCAACTGCAGAACCCCTGCCCCCAGTGAAGGTAATACTTGCTACTAGTGAGGGTGGCTAAATCAGAGTGGATCTGATATAAGCTTCACTAGCACCATTGACACACACACACACACACACACACACACACACACACACACACACACACGCACACACACACACACACACACACACACACACACACACATGTGCACGCGCACACACACACGCACACACAGACACAGACACAGACACACACACACACACACACACACACACACACACACACACACACACATATTTATGTGCATGGAATGCACTCTTTCGTGACACAGCAGGTATTATTTCCTTGCCTTGACCACCAGTGTAGTTACTGAGTTGGATGTGTTTGCTTGAGGTGACCTAAATTCATCTTGCCCTACTACGCATAGTTTTTCTGTGCATCCTGTCCTAGCAAAGAGCTCTCAGCCTTCTTTATGTGGTCTTTGCGTGCCAAACCTGTTCCTTACTGTACAGCTGCACAACAGCAAAATCGAGAGCAAGACCATTCACGTCGTTCAAATAGATCCGGAGGCTATCCAGGCCGCTGACTTCTCGCGCGAGGCTCTCAGTTCTCCGTGGGCAAGTTTAGGTGAGAACACATTAGGAGTAATAATGTGCTTGTACAGATAAGAGTCGGCATGCAGTTGTGTCCGAGTGCGATGGTGGTGATTATTTGAATGGAGCCTGGATTATAATATAATCAAGATTATGAATTGTGATTTTGAATGAGATACGTGCAGCCTGAAAGTAGTAATCAGTGATCATATGTGTTCATTTGTGCAGGCGCCAGAGTGCTTGTACTGTGTGTGGCACACTGCGCTGAATGGAATCCAGCCTCGTTAATTAATATCCCCATGCACAAGCTCCGACCTTGCTCCTGTGCACAGCCCAGTGTTTGCAGTGCAGGGCCTATACAGCCTGTGTACTCAGCGTAGTACTGTACCCGGTGCCAGCTGATATGACTCTTGGGGCTGGATTTTGTTTTGCAGGCCTCCGGTAGTCCTCCAGTTATTGACCGTATCTACTTGGGGGTGTATTTGCAATCATGTAATGTTCTATTTCCGCTGTCTATTTCGAAATATGTGCAAACGATGTTCCTAACTGTGTGTGCGCGCGTGCGTGTGTGTGCATGTGTGTGTGCGTGTGTGTGTGTGTGTGTCATGTGTGTGTGCATGTCTGCGTGTGTGTGCATGTTTGTGATTGTTTTCCTCGTTCAGCTGCGGGCGTGGCCGTTCAAAGTGAGTACAAGCCATGGGTAGTAGCGTCTATCTGCTTTGCGCAAACTAGCCAGGCCGCTGCTGTGTCCGTATTACAGTACAGTTGCACTACCCAATCCCAAACACGACTGCAGTTTGTCCTAGCTTCACCTGTACAGGTAGCTCGTATGTTGTGCACTGCTGTATCCCTGACTACGTTTTCTCCTGTCATACTTCTACTTTGAGAGCATAGTAGATTGGCTAACCTTGCCCACATCATGTAAACCGGTCTCAGAGTACAATGCACTCACAGCATGGGTATCGATATTTATGGCTAGCCCATACATTGTGATGCTTGCTTTTCTCTGAATGCTGACTATGACCGAGCACGTTGGAAGCAACGCTTGTTTTCTGCACTTTTTTTCCGGATGCAGAAAAAGAAGAGCGGCGTGCAAAACGAGAGTACGATGACTCATTCTCGTATGGTGAAACTGGAGATCTTTAGCAAGTTGGGTGTTCTGTCACAGTGCTGCCTCTGAAAACCCAATTCTAGTTTTATTGTTTTATTTCAAAGTAGTTGACGTGACGTCCATTCTCTGATCAATTATACTCATGAAGCACCTCCTACTTTTTAATACTTTTTCATGATCTTTCCGGGACCTTTTGAAATAGACTGCTACTATTTGAAATAGGTTCCGGAAAGATTGTTTTTGACGAATGCATCGATGTATTCGTCCGCTCCACTGATGAAACAAAGCCACCCATTTGACTTCATCCGTTCCTCTTTTTGTGTTATTGTTCAACATTTTTTTCAGTCCTGGCAGCTTGCCGGTGCACAATAGCTGCTGGCAATACCTCCCAGAGTCGACTTTGCGAGTGAGACCAGCTTGACTCCATGCTCTTTATATGACTTCAGTCGGCATGATCTCTTTATAACTTTAGTAGCAAAATAAAGAAAGGATTAATGCTGATTTTTATGATGCTATTGCTAGTACAAGTATTATTTTCTTACTTCATGGAATATTAAACTGGCATATTTGTTTGGTACGTGTACCCCGCTGAACTGGCAGTGAGGTGTTCGCTCGCTGTATCGCTACACGCATGCCTGCATTATTTGGTATTTGTTCTGGTTTGATCAAGTTCCATTTTTGTAATGTTCTTTGCTGGCTTCTGTTACTTGACAAGCTGCCGAGCCAGAAGCAAATTTTCATAAGACGGATGTGTAACCGTACTGCGAGTCGGTGTGGACAAACACGACACACAGTAATGTATACAAATGGTAGTGTTCGCGGGGAATATTCCAAGTTCTTCTGAACTGATCCACCCATACCCTTGGAAGAGGCAGTGGAGTTTCGTGACATGGGTGAACTGCAGTCTTGATTGAGTAAAGAAGTACAATTAAATCCTCAGTCATGTTATGTGAGTCCAAATCCAGTTCTTTGCCCCATGCATGCATACTCCGTATGCCCAGCTACATAGGACAGGTGCCACATTTACAGCTGATTTGACACAAAACTGTCAAACTCAAAGTTTTCAAGCTTCCAAAAATCAGCTTATCAGTTATCTCATGCATACAATGTGTACAATCGTGCAGATTTGAAAAGCGCGGGATTCCTGGAGTATGAAGCAACATGACGTCACATCATTCAAGGTAACAACATGGCGTCGATGGAAACGCTGTGTTTCGTCGCGTTTCGGTACAATCGGTTGCTGTGAGTGACACAACGACGTACACCACTCTCGCTAGGTCAAGGCTTTTGTACTGTACTTGCCTTTAGATTTTTTTGATTATCCTTTTTGCTGTTGGTGGGGTGATTGAGTGAGTTTAGTTGTTCACAATCCAGAGAAATGTCAAGTTTCCTATCCACTACCCGCTGAGCTGTTCTCGAACAGCTACTGATGTTCGTGGCAATTTGCTGGCGCCATTTGGAAACTGAATACTGATGGATCATCGAGGCTCTAGTTTTTGTGAAAGACAGTGTCTGACATGGATGACTCTCGTCGGCGAGCTAAGTTATACGTCCAAAATGACGCTGCTTGGGATGACCATGGCACTGGCATTGTGACTGCCTCGTACGCGGAAACCAACCGCGGGAAGGAGATGGTCCTTGTTCTCCATTCTGAGGAGGATGGTGAGATTCGCTTTTGACTAAATGCGAATACGTTGCGAGAACGCAATTGAGAATTTCTATTCAAATGCAATTTTTTTCCTTGAATAGGGTCAGTGATTCTTGAGTCCACAGTTCAGCCAGATATAACATATCACGAGCGACAGGTGAGTAGCGAGAGTCAGCTCGTATTATTCGGCTCTCATTTCAAGACCGAAAGACGTTTTTTATAAAAACAAATTCTTACTCATCACCTAATTTGTATTAAATTGATTTGAATACTGCTACTAGTGACATGACAGTTCCTCTGTACTACTTATTGTCTATTCTGTCGATATCCCTTGTTCTAGTGACCATTGTTCGCGTGTAATCGCCCTGATGAGAAGCTGCGACTAAGTACTTGCTTCAGAGAGTGGAGGGAATCTAGGTTATTGTTTTCTTTTCTCTAACTAGTCACTGGACGAATTTTGCTGCCTGGTATTTCATCTTTCAGGACTGTTTACTTCTCTGGTCAGAGGAAGACAAGTACACACTGGCGTTGAGCTTTCAAACGAAAGAAGGTCGCCAAGATATTGTGGAAAAGATCAACGATGCTCAGGTATGGCGAACAGTTTATAATTAAATTACGTTGTTGTGTATTGGGGTAGATTCCAAGTCTGTAACCTCTTCTGTGACCTTCCATTATGTTGCAAACTGTTCCATGTCACCAGCTGATCTCAGGTAATATTCCTTACCCGAGTCCCGGTTGCCAATCCAGTGGCACATTCTATTGGTCCATCACACCTGCCCCACATATGCATGCTGCTCACATGCACGCATGAGTGGAGAACATACTAGAGACACGTAGTAATTGTGGTGGACGTTGTTGAGCCTGTCATCGTATACATCCGCCCTTTTGGTCCTCAGGCCTTGCGTGTCGACTGGGAGATTTGGCAATATATTTATTCCGCAATTTCTGCAAGCGGAGCACATTGAGTAAAATTCCACTGTCCTAAAATATGAGGATACGAATCCACACAAAGCATTAAATGAATATTCTGACTATGTGGTGTAACCGTGCAGGTGTAGAGTGTCATACTGAATCTGTAATTTTGCCCACCTTGCGAATGCTTTGAAAACCAGTTGGTTTTTGGAAATGCGGAAAGACAAATGGTTCTACCTTTTTAAGTAGTCTGTTTCCTTTTATAATGTTATTGCTTATAGTGAGGTTGGCTGTCAACGTTGTATTTCTCTCTATCTCTCTCTCTCTCTCTCTCTCTCTCTCTCTCTCTCTCTCTCTCTCTCTCTCTCTCTCTCTCTCTCTCTCTCTCTATCTATCTATCTCTATCTATCTCTACACGCGGAATCACACGGAAAAGAGAAATAGGTCCAGTTTGGATTTGTCGTGACTCAAAGTTTCATGTCACTGCAATCATCAGTCGTATGAAACTTTGAGTCAGGACAAATCCAAACTGGACCTATTTCTCTTTTTCGTGTGAAACGCTTTGCGCATTGAGCACTTTGCCGGCAATTGCCAAAATTACTCCTTTCTATCTCTGTCTAACTATCTCTCTCTCTCTCACACACACACACGCACACACGCGTGTGCACATACACACGCAGTCTCTTTTCTCTCTCTCTCTCTCTCTCTCTCTCTCTCTCTCTCTCTCTCTCTCACACACACACACACACACACACACACACACACACCTCAGACCTGCCCATCACGGAAGCGATGATAGCGAACAGCTATGTTAGACATGGCAACTTGTGCTGGGATTACACCATTCAACAGCTTACATACACACACACACACACACACACACACACACACACTCTCTCTCTCTCTCTCTCTCTCTCTCTCTCTCTCTCTCTCTCTCTCTCTCTCTCTCTCTCTCTCTCTCTCTCTCTCTCTCTCTCGCTCTGTTTCTATCTTTCTCTGTATCTATCAATTTTTCTCTAGCTCTCTCTCCCTCTCTCTCTCTCATTCACTCACTCTCTCACTCTCTCACTCACTCTCTCACTCTCTCTCTCAAACACACACACACACACGCACACACCTGGTCCTTGTAAACACTGCCATTAGGGCCACACACACACACACACACACACACACACACACACACACACACACACACACACACACACACACACACACACACACACACACACACACACACACACACACACACACACAGGTACGTTATGCTATTTCCTACTGTGATGGTTTCATTTCCTGGCTTGCTTTTTATCACGCAGCAAAACTCCGTGCAATACTTGATTGGTTTGCAAGATGATGAAGACGGCGATGTATCATTGCAGTCCATGCAAGACCTCTCCTCGATTGAACTGCCACCGTGTGAGCTGAGTAAGCTGGAAGAGATCTCCGACACACTGACTAACATCATCGGACTCCCTTGCTTACAGGATGGCCGACGGCCGTCTGCTGACAGGCTCGCCCTGATGCTTGAGGAGTCAAATTATGTCGCTCAACTTATGGAGCTCTTCCATGTGTGTGAAGACCTGGAGAATGTCGACGGCCTATACCACCTCTATGATATCGTGAAGTCCCTTTTCTTGCTTAACCAAGCAAGTATTGTACAGCTCTTGCTCGGAGAGGAGATTCTCTTTGACATTGTCGGCTGTCTGGAGTATGATCGGCGGCAAAGTGAGCGGACGAATCATCGCACGTTTCTGACTGATCATGCTGAGATGAAGGAAGTTATTTCAATCAAAGACCCAGCGATCAAGTCTAAAATTCAGATGATTTATCGAGCCCAGTACATTCAGGATATCCTCATGCCCATGCCCCTTGTCTTCGAGGAGAATATGTTATCATCACTGCATGCAGTGATCATTTTTGCCAAGAGCGATGTCATCACAGCATTGCAGGTACGTTCTCTGCTCTGTATGCAACTGTGTGTGTATGTGTGTGCATGTGCGCGTATGTGTCTGTGCAACTGTGTGTGCATGTGTTGCACAGTTCAATAGCCAGTTGAGTCATCTGTACAAATGTGTGTGCGCGTGGGGGGGGGGCTGGCAGTGCAACGTGTAGTGTTGAGTAGGGATGGCATTTGGTGACTGGCGACTAGATTCCCTTGTGGCATGCCCAAGCAGCACATTTTGAACTCGCTTCAGGTCACATTCAATGTCTGCTTTTCGCAAGCAGCTACCGGTGTGGGATTTCTTACTCGAGATTTATTTTGTAAAAACCATATGTGTGGGTGATCCATGTTTCTTCTGTATAGAATGATGAAGCTTTCCTGACAGAGTTGTTCCAGAGTCTGCAGGATGACTCAACAAGCATGGAGCGGGCTACTGAACTGGTATGATTGCTGTGTAATGCTTAACTCCCACCCACTGCTGCATTGGTCTTGAAGTCTACTCCATGCCAGGGATGTGTTTGTTTGTCTCCATTTTTTGTTTATCTATTTGTGTATGAGTGTGTCATTGCTGATGTCTTCTTTTCTTTTAGCTTATTGTGCGTATATGTGTGTGTGTGTGTCTGTGTCTGTCTGTCTGTCTATATTATGTCTTTCTGCACTTGTGTGCACTGTATTTTGCTGTTAGATGCTGTTCTTGAAAGAGTATGATCAGTTCACGGATCCTATGACTGCTGAAGATCGACTAGCTGTCTATCGGGTACGTGCAATGTTTAAAAAAAAACTTAAGTTACTTAACACGAACTTTCTGACTTTTCTTATACAAGCACCGGGTGGTTTGCCATTTTTTCTCAAGCGCTGTTGTCCTGAAAATTATACACTGTGTGTGTGTGTGTCTGTCTGTGTGTGCATGTGTGTCGCTTTTTCAGACTTTGATCCCATATGGTTTCTTCAACGTTCTCTCCATATTTCTGGTAAGGATGTGCGCACATACATGTACTTGTTGTATTAGGAAGTCCTGTGTGCCACCTTTGTAAATACTACTTTCCCCCGGGCTAGCTCAAGAATAGACAGAAGATGCAGTGGATATTTTGTTTCGCAGATAGCTTGAAAGTCCGCTGTGTTGTATGGCATCGTGGCAACGTGTTGTCAATTGCAAGTACACTGCGCACTAGTCAATCGCATCACTTTGTGGCGGATGTCATGCGTGGACACTGTCAACGTACCAATATGAAGCACAACACTGTCAATTCATACAGCTTATTGGCGGTGAAGTGGTGATGAAACGTGCACTAGTTGGAAATTAGCGTGTGGACTATTTATTAATTTTCTTTTCTCAATGTATGTATTGTTTATCTCCAGGCTCTGGATGATGGTGGAGAAGCGCAGAAAGCGGCAGTGTCCATACTGCGCCATGTGAGCGAGTTCAGTCCGGCGCTGGTGCGAGAGGCGTGCCTTGACGCGGCATCACCGTCCAACGAGGATGAGGTAGGTCGATGCAGACCTTGGCGCAAAGGCATGTGTTCAGTTGTGTGTTGTCAGAGTCTACCGTCAGTGGCGGTGCTCAGATAAGCGAAAAATAATGATGGCGTAACATCTGGGATACAAATGATTATTCAAATTAATAGTGAATAAAAAGGACCAAGAAACTACAAGTTACGCTATAATGTCCACTAACACCACCAGTTACTAAACAATCAGCTCATGCGATAACGTCAGTACCGTCGGTCAGTGTCGTGCAATGTTATCGCGTGAGCTGATTGTTTTGTAACTGGGGGTGTTAGTGGATATTATAGCGTAACATGTAGTTTCTTGGTCCTTTTCTTTACTACAAATTAATAGTACCGTAAAGTACCGCCAGAGCGCCCCACTATCTCATCCTTTCGTGGTCGTATTGTGGAGGTGGTCTGCTGTCTGTAGGTCATACGACATGAACCTTGTACACATATTGCACGTTTTGCAGTCAATCCGTACCTTCGAGCGGACACAAGCTCCACACAAAACCCTGCCAAGCGTGACCTTAGTACACTAAGACTCTCACATCGTACAAACTTTGTTGCACTCTGCCATACGATTTTCCTTTCTCAGGCTGTAAAATCAAGGTGGGGCGCTTTGGCGGTACTTTACGGTACATGTACTAGTCGTGTTTGACAACAATCTACTTGCTGAACGTGGTTGGTGTGCACTTCCATTTAGTCCTGCATGTGTATGCAAGTTGTAACACTTGCTGCACTGCAGAGCAATAGTTTTTCTGCTCCCTATTCGGCCAATACTCATGCATAGGCGTATGCAAACTTATTCTGGTTTACTTTTGTTTTGCGTTGTAGGATCAGCTGCTCTTGAACGTGATCATCGATCGAATGGTTGAAGACTGTGATGGTGGTAAGTCTCTCGCTCTCTTCCTGAATGTTCAGTCCTTTTGTTTGTTTAGAACAATGTGTGTGTGTGAATTGCCTTCCTGTCAAAATGCGTGTATTCGTCTGTTTTAATACTGTGTTCATATCGAGGTATGAGGTTTTGCAGTAGCACTGTGGAGTATTTGCAGTTTTTACATCACTTACCTATTTTGTCGGACTCTTCGTTTTGCTGTCTTATAGATATCAGCGGATGTCTTTCAATAGTTCTGAAAGTTGTCCTTGGTCTACCACCATCTATGGTTAGTGTTGTTGGTGCCTCTATTCCTCGTATCACTGCCTATGCCCTACCACCGCAACGTGGGTGAGGGTGGGGTGTGTTCAGCCTTTTCTTTCCCAGGCTTCCATGGGAGCAAACGAGTAACAGTACGTGATGTAGTACTGTATGTGAAAGTTCATCACTTTATAGAGCCTTGCTGATGCCCGTTTTGATTTCATTGGTTGTGTTTTGGCCAACCTTTGGGACAGGTACACATGTAATACTCTCTCTCTCTCTCTCTCTCTCTCTCTCTCTTTGTCTCTCTCGCTCTCTCTCTGTAACGCTCTGTTAATTCAGTGTTGCATGCTGATCTCAGTCACCGCTGTACTAGTATGTTCCCGCTTTCGTATTGTATTAAGTCCGTACCTTCTATAAACATATGCTCCTGTGGTGCTTGCAGCAACAAAATCGAGAGGACCAGTTGGAACTCAGTCTGCCGCTGAAGGAGCCCAATCCTGCCATGGTGGCAGCGTATAATGAGTTTCTGGCCATGTTCTATCGGCAATCAATGCATCATCTTATGGCCCCCCTTCTCGCCAGTACCAGTGGCAAACGCATGAGCAGAGGTTTGTGAATGTCCTACGCTGCTGTGTACTTAGCAGTTCTAAAGACATGCACCGCATGCCTTGCGCATACTCATTTACACACCATGTTGTCAGTATTGATGTGGTGAAGTCTCCCAGACACACGTGTTGGCACATGTTGTTGTGCAAAGAACAATGTAAAGTGCACACCAGGGAGTCGTAGTATCTAGTGAAACGATACACACACACACACACACACACACACACACACACACACACACACACACACACACACACACACACACACACACACACACACATGTCTGGAATGTGAGGTATTACTTTGAACTTCCGAATCCGGAGTCGAAGCCCACACCACATCAAGAACTGTTGTCTTGTGTCGTTTCCCTAGATTCTCGGTACATGCACGCGCGCGCGCGCGCACACACACACACACACACACACTCTTGTTTTCATACCATTGCTAACTCAAGTTTGTGTGCTGTGCGGTAGAGCTGCAAGAAAGTAGCCAGCACTGGCTCAACCAACAAATGGCTGATTGGACTGGGCTGCTGTTGGTTGGTTGGTTTTATACTTTACTAGCAGCACCCCCGGCCAGCGTTGCCTGGCCGAACGTGGCATGCGGGTGAAGCAAGTACATGAACAGCACACGTGCTCAGCACGTGGTGGTGGCCAGACCGCTGAAGTCCTGGTGAGGGAGGTTCTTCATCGTTGGAAGGAGAAGGAGGGACGTCTGTTACGCCTTCGGGAGGCTGGTCAGGGTTGTCCATCACCTGGTGGCGGATGAAGCGGCTCAAAAAATTCATTAACTTACGAACAAAAGTGCGATGCGCTCTTCACTGCAGATCAGATGCAGAGTGCAGTCAGTGCAGATCTTTTGTATCCTTTTGTTGCAGATGTTTCTATTTGCAGAGAACGGTTCACGTGGTCCGCAGCGCTTGTGCGGCTGCTAGTGCTACCTATGGCCTAGGCTAGGTGGCTACATGATTCGCACGCTTTGCGTGCTCAGTGCTTCTGCGCGCGGCTGCTACTGCTACTCGTACTGATCGTGTCTGCTACCTACACTGTTCGCACGCTTCGCGTGCTCAGCACGTGGTGGTGGCTACACGATTCGCACGCTTTGCGTGCTCAGTGCTTCTGTGGCTGCTTCCGCTAGCTACACGATTCGCACGCTTCGCGTGCTCAGTGCTTCTGCGGCCGCTAGCTACACTGTGCTACACTGTTCGCACGCTTCGCGTGCTCAGGGCAGCGTGACACACACACACACACACACGTCACAGGTGCCTCTTCTTTATAAGTAAAGATAGCCAGGTATCTAAATATATACCTAGGCAGACCACCACTTTCTGTACCTGGCTAGCAATTGGTTGAGCGACTATTCTGCTCATTACCTTGTAACTGTGTCTTATACTGTAAACAAGACAAGAGCAACAGCTGCATAGTGTGCAATGCCCTGGACGCTGTCCGTGCAAGTGTACAAGCATGCTACATTGTGTATTGAATTGTATTGTGTATAGTAGGTGTGAAGGAAGTATTGTGTGTGCTATCTTGGCTCTCTCTCTGTAGATGACAGTCGGGCAGCAGGCCTGCTGCGGCTAATCATGGACGTGCTGTGTGTGTGTGTGACGGCACACACCTACCACATACGCAACCACATCATCTCCAGGGACCTGCTGCGACGTGTGCTTGTGCTCACACAGTCCGTGCACAAGCATCTTGCGCTAAGTATGTCCTCTTGTCTTGATCCTGTCAGTGTTTGCCAGATCCGGACAGGTTGTGGGTGTTGGGTGTAGGCTAGATCGTTATATGCCCTCGTGACTTTGGTATAATGACGTGATTGGATATCAGCAGAGATTTCCGGTGTGGGTGTTGCAGGCTCATCCTGGCTGATCTTTCCCTGGGCTTACAGTGTCTGTGTTTGTATCATTCTGCCATATTCTGGTCAGGTGCTGTCCGCTTTGTACGGCAAGTTCTTGGCCAGAAGGACGATGCATTGAACAATTACATCATCCGTAATGATCACTTACGGCCCATCGTGGAGTTGTTGGAAAAGAACCGTAACTACAACCTCACCAACTCTGCGTGTGTGGAGCTGTTCGAGTTTGTGTGCGCGGTAAGTTCTGGCCCGAAACACCCTCATGCTCAGTACTCGCTCTTATGTGCATTTTGGTAAACTCTTACGACATAAAAATATAGCGAAGAAGTTAATCTAATATTTAGCTACTTCGAAGTAGTACAATTTCATGACGACCATACTGCCTGACATGTCTTATGGGGGATAGGCATGTTAACTCCCAGCTTGTGAACCCTTTATTACCAACCTGCAGACTTTCGATCATATAATTATGATTGATGACTAAAACCTGCTTAACTCCATCATTTCTTTTGCAAATTTAACAATTGAAGGGTCTACGTGGTAGCGGAAACTCCGAGCTCTCTACTGCAACAATTGCCGAAAAGCTACGATCTCTAGAGATATTGCGCGCCATCTTGGCGAATTCAAAATTTTGATCAATGCTGTTTACCATTTTTGGGGAAATCCCTCTGAGCGCCTGAGCACATGATAGTGAGTCTATTATAGTGTCAGCCCAAATTTGCTCGAGACTTTTCGATATTATGCCGCATAATTTTGCTGCGCTTCTTTCGATATTATGCTTGGCATTTCCGGGCGAAGACGATATTTTGCTCTGATTATGCTCAATGACAGCTTCAAAAACGCCAAAATTGGACCAAATTTTGGAGAAAATTTGAGAAAAACATCGAAATTTGCTCGGTTTTGCTGGGTTCAAATTTCAAAGTGTGAAGATTGACCTCACAATGCTCATTACCAAGCTGCCGTGCAAAAGAATTTAGTTTTGAGCATGGACCTAGTACAATACTCGCATGTACCTCTGGCGCTGGACGTGAAACTTCGAGTATCTGCGAAATCACGGTGAAAATCTCCAAAAAATTCGAAATTATGCTCCAAATATGCCGGGCAATTCTTTTTCTAAAATGTTTCGATATTATGCCAAAAGAATTGCCGGCAAATTTGGGCTGACACTAGTCTATTATTCATGGCAACCTCTCTGTCTTGTCCAGGTCGTTGCATATTTTAAAACTTGAGCTGATGTTTTCTGTTCTACCGTTGTTCACCCTTCCAGGAGGTCATGAAAGAGATGAAAGAAATGGCACTGTACATAGCAGAAAACTATAAGTCAACACTCGAGAAAATCACTTATGTAAGCACGTTTCATCGACTCCTGCTGCGCACTGAGCAAGAGAAAGATCGCCAGGCATTGATGCAAGACACTGCAGGCAACAGGTGAGTGACGTGGCAACTTGTGTTTGACTGTCATAGTGTACTGCTCATCTTTCATTGTGGTAAATTACTTGCATGAGAGTGCTTTGCGTATCACAGTATCACAACCAGCTCTGTTCTCTCTCCTTCTCTACGTGGCTTTGCCAATTTCGGTGAGGTGTACCAGCGCTTTGGCCGAGTGGTTGTGGGCTTGCCTGCGAATCACAAGGTCCCGAGTTCGAGACCCGCGCTGGGAGCAGGGAGCGTGTACTGTGCTAGCAAATGCGGTGATGCATGCGTGAACCACTTTACATGCATGCAGTGAACTGCGCCAACAACCACGGTCAACTGGGTACTCACTACTCGGAGTGAGGGTAGCATGGATGCAGCTAACGAGGTTAGCCCCCTTGTCGGGCATTGGTTGTGAGACTTACCACCTCGCCCTCGCCGTTAGGCGCTGCATCTGCCACCCTGGTATCACAGGCATGGTGGTGGCCTGGCACATGCGAAACTTCCTAAGCTGGTTGTGTTTCTCAACGCAATTGTATAGCCGGTGGTAACGCGGACGTGCAAACTTTACTTTTTTATTGATTTTGCCAGGAGTATTTTTAAACCGTGTGCAGCTCCCGGAAAATCGTCCTATGGCGTAGTATTTTTGTTTAGGTCATAGTGGCTCGCCTTTGCTGCATCACGCACAGTCACATGGTCATGTTACTGTATCACCAAGGTAATTTTTGCTGCGCACCGCTGCTCATCTTACAAAAGGTGAAAAACGCGCACGAATTCCCGCTATCACCTAGTGATATGGTGGTTTAGCACTGAACCGACGGTGTGATGAGTTTTCTATGATTCGATGATGGCCTAAACAAAAACTTCGCTGTGGCATCGGTTTTGTGCGGCATAGATGCGAAACTGCACACTTGTGTACTCTTGATTTTGCTGGGGGGGGGGGGGGGGAGTGATACTTGTGTTCGCTTCCATGGTACTATCAAGATTAGCTGTATTGATGCTGGTGTGTTTGGCTACTGCTATCTGGTGTGTTGTGTAGCACAAACGACATCAGCAGCATGACGAATCAGAGTCGGTATGGCCGTGATGGCAGTATGGACGACGCAGAGGAGATGTGGTTCAATGATGATGAAGACACACTCTTCGATGACGACACGAGTAATGGAGAGCGGCACACCTCACCTGCCACTCACCATGCCACCTCACCAATTTCCTCGCCAGTGGACAATGCCGTAGATGGCCGGACGGCTGACGGTCCCACATCACCACCCACGAACAGCTCTAATTCGAACAGCTCTAATTCATCCTCTCCGCCGCTGCTGAAGTCGCTTCGTAAAAACGATGATGATGAGGACGACGTTGCCGACGTGTTCAAGAATCCAATTCCTAGAACTAGTCGAAAGGTAAGTCGTATGGATTCGGTGCAAACTTTGTCAACGTGTCAGTATCCTGAGTGACACGCCTACATGTACTTGCCTTGAGCTTGGAGTCTATGGCGTGGTTGGTGTAGTTTACGGCCGGTGCTTACTTCAGTCGTATCTCTTTCACCAAGGCCTGATCTTGTTTCAGTGCATAGATTTGTTCGCGCTTCAAAAATGTACAGTCAGTAGGGTTTTGTTGTCAGTGTACAGTACTAGCACCAGATATATTAGAAAATCCAATACTAGTACAGCACCAGCATTAGATAAACCTTGTTATAGTTATAGTTGCTGTCAAACCAACAACAGGACGCAGTAATGCAGGCCAAAATTTATGCGGCCGAAATGTGTTTTAGGCCTGGGAGGCCGAAATTTATACGTGCCGAAAAATTGTAGACTTATAAGGCGAGACCAAAATAAAATCGAGATTCCCGGGCAGGACCCATGTGAAATTGGTGCGGGCGGCCGAATTTTTATTTTTTATTTTTTTCTCCTATGGCTGTGTGTATGCGCATATGCGCATGCCATGCCGAGCTTTTTTTAACAGTATTTTCCAGTAATTTTTATTTTTTTATTCAAATTTCACAAAAAAACAGGCACGCGGTTTACCCGTTCAATTTTTCTGTATTTCGGCCAACGATGGTTCTGATCTGTACATCAGGGAGTCGTATAAGCTCGGGTTTGTGTGACTCCACGTCACAGATCTACTCACACGATTAGTACTGTACATGTATTATGAACTGTTCAACAAAACAAAACAAAATTGGCCTTGGCTCCATTTTGGTGCGGGAGGGCCCGGGAATCACTAATTTTTTTTGGTCTCGCCTTACAGTAACTGTTACATGCATCCCGTTGTAATGGCTGGCTGTGTGCGTGTGTGTGTGCGCGCCTCGTCTCTACACAGCGTTCATTCGCCCTGGTTGATTACGACGAGGAGGAGGATGAGGACGACGACGACGACGACGGAGAGAAGTCGGACGTTAACAACTCAACCAGCAATTCATCGTCGCCTTCGCTTGAGAGCCCAGCGAAGCGGCGTAAAGTCGACACGACAGCTTGATATTATTTAGGTAGCACATGAGGTGTGCGTGTGCGCCATCTTTGTTTTAACTATTACCTATACTGTTACTCATGATTTCACAAAAAAACAGGCACGCGGTTTACCCGTTCAATTTTTCTGTATTTCGGCCAACGATGGTTCTGATCTGTACATCAGGGAGTCGTATAAGCTCGGGTTTGTGTGACTCCACGTCACAGATCTACTCACACGATTAGTACTGTACATGTATTATGAACTGTTCAACAAAACAAAACAAAATTGGCCTTGGCTCCATTTTGGTGCGGGAGGGCCCGGGAATCACTAATTTTTTTTGGTCTCGCCTTACAGTAACTGTTACATGCATCCCGTTGTAATGGCTGGCTGTGTGCGTGTGTGTGTGCGCGCCTCGTCTCTACACAGCGTTCATTCGCCCTGGTTGATTACGACGAGGAGGAGGATGAGGACGACGACGACGACGACGGAGAGAAGTCGGACGTTAACAACTCAACCAGCAATTCATCGTCGCCTTCGCTTGAGAGCCCAGCGAAGCGGCGTAAAGTCGACACGACAGCTTGATATTATTTAGGTAGCACATGAGGTGTGCGTGTGCGCCATCTTTGTTTTAACTATTACCTATACTGTTACTCATGATTTCCCCAAAATGGAAATAGGAAACGTCAAGAAATCCATACTTAGTACCTTGAAGTTCGAGTTTGACCTCGTTAACGATTTGGGGACATTTTGAAATATGTGTAGCCCAAGTTGCAGCCCCTGTTCTTTTTTTTGCATGCGCACACACATACGCACGCGCACACGCACACATACTTGGCAGAGCTGCAGATAATGTGTGCCTCCATGCTACTTTTACGTTGTCCTCGTCTATCTATTTCAAACCAAAAGTCTCTCAGCACATCCAGTTTCAGAACAGCTATCGCAACCACACCTGTACAAAAAAGGGCGTTGCTGTCCACCCATCCGCTGTACATATTTTAATGATTACCTCGTTCTTCCCTTCAGCATTTTTCCCGTTGTGGTTGTCAGTATTAAACTTAGAATCAAAGTTTAGGTCTTTCTGTGTGTGTGTGTGTGCGCGTTTGTTTTGTGCTGGCTAGGTGTGCATGTGCGCGTATTGATTCGGCACCTTCGGCTTCTTTTTCTTACTTGCAGTAGATCAACCAGTTCACACTCTCGTTCTGGTGGTGTTCTATCTTGAACTGCCAACTGTCCCATGTACTGTGATGTGCATGCATATGTGTGCGTCATTCGACGTGTGAGGTTCAGGAGTGTGCGTGTGTTCGCTTGTGTGCCTAGGCTGGGGTACCAGTGAGTGAGTGAGGATTGGCAGCCCGGGTGTACCGAAACACAATGGCATCACCAAATCAACAATGTGTGCCATATTTTCCAAAAAATGAAAAAGTTCAGCTAAACTGGCGGGCACATGATTGTTATCCTAAGAAAATCATGAACGAGGATGAAGAATTATGAACCACCAATGTCACTATTACGTAGCCCGTCACTCACCTGCAACGGATCTCTGCTTTCAATATGTCCATGTGAATTGATCCTATAATCATAAATGCAGTTTGCTGTAAGTAATTTAGTTACCAGGGTGCACGAAGAATGAATTGGATGTACAACTAGTCGCACCGGGAGTTCTATTATTTTCATACAGTATTGCTGTGGACTGTGTGTGGCTGTGCGTCGGGTCGCATGTCATACATATACTAACTGTTTGATAGTACTGTAACAGCAAAAATGAGTATTAAAGAGAAAGGCTGTGCAGGCTGGATATTAGGAGCCATATCAACTGTCAGCAAGTAAAGCATGAACACTGTCAGCTAATTCTTTGGTGGGCTATCCTCTGCTGATTTTGCTGCTGCTGTTTGCGTTTCAGCTGATGGTTGTTTCACGGGTTTGCGCATGTAGCCAAGCTGCCGTAGATACCGCACGATAAGGGGCACAGTGGCAGCCGTGATAGCAATGCGGGCGGGTGCCAGCAGCTTGTGTGCTACATACGCGATAGCAAAGGTTGAAGCGGTGGCCGCCCCAGACCCGTCGACACCAAGATCCACGCCTAGCTTGGCTGCTATTGCCACTACATCCAGACCGGCGCTGACTGCGACGTACATCAGGCCCAGTGAGGTCAGGGACATGGAGACATGGAACACCATCACCACCGAACCATACTGAGCCACAAGCAGCTTCAAGCGCTCGGCGCGGGAGAGCGAGGCCGCTGGTCTGTCAGATTGGTCATCACTGACCTGAGAACTCTGTGAATCACCCTCTCCATCCACTTGCTTGCCAGGTTCTGTTGCCATGTAACGATGTGCAGATAGTCCAATAGGTACTGGTGTTCTTGGATATCCACCTGCAGATGAAGTAGATGAACGCTCGATGACGCCACTGCAGCAACACGCTGCTGCTCTCGGACTCATCAGTGACAGAGGGCGGATGGCTGACTTCACGGTGCTTCCTCTCAGGGTAACGTGCCGTATGAGAGACATGACCCTATTCTGCAAATGAGGACAGCCTTGAATGAGAAAATTAATGCTATTCTCCGCTGACAAGATACCTAAATTAATTAGCACGGAGCTGTACGCACACGATATCCAGACCTCTGAGCTCCATAGAAACTCACATGAACGAATGGTGTTTTCTAAGCCTCGAGGGTCTTTGTGCCACTGTTTCGTGGGCAGAGACAGAGCAAACTGATATGATGTTTCCTCCGCAATTAATTCTTTCGGCAATGTTGTTGCAGTATCAAAATTTTGAAATGTCAAATGAGTCAGTTCATTATGGACATGACATCACAGACCACGTGTGTGTAAATCAATGACGTAACTATAATTATTCGATATGACGATATCGCGATGGATATGTACGTGCAATGACTTATGAAGTTATGTGCATGCGTCAGGCAAGAGCGTGTTATACTATAGTATACGTTATATACTCTTGATAAATAACAAGACTACCGGTATTATCAAGGTTAAAAATAAGCTCCCAGGGCCAACAAACTTGTACTTCGAAGTAGGGAGCATACTCTTGAATCTTGATAATACTGTACACGACCTCTCCCCCCAGTTATGACGATAACCATTCGCGAAAATGTGCTAATATTACGTACGTTTATGTACTCTTGTTATGTACGGAAAACAATGTTCCTGACTGCAACTATAAACTGGTTGGTAGAACCTGGGGCACAACCCCATATAACTCAAATGGTTACAAGACCAATACTGTACCAACTGGTTTATGGCTGCAGTCAGGAACATTGTTTCCCATTTCCATACAGTGTGTCCTCCGCCTTGTAATATGCTTTCAACGTAATATCATGCTTACCGGTATGTACTCTTGATTACGACAGATGACACGCAAGCCAAAAGGCCACTTGTTCTCACTACACTATAGACTCGAACTACTAGTAACTGAGTGCAAATGCAAAGTTAGAGTCTGCATAAACAGTATATAGGCAACCCGGGGCAGTGCTGCCTCACGCACATGAGCCACAAGGCCGAGCACGTGCCAGCAAAATGAGAATCTCCGAACTGCTCCCAAGAGCTTCCACATGTACATGTAGGCTGCCACGAGAGTGAGCCCATAACCTGTGATAACTGAGTCACAGTTCAACTGCGATACGTTGCGCACAACACTAGCAATACTCGTAGATACACACACAAACGTGCACAGCCAGAGAGACGACACTTTGTCATTAGGAAAGCGCAAAGAGCTGAATGAGAAGGACTTCTGGCGGCAGCGGCGGAGGCAGCAGCAGCAGCAATGATAGAGACTGAAGGTATGATGGTGATACAATACACACTGCATTGTACTTCGATGTAAGTGTAATGTGTAGTGTAAGGTGGCGCCTCTGGTTGAAAAGAGACACCGAGGCGTTAATCAAGATCAGAGGCTGCTAACACAAACAAAATAAAAATAAACATTGGAGTCCAGATCAACAGAAAATTGCCAGAAATGAAAGCCATGTGCGTGAGCAATGGCTTATAACCAGCAGCGGTGTGCAGCACTGGCTGACGACAACTAGAACACAACCAAGCAGTAACTCAATGGACAATTGGTCACCGCTGGTTGGGAAGCAGACACCAGTGTGCTATTATCCAAGCTCAGAACAGAAGTCGTGTGTTAAAGAACAGTGTGTGTGTTAGAGAACCACAACTTAGGGCAGTAGAATCTAGAACGAAACCCTGCCCGGCCTGGCCCTAGGTCAACAACCATCAGTGCAAAGACACACACCTCGACTGTCACACACACACACAACATTACAAGTGGCAGCTAATGTGGCGGAGAGGGGAAGAGCAGCAGTGTACATCCACAGACATGCTTCTGTTGTACGAATAGCATGACTGCGGAACGGTCCACTTGACATAGCCACGTACAGGCAGGCAGACAGGCAGTAGCAAGACCTGAGCCTACCTATGCTGTGTGTCGTGGGGACGTCTAGCGCATCGATACTAAGCCAGAGTCGACAAGTTTTTGCAGCTTCTCGCCGATGACTGGATTCTTGAGATGTCTGTGGAAGAAGAAGAAGAAGAAGATGATGATGAGAGAGTGAGAGAGTGTGTGAGAGAGAGAGAGAGAGTGAGGAAAGAGAGAGAGAGAGAGAGAGAGAGAGAGAGAGAGAGAGAGAAGAACATATCAGGTAAGATGCACTGCTAAAAGTCAACACAAACAAGGCATTCCAATACATCCTCGAAATGGCGACGGAAGAGAGGCTGGGTTGGGTGTGCTATGCCGGTGAAAGATGTGTGAATAAAAATTAAGACGAAAAAAGTCGTGACGTGCTGATGTCAATGGTTTGTAAGGTTGTCCCACTTACTCCCGAATAGCTTTAGGGTCTTCTTGCATCTGCTGTAGGATAGTTCTCATGGCAGGGTCTTGCATGATTTGCTGCAAAGGAAAGACGGCAGAAAGATGCGGAGAGCAGGAAAGCACGCCCATTCATCAACATGCTGTACACAACACACTCTCCAAACCCTGGAAAACAAACAAGTGCATGACACTAGTTCTAACATACGTATAAATGAGGAGGCCGAGGGTTTATGACCAATAAACCCTCGGCCTCCTCATTTATTGTACTTCAAGTATTTAGAATCAACCAGTAAAAACTCCTACTCAATCTCCAACAACAAAATTAGTGGACAGCTGTTATTTGTGTTGCTATGACAACTCGTGTGCTGGACGAGTATTTGTTGTCATTGGTTCAATTTCTTTTACTCTTCATAGGCTATCAGATCATTTTCCTTATTCGGACTATTTATAACCAGTATCTATAATGAGAGTGTGGTCTGTCTCCATGGTTACCGGTGTTCATTTCATAACTATAGCCACTTCTCCTTGTTAGACCTTATCTGGAAGGCCCATTCTTGCATATTCCAACAGCAGCCAAGGGAGCTAGCTCTCTTGGTTATGCGGACTGGGTCCGATCCTAAAAAGCTGTTTTTATGAACTGTTTTTATTGGATGGGATATGATTATGTTGAATAAACGAGGTTTGTGTCAATGGGAAATTGACTTGGAGTTTTTACGAGTTGATTCCAATGATAAATAAGGACACTGCCAGGCCACACCAAAACACAAATAATGTCTTGCCCGCGGTTCCAAAATCTATGAAAATCAGTTTGTTCTGACAAACGATTCGGAAATTCCTGTACTCCAGTGTCAAGAACCTGTGCAGTGGTGGTCTGTATTGTGTGCTTGCGAGGACCTACACGTACTTTGAAGTACAACGTACACTGTCCACGTTGCAATGTAGATGGAACTTGCAGATTCAGTACAGGAGCAAGAATGCACACCTAAGTTACACAAGTGTAACTCACAACCATGTGGCATACCATTTCTATATGGGCTAAGATAAACATTTAAAAAAGAATGATCCTGGGGACTGAATTCACCAGTCCATCATAACTTAGCAGGTGCCTGATGTGGCCTTTGAGGTTGTTGAACAGGTTTTCCTGCATGCTGCATAACAACGTGAAATACATGAAGTCCCCTAGAGTCACACGCACACACACCGACATTATGACGGAGTGGCTGGCAGGACACATCAGCTACTCACCTGCACTTCTGGATCAGCCATGGCACGCTGTGCCACCTGCTCGCGTTCGGCATCGGTCATGGTGGTAGGGTGATGCTGGTAGGACTTGCGCATGCCATCTTGGGCATCCTGGGAGCAGCAGCCAAGTGCACACACCACAGTGACACACAAACAAAACATTACAGTTCCCCTTAAAAAACATGCCAAAGGCAAGGCAAAAGTGATGGTAAAAACCAGGGAGTAGTAAATACCGGGAGGTGATACGCCACTAATCCTGATTTGATGGCTGCCTTGCAAAATTATTTTTCGAATCAATCGTCGCAAGAGGTCACCTGTAATACATGTACCGCATATTCTGCAATTCGAACAATCAGTAGGCAGGAATGAAAAGTCTCAACTCACTGCATTGTTGGGGTCAAGACTAAGAGCTTCCTGGAATGCTGCTGCTGCCTTGCTTTGTTCCTTCAGTGCAAGGTGAATGAGACCTTTGCGTGTGTAACCCTTGACTGCACACACACAACACACACACACACACACACACACACAGCGTCAAGCAGAAGGAAAAAGAACTTACAGTAGAGCAGTAATGACAATCCAGATACCAACACAGCGGAACTTCGCTTACTGATCACCTTTACTTGGTCCCGATTTTTCCCGCATGCACACAAACATTTCAAACTGTGGCCTCTCACCACTCCGGAATTCCTATCTTTTCTGGTGCCAACGACCAAAAGTAGAATCTGCCCGGATGCTTGATTATCCATGGGCCAGGAGCCAAAAAAAGAGAATACATCAGTGGGCTTTTCTTGTGACAGCTTGAATCTAGGCTGGGACAGAATTTACTACTACATGTACATGACTGTGATGATTTACCATCTAAACCATAATTATATCCTGCATGTGCATAACCAGCTCTTTCGCAAAACAGTTCGCAAAGGTTATCACAGTGCAACCAAGTATAACAAGCAAACATAATGACAGTCCATAACAGTCCGGTACATACCGAATTTGGGATCCAGCTTGATAACTGTCTCGCAATCATTCAATCCCATACGGAATTCTGCAAGTTTTGTGTAGCAGGCAGCACGGTTGCTGTAGACCTTAGGATCATCTGGATTACGCTTGATGGACTCAGTGTAATGTGAAATGGCACTAGGGTAATCGCCTGACAATGAAACACACAGGGAAGGCAAAAAGCAGGAAATCAAAAAAGGAACATCAACACATTGTAAAACAATTGCTCGACAATTAAAAAGAACACAAGAAAAACGTGTGATACGTATCCAACAGCAGACATACCTTTTTGGAAAGCTTGGTTGCCCTTGGTCTTCTCTTCGAGGGCAATTTCGGGGCTCAGGTACGCCTGATATCTTCTCTCTTCTAGAATCTTCTCCGCCTGGAATGCGACAGAACAAAAGAATCTTGCTAGATATAACGAAATTCTTCACTACAACTTCAATGATAACAAGCAGCTGGGGGAAAACTTGAAGGTGGCACTGTGTGTCAGCAACAAAGGATCCATTGTAGCACATCAACAAACAAAGCACATATGAAAGACAGAAATGGCGAACTGAACATAGACAAGAAGCAGCCCATTGCACACTAAAGCTGACCTGTTGCAGCTTCTTCAGGATATCGGGCATGCGATGCTCAGCCAAAGACTTGTTGAACCACTTGATGGCATCTTCATACTCCTCCTTCTTGAGGTGAACACTGCCAATACGACCAAGAGCCCTGCCAAACACAAATAGAAACAAACCACCAATATTCAACCAGAAGCACCAATGCCGAGGAGTACGACGCCATACACAGGATATCCAAACAGGACAGCATCACCAGGACCATTCTCACTAGAAGAGTAACACTAACTACTGCCGAACCTCAACGAAGGCTGAAAGCCGCGGCAATGCTGTACAGTATACTGTAGGAGAAGACATCTTTTCGTTCAAAGCCATGCGCTGGCCTTTCGTTTAGCATTTATGTTCATTCAGGAACGCTCGCAAACTCACTCTATGTACCACCGGTACATTATGTGGTATTCACTCACTTTGCAATATTCTTGAAATCGGCATGCTGCTCACGACCAACATCGATAGATTTCAGACAGGTCTCCACACACTCGTCAAATCTGCTCTGCTCAAAGTAGACCGCTACAGAAGCACAGGCACAAACATCATCACATGCATGATTCCATACAGGCACACATATGGAAGCAAAAATGCTGCAGTGAGAAAAAAAGTTGCAAAGAGAAAAGCTGTCCTGTGCCTACTCTTGGAAATGGGCTATCACGACAGATGCAGTGTGTTTCCTGAGACACCAGACTCGAGAGTCACAGCTAACAAATACCAGCTGGTTAGGATTCAGCCTGAACAATAGGTTAGAATACACAGTCAACAATAATTTACAATTCCAGAAGTAAGATCTGCCGGTAAACCTACCCGCCTTGTTTGTCAAATAGGTCATGTTCGTGCCATCCAACTCAATGGCCTTGTCGTAGTGCTGCAGTGCGGCCTCGAAATCCTTCTTCTTATACGCCTCATTGCCTAGCTGCTTGGCTGCATCAGCCTGCAAAGGGGGGGGGGGGGGGGCACACCAGCATACAAAGACTCAGCGAGTTGTTGAAAGCACTGTGAAGCCAGGCAAGAACAAGAGTTCAGTGACTCCTGACCTAATCTACACTCTGCAGCAAGCACAATCTGTACAGGAATACGAGTAAATATGTTGAAACAACTAAGGCAGGATGAGTCTCAATGACCACACACTGAAAGCTCTCTTATCCAGGCACTATGGGACCAAAGGGTGTTTGTATTATGAATCGGAAAATCCGTCATGAAGAACACTACACGGGCGGATCCAGTTTAGCCAAAAACTGAATAGCTGATACATGTGCATGTACATTTGGCAGGGTGCCAGGTTGATAGAGGTGTGCACGGATATGGGAGGGGTAGGCGTATCATACCTCGCTTAGCTCAGCCTCTGCCTTTGCCTCAGCACGAGGTGGGGATGCGGTGGGCTTGTTCATTGTCGGCGAGGACGAGGTCTGTGGAGCGCTACCAGAATCGTCACCTATGCACCCAAAAACAATGTCACGATATGCACAAGAAGAGGGATTAGCACTCGGAAGTGGCACCGAGAAACTTTTAGAGGCGATCACCTGTCCCAGAGGACCACTTGAACAAGGACAAAAGGGCGTCATTTCCACTCATGAGACCCTGGATAAGGGGACAGCCTGTACACAGAGACTGCGTTACGGGGCCTCTTGAGCAGTTGACGTAGGCGCACTGCAACCACCAAGAACACACTTGCTACTGATGTACAGCCACAACTATCAATTATCAACACTACCCGTTGTCGAAAAAAAATGTCACGATACACACAAGAGGGATTAGCACTCGGAAGTGGCACCGAGAAACTTTTAGAGGCGACCACCTGTCCCAGAGGACCACTTGAACAAGGACAAAAGGGCGTCATTTCCACTCGTGAGACCCTGGATAAGGGGACAGCCTGTACACAGAGACTGCGTTACTTGGCCTCTTGAGCAGTTGACGTAGGCGCACTGCACTGCAGCTACCAAGAACACACTGCTACTGATGTACAGCCACAACTATCAATTATCAACACTACCCGGTGTCGAGTATGTAGTGAGTTACCAGAACATACCTGGGCCATCTGGGTTGAGGAAGTCGGCATTGAGAAGGACACCAAGCGTAGCCTGAAGACGTGGATCGGACAGATACCTACATGTGCACGAACACACACACACACATACAGACACATACGGACACGTCAGTAAGGTGGTAGAGCACAGCAGTTCGCCCCATGAAGACCAAGCTTCCGTGCTTGGTGTTGGCATCAATTGACTGCATGCACAAGCCACACCTATGCGCATAAAATCAAAATACACACGCCTCGTCCAATACACATAGCTACTTACTGCGAAATGTTACCCGGGTTACGCTGAATCTGATTCAACATCACCATGAAGTCAGGTTGCTTGATCAGGTCAGCCGTTCGGGGGTCTGCTGCTAGCTTTGCCATGACGTCAGGGCCACTGAATGGGTTTGATGGAGACTGGGCCATAGCAGCTGCACAGGAAGAATACCACAGGCAAGCAAACTGCATCTGATGCGATATCGTAGGATTGGGAGAAACCTCAAATTCATGCGATATCGAGAATATTATTACTAGCTAACATAGGCCTTCATTTGTGCCAGGGGACGATGCGTTGACATTGTAGACATCTGTTGAGTTAGAACTGGCCGCATGTTACAGTCAAATCCAGAATATTCATCACCACATACCGGCCCTGCATCGGAATACCGGTACTTTAAATAAAGCAGTGCCAAGACCGGCCAGGACACAACAGCATCCACGGGCAAACACAACTGGACACGTTCACCACCACTAGAGCGCAAAAAGACTCAATCACGACACAAAACGGACAAAATCAAGGCAGGCTAATTGACAGACACTGTGACAGGCAGTGCATGCCTACAGTTTGCCACACGTTGGAAAAGTAAAGCAGATTCCCAGTAGCAGAGCACATCACCATAAACTTACCCTCTGAGCGCTCCTTGGCGTCGGCAAGGCCACTTTTCAAGGTAGCGTTATTTGCATCAAGCCCGAGGCCCGTCTCGAATGCATCAATGGCCTCAGAGTGGCGATCAAGGAATGATAGTGCAGTGCCGACGCGAGAGTAACCCTGCAAGCAGGCGGCACAACACAGGTACATGTGTGCCCATCAGGGCATACTGTACAGCTACTGGGTCCAGCTTACCCTAGCACTGCAGCCATACACTGCAACTCTACATGCAAGAAGTTCGGCGAGAGCGCCAGCAACGGGCGGCCGGTTGGAAATGGAGGCACTAGAGAAAGAGCTGCTCGGCATTGCAAAACTAACTTGTTCTAGACTTGATAAACTGACCGATCGGTCGTGTAACTGAAAGTCTATGTGCTCTGAGAACGTGTGATGGGTTTCCGTCTCGCAATTACCCGCACAATTAACGGGTGGGCCGGGATGCTACATTTTGGTTGGTGTCAGTTGCACGTCTCCTACAAAACTGCTGCTGCCCTCGGATGCTAGACACATCCAACCTTCTCATTGATCAATCTGAATCCTGAGTAAGAACAAGTCTCTCCTCTCTAACCTCTATCTTGAAGGTAGTAGTAGTAGAATTTATTGTTTTGATAGGGAAGGCCCTACAGACGTTGCCGTCTTGTTAAGGTGAGAGCGTGTGGGGCTGAATCGTTACTTGGATCATCTATATTGATTGATAACCTGATAGGGCTTGAAAGTGCTACGTCACAGCATAGCAACAATTTCAAAAATTCTAAAACTGGATCCACTTGGATCCAGTTTTTGTATGGATCCAAGCACATTTCAAGCCGTCTTACTCACCGCAAGGTGATGTAGCCAGTGAAACTGACTGATTTGGCTACTGGGGGCGGGGTTACAACTGGTGGCGAAGTAAAAGTCACCCCTGCATACGACATGAGTGGGTTGCTATGCACCCACATACTGAGGCAATAGCAAAGTCACACCTTAGTGGATCCAAAATAGAAATCTGATGTCAACTTACTACTCCCTGGCCGTTTTTGACGTCATCACTTTCAAGCCCTATTGGTTTACTACGGCATAACGAACGTATAATTATGTTGTTGCCATGGGATTGGTATTTTATATGTTTGGCATGACACGTGCACCTCTTGGGGCCTGTATCAAAGTGTCCTGCCACAGAGGCCCTGGACTGCTCCACCGCTACATATAAGAAGGCCATGGAAAGAGAAAAAGTCATTTCAGAGAGCCTCTCTCACATTGCACGTTTCAAGAGTACACTCCATGTGAGTACAGGACTGTCTTTCCTTTCAATTTTTCATTTTCTTTCTTTCCTATCACAACTTCACAAGTTTCACCGGCCTGGTAAGCGCACCCTAAAAACTTGTCCTCAAGGCTGCGCTCACCCTGCACTAAAGCTATATATCAGCTTCAACTACTCTCCTACGCACTCCCCCAGCATATTATCATTATGTGCTCAATGAATTGCCGGGCCAGTTTGATACATTTGAATCGAAAAATAAAATTCTTCAAAAGATCAAATCTAGATTAATGCTACCTTCTGCTTTGCCCATACAACCCACATACCTTAGCCCAGTCTGGTTTAATTGAAGTAGTCTTCTGTGCGTCTTCCAATGCATCTGAGAAGCGGTTTAGCTTTGCATAAGCAGCAGAACGATTGCTGTACAGCACATGGTTGTTGCCGTCGATCGCAATACCTTGGGTGTAGAAGTCAACTGCCTGCTCGGCATTTCCAGCCTGCATGGCAGCATTGCCTTTTGCCTTGAAATCGTCCCCCTGAGCCAAGGTAAGTAACATCAACAAAAACAAAGCACTCCTGTAGACATGCTGCCAAACAGCCAGTGGACTCTACTCTCTTCTCCATCGAGTGCACGACATAATAGCAAGCAAACGTAGTAAGAAAAGTCCATCCGGAATATCTCATCAGAAGGAAATTGCAATAGAGCTCATTGTGCCCTTACCATGATAGAATAGTGCCAAGTTAGTTAGGAAAAGAATATCTCAAAGTCTAAAAGAATACAATTTTGAAAGATCAACAAAATGAGTCCGAGTATCACATTATTTTTTTCGCTGTTCACGAAAATTCTCGAGCATTCTCGATCTCGAACTGTTGAACATGAACGCCATTTTCTTGGCCAACATGAAAACGTACGATGTCGATCGCGATCGCGTAGCAAAAGGAGATGTTTACGTACAGCGTACAGCTAGCTGCAGCCTGCATGCCATGCGTCAAATGCGTGCTAGCTCGTGACGTAACGACCTGTAATGGCGTTATCGCTTTTTCGGGACCTTTGCCACGCTTTTGGACCATTCAACAGTCAGTTGAGTTGGGCAGCATAGCTAGCGGGTTGGGTGGCTTTGCCTGAACCGCTGATATAAACTAAAGATTTGACTTTTGACTTTTGTTTGCATTTTATGACATGCTCTCGAGTCTCGTTGAGTCGTTGTCAGTTTACCATGATTTACTGACAAAGAAGCTTTTGCGACCCAAGTGTGTGTGAATACCCGGTGTACGAGCAGGTGGCCGCACTGTCATGATCACCGATATGAGCCCAGGCGATGTTATACTAATAGCACTGGACCGGCGGAGCCATATGTAAATATTATAAATTTGGGACTTTTAAATCATCAAGTTCAAGTCTAGAGTAATTGGAGTTATTGGGAACACGAAGACCCAATTCAGCTGTTTGCCGGAGACGGTTTTCGACTCTAGTGGTAGTGAGCTTGCTACTGATTTTCAGCGTAGCACTCAATGACCACGATTATGGAACAGAGAATTCTCCAGAAAGGAGTCTGGTTGAATTAGGTTTCGTCGCGACTAATTTGCCATGTCCAGTGAGAGAACCCCCTTGCTGGACAGCAATAAGCAATCGCCAGGCAAGTCGTTGTCCCGCTTGCAATTAACTGACCGATAAACTTCAAATTGTTTTGTATTTGTAAGATAGAAGAGAGCACATGGGAACGAGTTATGAAGCAACTGTCCATGACAGTAACAAGATAATCAGCAGTCATGTGTTTTGTATGTATCCCATGTTTGTGGGTTACACAGTGCAGGGCACACTTTCAAGATGAGAACAACATGTTCAAATATTACATGGCAGCTGTACAGTCTACATTTTGCCTTGCACTCACAGCCAGTAGCCTAGAAAACGTCGACTTTACTACTAGTAGCTAGCATGTTGCAACTTCAGGATGAAAGACCACACCGCAGGACCAGATAGGACTCTCCTGTTTGCGAAGGTGTCCTGATTAGAGTGTGGATTATAAGTCGCTTGATTATGAACAATTTGGACTGAACAAATATGTTCTGAATGCGGGGATGTCCCGTTGTTGAGAGGTGTCCGCAAGGGAGGTTCCATTGCACTACCTGTATGCCAGTGAGCAGTCAGTTACCCACATCGGGCACATGTGAAATGCGGTAGTCCTACAAGGGAGCTTCTGGACTCCATGTTTGGAGTCGAAAACAGCCTAAGAAAATTAAACCCAACCGACATCTCACTTGGGCCAGTGCTGAACAGTTCACTGCTATGCCCAGAAGCAAAACTAGACATAATTCCAAGTGGAAAATTTCTACGGAAGAGAGACAGACAGACAGAGACAGGGTAGGGGGGGGGGGGGACCTGTATGTGCTGTTTACCCATCCACCTCTACTAGAGCTGTGCCCAGTTGTGAAAATACTCCATGGAGCTCCCGTGTGTGGGTTTGTTGTTGTTTTTGGTGCTTGGCTTATCCCAAATGCTTATTCTTTTTGTCCCCAGGAAACCTAATCGATTCGGACTCTGTGGGTGGTGAGAGGATATACATCTGCAAAGTATGCAGCAAGCGTGGAATGATTCCCAACAACTTCAATGGCAGAGTCGTCAAGTGTCTAAATTGTGGAGAAGGCACGGTAGGTGCATCTAGTCACAGGGCATGCGCTAAGGATTAAAATATGCTCTGACATAATGTCCTGCCAGTTGCAAAAATGGCCGGACATGTCCGGACATGCAACTTTCACATCAAATCACACAATGTTCAGTGTAGAATTAATACCATCGAAATGTTATCACGACGATGCATTTCAGAAGCAGCATGATCTTTGAAGGCTGACGTTTTCAGGTTCCTTGAGCCAACGACGAAGGAATTCTTGCTGCTGCGAATTTTATCAACAAAACGGGAACACATCTTACACTTCAAATTTTCGACAACGCTACGATCTGAGGGACTGCGCTCATAGCTCAGCCAAACAGAAGTAGTTGAAAGCTCCCTATCATACTCGGCGACCCACTTGTCACAAGTGGTCGTCTTGACTCCTCTGGGCTTCTTTCCAAGAGGAGCACCCTGCATCGGCGGTGCTTGGCTTTCTCTTGCCAGACGACATCACTAATGACTATGAGACAAAGGATTGAAGTGCCTTTTCTTTTTTGTACTTTGCAAAAAGGTGCGCGGACACTTTGTCCGGATATGTACAAAACATCCGGAAACTGACCGTAAACGGTCGGAAATTGTCCGATGTCCGACCGTTATTTCGCGCCCTGTAGTCAGCTGGTACTAAAATAATGTCAATGTTTGAATTGATGAAGTAGATAGTTCCGAAGTGTACTTTTAAATCTAACCAGTAATGGCTATGCCACCGAACCACATTATGTGTGTGTGTGTGTGTACGCATGCATGTGTGTCGCATGTGTGTGTGTGTGTGTGTGTGTGTGTGTGTGTGTGTGTGTGTGTGTGTGTGTGTGTGTGTGTGTGTGCACGCTTTTGTCTGCATTTCATATACAGCCAATTTGCTTGCCTCCTTCCGGCAAGAAGTATGTCCGGTGCGTTTGCCATTGCCTCCTGGTGTGTTCCACGACAGCCCTGTTTCTTAGATGTCCTCGACGAACATGGTCAGTATGCTGCCACTGCTGTTGCTGCCGCCGCCGCTGCTGCTGCTGTTGCCGTATTGGTATGGATCATTTCTATTATGAATAGCTATGGCCTGCAAAAGCTCCAACCCCTACTCACACAGGTTATACAGCCTAGCACTGGGCGCTGTGCTGCTGCAGCTTACAGCCGTGCAAGTCAATGTATGGGCCACAGCCAGCTGAAACATGTCTTTACGTTGTAGGTGAAATTATTTTTTAGTTTGAGGAAAAGGTGCAAACGGAAAAAAGTGAAATTCTTACAAAAATATTATTCCACAAAATTGTCACGTTGCTTGCCAGCTGCTTGGACTAGACTGCCAAACAAAGTGTGAGAACGAAGTTCGACAAGATGCTATCGCCACTGCACTGGTTGATGAATGAAGCACAGTGCGAATGTGCTGGACAGAAACAATTTTGATTCTGCAATGTCTCGAAAATGTTACGAAACCCCAAAAACATGTTTTTGCTGACCTCGGCCCGTATAGACTCTGCTTTTTTTTCAAACCAGCCAGGCTCTAACTCAGGCAACACTCGTAAGCATGAAAAATACCTATCAAGGGCATGCTTTTAACCCTTTGGAGCCCCAAAAATCCTGATAATTGTATGCGACTGCAATTACGATATATTCTTTACCTTATTTTGGTCATAACTTTGGTGCTTGTTATTGGATTTCCATAATCTTGGGCTTCCTGGAAAGCTCTCCGCGAGCAGAGTAACTAGAGCTCAAATTCAACACCACAGCAGTCACATATCCAACGCCACGGCGCCTCGAACAGTCCACAGAGCTGGATATACGAGCAAATGTCCTCAACGCCAGCCATTTCACTCTCATTCATCGTGGAATGCTCAATTGTTTTGCGCTGAGTATAGTTTTATACTGGCCACGTGCAGAAAGCGTACCTGGATGAATCAGCATGTCATCCAAGGGGAAATCCCTCACTGAAGGCCAGCCACTGAGAAAAAAGTTCAACTTTTGCCGTGACTGAAATGTCGAGCGCGATATCTCTGCAACACGACATCGTAGCTGTTCGGCGATTGTTGCATTAGACAGCTGAGCTCTTCGGCTTCTTCCCAGATATTTCGATCGTGGAAATCCATCAAGTTTCGAGTGAGTTACGAACGTTTTAGTCCATCGACGGTATACCGTCGATTTTTGACTGTACGGGCTCCAAAGGGTTAATGGACCACTTGCCATTTGTACAGATCCACGAAATCCCATAGACCCGGAAGGGTGTTGAATGTGTGCTATGCATGTGCATTTGACCAATTTTCGCGTCATAATTCAATGACAGCAATCGCTTTTCCAGCTTCTTCACTTTGGTTAGAACTAATGACTAGCTAGATCTTTGTCAGAAAAAGGTTTTCGGATGAAATGCCTTCAGGCCCCATTTCTTAGTGGAAATAGCAGAAAACACAATAGGGTCCTGCACATTCAACACCCTTCCGGGTCTATGGGATTCTACGGGATTTCGTGGATCTGTACAAATGGCAAGTGGTCCATTTTGGACACACTCTTCGAAATCTCAAGCTCCTATTCCAGGCATGATTGTTTATAAGCCATGCCTTATGCTTCCAAGTTCCTGACTCTAGGTTACATATAAGGACCCACCATTCCACTGTGATAAATTTTTCCCAATATGGTACATTCGCTGGTGCCTTGAGCGAAACGACGTCTTCTGCGACAAGTCGAATCTAGAATTTGAGGGTATTTTCCTACAAACTACTTTTTTTGTAGTTGATGATACTTGTGCCTGACTTATATGGAGATCTTTTGGCCAAGTATGAACAACGAGGAAGGAAGCCTCTTTCTGACCGAAGTGAAGAGACTGACATTCCAATGGCTCAACAATGCTATTTGCACTGTGAATTGAAAGACGTACAGTCAACTTCGCTTATAACGACACTCGGCGAGGCATCAAAAAGGTGTCCTTATTCGCGAAGTGTCGTTATACCCGAAGTCTCATTATATGTATTACAGTGGGATGGGACTTTGCTCTGGGCATGGAAATTCTGTCGCTATTCGCGAATTGTCGTTATATCCGCAGTCGTTATTAGCGAAGTTGACTGTATTTGGTGATGTCGTCTTTAGTGCTGTTGCACATAGCCTGTGTGGGCGCGGTGATAGTAAACCTATCCCCAGGGCACGCTGCCGACAGAAAACACTCTCAAAATGTGCCTCTTGCTTCTTTGATCTAGATTTGATCTAGATAGTATTGTGTGGCTACATGTACTCTAAGAAGTTGACGTTGGTACTACTGCAATGTTCTATTTTCTGTTTCAATAGCCAACGTATAGTGGAAGTATCTCCTGATCAGCAGGGTGAGCAGCGGCAAAAACCCACTGGTGTCCCTATGCAACGACCTGCTTCTCAGGCAGGTAGCCGGCCTGTACATCAGCAAAATACCTATATATGCCCGCACTGCAAGCATCTCTTTGATGTGAGTATATAGTTTGTCGCGACTGTTTCGCTAAGTACTCGCCATGCTGCCCCCCCCCCCCCCCTCTCTCTCTCTCTCTCTCTCTCTCTCTCTTCCTTCCTGTGCCTCCCCCAAAGGTACTTTCTGTTCTCTGTGTTCAATCCGTTGTGCAGTATTCCTAATTTCCTATGCTCAATGTCTTCTCATCTGCTCACTCACTTCTCCCCTATAATGCGCTCAATCCCCAGACAGCTAGTGCTGATAAACATGTATGTATATTTGTATTTGTGCTCCTCACACAGTGGCCCTCGGGCCAGGCATCTGCAAAGTGTACGTTTTGTACGGACTGGTAAGTTTTGAAAGATGAACTTGTGTCTTTCTTTTTATGCGGTGGGATATTTGTATTCTGTTGCGTGCAAGCATAGCCATACATGCACATTGATACATTCACACTTGCATGCACAGTTGGTGAAATCAAGTGTACATACAATGTAGTGTGCTGCTCAGTTGGGTAACGTTTTGTCAGAATTCCTTAACTATGGTAATTGTTACTAGTATTCAGCTGTGTTGGCCTTATCTAAACTGCCTGTCCTCATCCACTAATAAGTAGTACTCATTGCTAGCAAGAAAGGTATTCTCGTCCAATCTGTGGTCACTTGCTAGGCACTGGCAGGAAAGCAAGAGCGCAGGTCAGGAGTTTTTGTTCAACAACTCGGAGCTGGCATGGAACAGAGGTGCATGCTCTGGACGGCCACCACCCTACTGAATTGGTGTCACTCTCTCTTGTGTGTGCTCATCTTGTAGGTGTGTTCTTGATAGCACATGGCCCCTTCGCCGCTCTGTGTTTTGCTACTTATTCGCTGGAGTGTGTCTGCTGGCAACTGCTGCTATTGCGGTAAGACCTGTGCACAGAGGAAGCTGATACTGTAATTTCACAAATTTTCAGTGTATTTTTATTTTCAGTACTTCCGGTGCGTCTGTTTCATACCTAAAATTCCAACCCACCGAACAAACACTAAAACACACATAATCCAATAGGGAACTGCTTCTCTGTACATGTACCTAAAATTTCTGTTCACCTAACCTGGCCTTTTGCCCTCATACCAAAAATATTGGGCACCTAAAATTTCTGAAATTTAATAGAGTAACAGTTACTTGGCGTACTGCTGCACAATGGGTGATTTTTCACATGCGAAATATTCTGACTTTCATACAGAAATTGGTTTGTGATCCTCTCTCTCTTTTTTATTGGATGAACATTTCCCTGCCATGAGACCAAGTCAAGCAGCTAAAATAATTATAGTGTTCATAGAGTGTGCATGTGTGATAGGTGATGCATGCGGTACAGTGTGGGAGGTGTGTGTGTGTGTGTGTGTGTGTGTGTGTGTGTGTGTGTGTGTGTGTGTGTGTGTGTGTGTGTGTGTGTGTGTGTGTGTGTGTGTGTGTGTGTGTGTGTGTGCGGAGACGTGGACCACCAAGGCAGGCCACCTCCAGAAGCTAAACACGTTTCACCATCAGTGTGTTCTGTCCATCGTGGGTATCGGCCGTCGTCAACAGTGGGATGATCGGATCTCAACGGCCACATTAGCGGCTACATTCGGTGTTGACCCTGACATCACCAGCATCATCCGCCGTCACCGGCTTCGTTGGCTGGGTCACGTCGGCAGGATGGACGACTCGCGCGCACCGAAGCAATTGCTGTTCGGCGAGCTGCCTGCCCCCCGTCCTCGTCACGGCCCGAAAAAGAGGTGGCGAGATGTGGTGTCGACTGACCTGGCGGACCTCGGCGTGACCACCTGGCTTGAGAGTTGCCAAGATCGTCCCGGCTGGAGACGAGTTGCGAGTAGCACTCCACCGCCACGGCCTGCTCCTGATCCTCTTCCATGTGTCTGTGGACGCCCGTTTCGTCGACCAGGAGACCTGAAACGACATGCCAAGTTCTGCGCTCGTGTTCTCACCTGAACTTTCCGACATTCACTATCATTGCGTACGCAATGGGCAAGATCAAGGGTCAAGGTGTGTGTGTGTGTGTGTGTGTGTGTGTGTGTGTGTGTGTGTGTGTGTGTGTGTATGTGTGTGTGTATGTGTGTGTGTGTGTGTGTGTGTGGTGGGGGTAGTGGAGAAATGTTGATTTTTGCGGTCAGACCAAACACAAAATCGACTTGTTTTCATACCATGTTCTCCTTTGGTCTCTTTCTGTGTACAGGCTACCACATATTCATACTTGGATGGTGAAGAAGGTAGGGTATTTTCTTGTTTGCAGTTTTCAGCGGTCCGAATTTACATTCAGTGAAACCTCGTTAATAAGAACACTGATAAAACAAACTGTCGCTTTAGAAGAACTAATATTTGAAAATACCGCCATTCCGGCAACAGGCTCTCAGCTTCACAAAATAGATAAATAAATAACTTTGCCAATATTTCGCCCGTTGGGCATCATCAGGGCATTGAGGAAGGGGAGGCAAAACACGAAATATAAAGACGAATAATGCAGGCAGATGAATGTTCTAGAACTAACACATCGTGGTGACACAATTGGCAAGGCCAGCAAACTAAACAATCATCACTTGTAAGGTGACCTACACAGAACGAAAGAAGAGAAAACTCACACATACACACAGACACAATTTGGCGAGAAGGCAAGAAAACTAACAGTAACACTAAAGTTTACAATCATCACCTGTAAGGTGACCTAAACAGAAGAAAGAAGATAAGACTATCACAGCACGTACAAGAACACTTTCAAGTGTGGGAATGCTAAAGGCGATCTATGTATATGACAAGTGTCTGTGCAAAGTACTTCAGTGTGTGTATGTGCTGTGTCAGGTGGTAAAGTCCAGTGGTAGTTCGAGGAGATGGGCGTCGATTCCAGTGCCGACGATCCGGTGTCATCCAAACCAGCAGTCAATTGCGATGACGGTTGGCGCCTTATTACATATTGTGTTGAGATTACCCAGTGACAGCATACGCGCACCAAGAAAGATCCTTCCCGAGGCAAACTTACAATAACGTGAACCGAATTCTCCAGGTGGAAATACTCGTAGTGTTCGCTTACCCCAGGTTTTCCTGTACTTCTTGCCCGTGACATACTGTCTTCATTAGTCTTATGCCATGTCCTAGGTCAGTGTACTGGCTCAATGACGGCAGCACATGTTGACAGAAGAGAAACATGACCTTAGCCTATCCTCTCTATTTTGCCTCATCTGAATCATTTTCTCTTTTTCTTTCTTTCTTTGCATGTGTGTGTCCTGCTTCACAGAGATCATTGCTGCATGGATAGGTAAGCACAACACCGCATACCCTACTGGCAAGAGTACATAACCCCCCAGAGTGTGCAACTCCACTATGGGTGCTGTCCCGACAGAATTTCAAGTTGACGTCATTTTGATGATGCAATGCGCACTGTACACGGATTATCAGACGAATCCGGAACCTGTGGTTGACCGAAGCCGATCGATCCTGTACAAATTATTGCAAAGAAAAACGTGTGATGCGTTGACACCCGTACACATGTTGTAAATCACTGGTGCAAGGAGCATTGCGTCATAAATAATGACGTCAACTTGAAATTCTGTCTGGACAGCAGGGTATGTGGGAGTTGCACGCTCTGGGAGGTTATGTACTCTTGCTACTGGTCATGATGTTGCACTTGTAATACTCATACATGTGTGTGTGTGGGGGGGGGGGGGGGGGTATAGGTGGGGCAGGGGGGGGGGGGGTGCATAGGTGGGGCAGGGGGGGGGGGGGGGTTGTCATGGCATGCATGGTTGTATACCCAGGTCGGGTACTTGGAATGCTTGAAGCATGCCTCTACATCAGCATGACTACTAGTATCTAACAAACAGTACTGGACACCGACAGACTGCACCAGCACATGAATAACTTACTACCAAGAGTATAATAACCCCCCCAAGAGTGTGCAACTCTGCATATGGGGTCTCCGACGGCGAAAACTCACATCACGTGTCTCAGATACGTTCGTACTACGTACAAACGAAGGATAGCGTGCGCGCAATCCGAATATCTGCCGTGATCATGCTGGGGATTTGCATACCCGCAGTGAGTTTCTGTCAGAGAGTGCTTTTTTTATTACTCTGCTGCTCGCTATAAGCGGGCTGGAAACGTACAACTGCGACACTGTACCACGTGATGTGAGTTTTCGCCATCGGCGTACCCCATAGAAAGGGTATCAGGAGTTGCACACTCTTGGGGGGGGGGGGGTAAATACTCTTGTTACTACATGTAACTGTTGGTGTTCCTGCAAGAACCAAAACTGCGAGAAAAGACCGTATGCAGCCACGCAATAAGAAAGAGACGTGTCACATGAAGCCAACTTGTCGTACAAGTAGTCTATGGCGGTGTGGGCAAGTACTAGTAGTCAGTGGCGATGTGGACAAGTACACAACCGTGAGGCTTGCTATTAGCTGTGAGTCCTTACTCCTCTCTTCCGACAGTACTGTAACGAAGTTACTAAGAACGTTCTGAACGCCATCCCGTGCTTCGCCGCACAGCTCCAGGCTTGCAACGCTGTTAAGATTGTGTATACGATACATACACACCGGTTGTGTATTTTTTTCTACAAAATCCACATATCTCCAGACACTGGGGTGAATGATGGAGTGTGGTGGTGGGGCCCATTAAGCTCCGCCGACCAGAGGTCTCGGCTTCATAGCTCCATGGACGCGATACATACACACCGGTTGTGTATACGATACATACACACCGGTTGTGTATACGATACATACACACCGGGTGCTGACTACTGCCTGATGGTGATTGTTTCCCAGCAAACAACCAGGGTCTGGTCGATGCCTCTTGGTCGCAATCCGAATCCTGCTACCCAATTTATGTTCTTGAACGAATTGTGCTCAGCAATGACCAAGAATGAGGGGGGGGGGGGAGGGGGAGATAGCAGGGCAGTAGCCTTTCTGTGCGTTAGGGCCAGCCAACAATTGCGTGATGGCAATCTATTCAGGTCTGTCAGAACAAACCTTCACCTGTTGAGTTGGTATGACTTCACATGATCACAGCCGCTAATTTCGTGTGAGATTGTTGTGAAACGTTTATTTTATGTGTCAAAATTGCAAACGGAATGCCGCATTCGGGAAACTAATTTTGAAAGTGCTGAAAGTCTTGCCTCTCGGTTGATTTAGACAAGATAGGGATGATTTTATTTGGAACACTTTAGTTTTCTTTGGAATTGCACAACATGGTGACTATGTAGCTAGCTCTCACTATTTTCAAGAAAACAATGCCGTGCAAGAATTTGAAAAATCTAACCGACTTTGTTGTCTACTCGCCTTTCCTTGCATCGTACAACGTTGTCGCCGGGATTGTCAGTCAAGCTAGCTGTCATATCAAGTCAACCTCTGCCAGCGGAAGCAGTGCATGCCTCGATTACATTTTGGAGGATAGAATCTGGTCCCTGCTATTAAATGAAGAATATTATATGTACAATAGAGGTTACATTGTGGAGAACTATGTTATGTAGAACGAACCGTATAGATACTCTGTCATCCGGGAATTTCGAATATCTACGTTATATTGAGGTTGATGTTCAAGCGAGAGTCGTTATATCGAGAGTTGGCCTGTACGTTGATAGTCACTACTTCTAAGTCATCCTCTTTGCCTCTATCCACCTTATCCGTGTGTCCTCCAGCTGGTGCCATTCTTGCACTTGTTGCCTTTTTCAGTGGACTGCGCTACACATACCTGAGACGATATGTCGCTGCTCCCTTGCCATGCACGTAGCGACAAGTACTTGCTTTGCTCACGCTGCGCCGCTAGTGAAGTTAGTCATCTTCTGTAGTTGCTGGATATGCATTCTTAGGCTGACGTGCCTTCCATCGCCTCTAGTTCTAGAACGGGCCACCCGTGGCCATTGCTACATTGCGCACGGACTTGCATGCCACTGGCCTTGCTGCGTACTGGCATGTCGCTTCACTCGTCCCACGGCACACCTCACTCTTGTCTCCATGGCTGATGGTATGGTAAGAACTGGCTTGTCCGTCGCCCGTCCGCCTACCCGATCAGCTGAGACGTTTAGCTCCCCCCCCCCCCCCCCCCCCGCTCTTATAAAGAGCAAACTAGCAGGTCCTAGACACCTGTGCGCATCACGATTTGCCAGTCAAAGTGACTGTGTCATGTTTTTTCCGTCCCTTATCAAACATATTCTATTTTTTCTATATTCTTGTATCCTAGGTACCGGTCCGTTCTTAGCCTCTTTTGTGTCCCGTTATGAAAATAGACACTGCTCTGGTATATTGGATTTGATTTTTTTTAATGCTATACATGACTATTTAATTCACAGCGTGAATGCTGGCATCCTGCACGCCCCCTCTACTGCCACCAAATTCCTGCTATTTCGCATGCACTGCTTACTGCTTACTGATGCTGTATCGCCACCGGCTAATGGCTACGACTCACGCTGGGTGCATTTTGCATTTTGCGCACGCTTTCACATCTACGACATGACTTCTTGAACTCTCTTTTTAACCAGCCTTATGAGGGATGTCTTGTCCCAACTTGAGTTTCGAATGTGTCTTCTTTTTTTTATAGTTATTTCTTCTTTGAGACACAATAGTATCTGCCAATTCTGTCTGTTTAGTATGGCTTGCCTCTGGGCTTGGCATGTTTCATTTTGCCCCCTTGCATAATAAAAATATTATATCCTTTCTGTAGCGGGTGCACTGTGCGCTTATCAATGATTTTTTCTCAACTGTCTTCTTGGTTCTTCTTTAACGTCTGTCTTAAAGCGTTTCTGTGGAGTGAGAAAGATAGTTATTATCAGAAGTAAAAGTTTTAAATGCATAAAACAAAGCAAGCTGCGCTTTGATCGCACATGCACATCATTGAAACGTTTTTGTTGCTGTATCTTTGGAGGGATTGTTTTACTGACGATCAATACCCAATAATGCATGAGTAACTAGTAAGACTTGATCCCGTTTGCAACTAAATTACTTTCCCTCAAACTAATGGATAAGTACAACGTTTTGTTTGGAATTAACTTTCGCTGTGTTCGTTAGGGGGCACGAAATAACTAAAGATTGTACCAAACTAAAGATTTTTTCTGAACGTTCGGGGTGACAAGACCTCGACCGAAAACGAAATTTAGTATGTAACGAACCTGCTGGTGGAGTGATCTAACGAAAGATTTCGTAACGACAAGCATAGTGAGGGTCCTGAGTTGACAACTCTCTCGTGTGCATGTGCCTGCGGCATTTTTACTGCTAACCTACAAGTAAAACATTCAAACCCAATAGCAGTGCCGCTTTTCAACAGAAAGGGGGGGGGGGGTCAGCAAAGACTCCAAGATGCCTTTGACTTGGCATGCTTTCAAAAGAGCAAGGGCCAAGCGCCCGGGGCAGACAACTTAGATCATGCCACTGAAGAGCATTGCTTGGGTTTGACTGGACCAGTACGACCATGCGTACCTTGTACCAGGAGTTGATTGTAATAATTATTAAAAGTGTTCAAAAATCTGAGAATAACTAAATAGACCGTAGATGGATAAAAAGTGCTTCAAATCAATAGTTCTTGTTCAAAATTCAGTTTGAATGATCAAGGGCAGGATTGATCTTGGCAAACCAATCCGGCCTGCAAAGAAATGTGTTTAGTGTTGCGCACAACAGTTTGCGGGGGAAATAATAAAAGTGACTGTACAGAAGGATTGAGAGTTTTTCATACTATATTCAGACAAGAGACAAGCCACTCACTCGTGAGTGAAACAGTCGCAGAGACGGAAATTGAAAACGCGAGGCTTGAGACAAGCATGAATGTTCAGTCGCAATAGTCAGGCAAGTTGCCCGGCTGCCGTGATCCTGCAGCCGTGCATGGCAGCTGCGCTGGCCTGCGTAGTTGCTCCAATGTTGACGTTCTGGACACGTGCTAGCAGTTGTTGAATAATTCATTGCTTACTGGAACTGTACAGAACCTTCCCTGGTGGAGTATGCTGGGTTGTCAAAGCCCTCATCGTCGTCGTGGTCCATAGTATGCTGGAAGCGTACATGACGCACTCCTCCCTTCTTCTGCACGCACAGAGAAAACAAGAGCAGAGATACCGTGTAACCGTTAATTAAACCGGGATCTTATATTGCACCGCGCCGGCTTGCGTTCACAACACAATGGCTTGGTGAAGAGTACCTTGGTCTTTGAATTTAAAAGTGTTCCGGGGGGGGGGGGGGGAAGGGGGATAGCGCCATTGCACGTTATCTACAAGTAGTCCATACTATACTTGCAACGTGTACTGTGTGCTTGTGTGCACATGTGTTGGAGGGGAGGCCTGGGGAGGGGGGATGAAAATCTCGTGTAGCCTGTAAAAGCATTGTCATGGGTGACATTGTGCTGGGTTGACTTATGACAACAGCAGATTGTAACGCCTGCTCGGTGGTGTGATAGGCCCACACACTGTGTGCTAAGACCTGAAGTTAGGTTATGCGGCATCACCTGTCAGTCCTATGCAGTGTAAAGACAAAAGTACTATGTTACGTACCTGGCGGACAACAACAACAATGATGATTCCGACAATGATCAGCGCGGCGGCGACCGAGATGATTGCGGCAGTTGCGCCGGTGCTCAGGCCCGACTTGCCTCCCTGCGTTGGCGTGACCGTGTCGGTCGGCTCGACGGCAGTGGCCGACGATCCCTGCAGTGCGACTGCGCTCGCTCCGGCGACGCTCGGGGTCCAGGTGAGCTTGAGGTTGCCAGACTGGATCTGCGTTCACAAGGGTGCACAGCAGGAAATTAGAAAAAAAGCTGGATGACCTGATCTGTCCACGGTGGGTTGAATAGATGGCAAGGTGCACGGCCAGTTCTTCATATTTGTACTGCAATGCCGCTATTAGGAACCATTCGGCATGATCTACCGTACCGTATTGCAGTATCAAGTATGTGTAGCCTGGGGTCTGATCAGCCCTGTACGTGTACAATGTACGAAGTTACAAACAGCTCACTGGAATATGCAGTTCATGGAATCTAGAAACACTGACATGCATTGTGTGAATAGCCACCCGCGCTGGTGCGCTGTTCTTACATCTTTGTTGATGGTGCTTGTAACGGCCTGGAGCTTGTCACCGGAGCTCTCCAGGGCAACTTGTACTTCAATGCTCTTGCCTCCCTTCAGGCTGGTCTGTAAACACAAGACAACGCAGAGATTTGTTATTGGCAGGGCTGGAGTCACACACGCGTGCACACACACACACACAATATAACCTAGCAAGTGAAGCCAGGATGTGACTTGCAGATCAAGAACATAAACTTTGCCACACAGTTTAATTTCTGGTCAAACTGCATGAAACTATATGCACATGCTACGCAATCACAATGGTAGCGCTACATAGCAATGCATAAGGCACGATTTGAACATACCCTGATGACAGAGAGGTCAGTGAGCTTGTACTTGGCACTCAGCGTTCGCTGGATGAAGCTGTCAGAGGGGCACAGGCAAAACAAATTCACCATACATGAATCATGAATAGAGTTCTCCAAAACACGCCACTTTTGGTTGCAGCTGTGCGATAGAAGAGTAATGCAATGTACATGTACACTCACCAGTGCATACGGTCAGAGCACCCAACGATGCACTTCAATAACGTCAGGTGGAAATTCAGCTCCCAGCCTCCGTTTCAAATTGTGGCAGATTTCTTACCTGGCAAAACTAGCCTTGTTGTCAATGACAGTTGCCTGTGAGTTGGCTGAGCCCACCATGAACACCAAGAAGATGGTACGTACTCGGATGGCAGCAGAAGCTGTCGAGGGATGACATGAAACAGTAAGAGGGAAACAAGAGCATGAGACCCGGGGCTTGCCAACACAGTCCTGGCCACTGAGTACTCCCTTGGCCCTGACAGTTCATCTGAATTCCGAGCGTGCAACAGGAGATCAGTGCCATCGGCATCGGTGGTCTAGACAATCACACGATTACGAACTTTGACAGCAAGCAATCATTCAAGTCCCCTAAACACACCCACACATGTTATACACAAACACACACACACACACACACACACAAACACACACACACACACACAAACACAACTGGTTCATGACCCTACGGCATGCAGGGCAGTGCCACTTACTCTGGACAGGTTCTTGGGTTGTATGAGGACGTGACGTACGCACGTGCATACGAGTTCCCGTTCCTGTGTGAACTCGGCTGGTCCTTGGTGATTGAGTTGGCTTGGTGCCAGTGCCTGTGTGAACTCTGCTTGTCCTTGCTGGACGAGTTGGCCGAGTTCCGGTGCCTGTGTGAACTCTGCTTGTCCTTGGTGGATGAGTTGGCCGAGTTCCAGTACCTGTGTGAACTTGGCTTGTCCTTGGTGGACGACTTGGCCGAGTTCCAGTACCTGTGGGCATCGGTCGGGTTCCAGTACCCTCGCGACCTTGGCTTGTCCTTGGTGGACGCGTTGGCCGAGTTCCAGTACCTGTGTGAACTTGGCTTGTCCTTGGTGGACGACTTGGCCGAGTTCCAGTACCTGTGGGCATCGGTCGGGTTCCAGTACCCTCGTGAACTTGGCTTGTCCTTGGTGGACGCGTTGGCCGAGTTCCAGTACCTGTGTGAACTTGGCTTGTCCTTGGTGGACGAGTTGGCCGCGTTCCAGTGCCTGTGTGAACTCCACTTGTCCTTGGTGGATGAGTTGGCCGAGTTCCAGTACCTGTGTGAACTGGGCTTGTCCTTGGTGGCCGAGTTGGCCGAGTTCCAGTGCCTGTGTGAACTTGGCTTGTTCTTGGCAGATGAGTTGGCCGAGTTCCAGTGCCTGTGTGAACTCTGCTTGTCCTTGGTGGATGAGTTGGCCGAGTTCCAGTACCTGTGGGCATCGGTCGGGTTCTAGTACCCTCGGGAACTTGGCTTGTCCTTGGTGGATGAGTTGGCCGAGTTCCAGTGCCTGTGTGAACTCTGCTTGTCCTTGGTGGATGAGTTGGCCGAGTTCCAGTACCTGTGGGCATCGGTCGGGTTCCAGTACCCTCGTGAACTTGGCTCGTCCTTGATGGACGAGTTGGCCGAGTTCCAGTGCCTGTGTGAACTCTGCTTGTCCTTGGTGGATGAGTTGGCCGAGTTCCAGTACCTGTGGGCATCGGTCGGGTTCTAGTACCCTCGGGAACTTGGCTTGTCCTTGGTGGATGAGTTGGCCGAGTTCCAGTGCCTGTGTGAACTCTGCTTGTCCTTGGTGGATGAGTTGGCCGAGTTCCAGTACCTGTGGGCATCGGTCGGGTTCTAGTACCCTCCTGAACTTGGCTTGTCCTTGGGGGATGAGTTGGCCGAGTTCCAGTGCCTGTGTGAACTCTGCTTGTCCTTGGTGGATGAGTTGGCCGAGTTCCAGTACCTGTGGGCATCGGTCGGGTTCTAGTACCCTCGAGAACTTGGGTTGTCCTTGGTGGACGAGTTGGTGGAGTTCCAGTGCCTGTGTGAACTCTGCTTGTCCTTGGTGGATGAGTTGGTCGGGTGCCAGTGCCTGTGTGAACTCGACTGGTCCTTGGTGGATGAGTTTGCTGCATTCCAGTACCCTCTTGAAATTGGCTCGTCCTTGGAGGATGAGTCGGCATTAGTCTGGTTCCGGTGCGAACCCTGCTGGTTCTCGGAGAATGAGTTGGCCGAGTTCCAGTTGCTCCTGTCCTGGGACGGTGTGTTCCGCCACCACCTCCACCTCCACCTCCTGGCTGAGCCACTGTATTGGGAGAGAAGAACAGGGCGAACAACCTTGTGTTAGTCTCAGCCATGTAACCCATGTTCGCAGAGCAATCCACCATAATTATAGACATACCACTTCCAGCGAGGCTAGCCGCCAAGAAACGTTCAGCATGTCTGCATCCTCTACGAGTACTGCAATCTATTCAGGGACCAAATAATAATTATCTTGAAATTTGATTATTTGAAGCGTTGTTTGTTGTAGGAATCCAATGCAGGGTTGTAGCACTCGACCATGGCTGGTGTGAGCATGGCCGGCGGACCTTATGTCAAAAACAGGTTGACCACCCCCACCGGCCCACCCCAATTCGTGTAGAACGGGTTTTGTTGTTGTTGTCAATAACATTCATTTCCGGTCACGACAACTGAGCAGCCCCTCTTCTTTTAGCTGTATACTATATGCACAGCTAGTGCAGCCATCAACTGGCCGTATCATCTCTTGGGGAACGGATGCTCCCTTCCAGTTCCACGGTCTGCCTTGAGAGTCTGTTATTCACACTCCACTCGTATCCCCTTACCTGCAACCGCAGCGGCTAGCAACAGAGCAAGAGCGAATTGCCACTTCATGGTCCGTGCAAAGACAGCTCTGTAGGAAAACAAACACGCACGACAGAAGCAAGACATTTTGCGAACCTCCTTCTTCTACAGGAATTCTCGGAAGCCTAGACCTCTTCCAGGATCGCGAATTGAATGAAATAATTCGGACTCTGTACATGAAGTAGTAGTAGCGAGCGGGCAGCCGCACCTCGCTGTTTTATGCCATGCATGCGGTTCGACTTGAACTTCTAGCTAGCAGCAGATCTTCAGCAAGATTTACCAGCGCAGAATATCGAACTGGTTCGCGGGATCACTCATCGCCGAGCAGTTTCTATGGTGAAATGTAAACTCTCTGTTCAAAATGCCCCAGCTGTGCTATGTCCACTTACCGGCAGGGTAGCTTGACGACAGTGGATTAGTTGAGCTAATCTTCTTCACTCGATAACTGGTGTTGCCGGCCGGATTCTCCTCGCCGTCCACTTCCCAAGAAATGATTCGCTTCTCAATCTCAGGTTCCATTTTATAGCCGAAATGGAAAGGATCCTCCCCGGCCCCACAGCCAGTTGCAATGGGAATTGCAAGGTTCATATGCCTGATCCAGTAGCACAGTTTAGTAATGCCGATATGTGATCCGTGATTTTTGGGATACTGTCTCTGTCCGTATTCTGGTATTGCGGTAACAGCACGAGGATTCACGTGACTCGTGTCAACCGTGGGGATGGTCGAGCTAGGTACGTTTGGCTCGGCGATCTGGAAAGTCCTGGCTTTGTGTGAAACGGAATGGTACGGCTGTCGCTTAGGCATGAGGTCAAGGCGTGAACGGGCGATGAGATGTCTCCTGCGAGGAACGGTACCGGCCGGGTACCGCGGTCTGAACTAGCAGCATTTTGACAAACGTGAAATCCTGGAATCACGGTGCCGGTACAAGACTGCGTCAGCGGATCACGTTCCACACGAAGATCTTGTGACGGTGTGTCTGCTGTACAGCCATCGCCCATCACCGCTATCTCTTTCTTAGAAAGGTGAGACATTCGCTACATGGCATCTATCTTGTCTACGGTGTCTCTCGCGCGCTGGGGCCAAGGTTCTAATGTTTCTCCTCCTCCATGCTTAGTCAGCATGGGTCGCAGAGAGAGAGAGAGAGAGGCGGCGGCTCCAAGCCAAACAAACACTACCTCTGCACGTAGACCTAGGTAGATCACTACTACTACCAAGAGTACATAACCCCCAGGGGTTATGTACTCTTGATACTACTATACTCTTATAGACTAGTCATGATTACAGGGCCCCCACCTGTTCACCCGGGGTAGGTCAGCAGGATTCCATCGCGGACAGACAGTAAGGTGTGTCGGGTCTGGCTGTCTGGTACACGTGACGTAGTCTGTCGGAGATCACCATTACTAAGATCAGCATCGTGCGTGACATGTATTCGAAACATCGCTTCTTTCCTAGGTATTTTAGATGCAAAATGACTCACCCACTACGCCATGCCATGAAAGTAAAAGTCTACACAGAAATTTCACTCTAAACCCACTTGTTCACCCTTCCTGCAGCAGTGCAGGCCTGTAAGTTTGTTAGCACAGTACTGCAACACCAAATTGGCAATGAACTTCGATCGCCTTCACCCCCAATGACGCAAACTGACTCCATAACAGATACTAGTACAATGTAGTTATGCACACAAAAGGCACACTGGAGGGTTACTTAACCGTTGCTTGTGACATGTTTAGTGGGACTTGGCCAGTAAACCATGATTGTGGTGATGGTTGGTGGATATTGATTCCGCGCTTAAAAATTGCCATGATCCATTAGGCATTACTTAGTGGTCCTGTGGATGGTCACTTCGGGGAGCTATGAGGGGAGTTACTAGTACCAGTAGTATTACAGGGCGGAAAGTGTCGATTATGAGCGCTAGCCTTCAGTATGTTGCAAAAGCAACACACTGTGACACAACCTGAAGCGCACCCACCCACACGTACATAGTGTACTCGAAGTATGTACATGTACATGTATGTATTCTTTACTTCGCAAAGTCAAACGGGATCATAGACATAGAGTCTAGAACTCTCAGTCTCAACATCACCAATACTCAATAGGTCTGAGGGTTGAATTATCTTCACGCCCAAGCTACCTTTTTACAATCCACTCCTTCCACTTCTATTATTCGCTCATACTTTCCGCGCTCCCCCCCCCCCCCCCCCCCCCCACCCACCCAACTTGACCCAAGTGACCATCCACCGTGACATTCCGCACGACTACTACAATCATATCCATGATAGATCATCGGCATCATGGCAATCTTTCCGCGCCGAATCCAACCATCACCACATTATAGTTTTTAATTATTACATGTACTGTATACAGTAGTGGGAACGTGATGATTATAACCTTCTTTTGCAGTAAGTGACATGCGTGGGTGGCCACAAAGTAACAGTTAGTTGGTCCAGTAATAACCCGACCGACCGCACCGGTTCCGACGGGCCTGATAAGTGATACAACTTACAAGACAGTTGTGCTGTAGGTGAAATTCGAAAAACGGGCAAATTCTGCTCGAAAAGCAGTGAAATTGGCTGAACCATACGAACCTTATGCCGGCAGGCAGTTCCTTGAAATTCATGAAACAGACAAGAAAAGTACCAAATTCTGCCAATTTTTCTGCCGGCCTCGCGACACTAGTGCCGGCATCCGCCAAGGGCTACTTGTCTTTGTCTGTGGTGGGTTTGGCCCGAAATCAAAAATTCATTGCCGAGTTGTCATGTAACAAGGCTGGGGGTGCATGTTTGTCTACATGTCTGAGGAAGCTGAAACGCTCCGTTCGTCCTGTGCAATCGCTTACGCAAAAGAGAAGAGCTTGTAGTATACTACTACTAGTACTTAGAGTCTACTACTAGTGCGCCAGATGGTCGGTAGGGAGCTGTGCTGAAACTTTTACGCGTCACCTAAAAAAGCCAAGGTATTGCCACTATTGCCAGTATTGGTCCGAGGATGCTGCGACACATCATTCATTCATCGATACAGCTGTACTGTACTTGCATTTAGATTGCCCATGCAGGAGACATTACCAAACGAAGAGATCATAGTCAGTTAGTGAGCCGGTCAAGGAGAATAGTAAACGAGGGAAACAGTGGGGTACAAGTTAGAGCCCACCAACTAGACCAGATCTTGAACAGTCGGACTTGCACAATTTACCACAAACTGACAATACAACTTACAAGGAGTATTGAGACATTCCACGGCATAAAAGTGAGCTTGAGCACTGCTATGCTTGATAGCGCTAACGGTAACGGGGTCGGCAACGGCCCTCCATCCTGAAAGGTTCATGGATATCAGCCAAAGAGGGGAAGGCAAGCGCCATCGATCGAGCCGAACACAAGCTTCTCCATTCCAAGGCTCCAAGGAACGATAACGGGATGGTAAGACCATTGGACACTGGGTCTAACCACAAAGTACCCCTCCCCAAGACGTTGGCTGGTAGAAGTAGAACCCTGCTACAGTCAAACCTCGTTAGGACGAACTTCAAGGGACCGAACAAGTAGTTTGTTTGTCTTATCCGGAGTTCTTCTTATCCAGATCTGACAAAAAATAATATTATGCATATCATCAAGAGTACATAACCCCGGGCCGGCCCCCAGGGGTTATGTACTCTTGATATCATAATAATTATGGATTGTATTTACACAAGGCAGAACAACAGAGACCAAAAATCCTTCTCGTTACTCCGAGTTTCGTGTTTCAAAAACACTCATCAGACGTGAATTGTATTTATGTGAAGGTCACCATGGTACTAGGTGCATGCTGCGGTAAATGAAAAACATTTTTTCAAAACATAACCCAGCAACAGGTAAGTACAATCAATGTGCCGCATGAATTCATGACAGCATTACATCCGCCTTGTAACATCTAAAGGAAAGTTCGCCTTCTCAGTGTTTGTCCTAACGAGGTTTGACTGTAGTACATCGTGTACAGTACTATGCTGGCATACCATAGTAGGATCAAGACTCAGAGGGTACAGTACTATGCTGGCATACCATAGTAGGATCAAGACTCAGAGCACTTAAACTCGGGGTACTGTACTCTTGGTATGACCAAGAGTAGATAAACAAGAGTAGATAAACAAGAGTGTGCAACTCCGGATCTCTTCTGCACAATCTGCAGATACCCCCGTCTGCGGCGGAATTTTTTGTTGACGTCACCCTTTTTCAGAAGAACGCGCATTTTGCCCCAGAGCAGTGTGAGAGCACGTGCTGGGCACCGACTTTGTAATGTAAAGCCCGGCCAAGTGCACGAGGTAAAACTTTCCAAAAGACTCGCAGCGCGTGCATCGTCGAAAAGATTACGTCAACAAAAAATTCCGCCGCGGGCCAACCCATCCCGGAGTTACACACTCTTGTTTATCTACTCTTGGTATGACCCATACAGTATCTCAGACAGTTTGACCTCGGACCACACCCACAGCGCCCACAAGGCACTGTCACGCTCACGCCATCACGCTTTTCTTACACCAGTAGATGTCGGGAGTTGACATAATAATCATGTGTGTGAAAGGTGGGCAGTCACAGAAGCATGTTGGCACTGGCAGCGTCGGCAAGGACATTGTAATGAAAATGCTTAGAACCTCCACATCTGCACACCAAAACACAACTATTAAATCTGTTCCAATAAAGTATAAATTATTCGATGTTCAACACTAAAACCTCTAAATGATATACTGCTGAATTACAGTTAGAGATAATCGGACCTCCACATGCCAGTACAGTTCATCAAAGTCATCGAATCCTGAATGCCAGTATCACAAGCAAACCTGACAGTGTTGACTGCTATGATGAACAAACAATTGAAATGAGACACCTGCAGCAGATCTGTGAGGAGACAGCTGGGAAGCTCAAGTTGTGCATTCTGGAATTGCAAGACCCGACGGGCGCATCGTGGACCAGCAGGTTCCGAGGCAACAGGACACCCTAGTGAGATATTGCATGGCACCAGCCCTCACGGTTGTGGACTACACTGTACTATATCATGTGCAGTCACCACCGCCCCACAAGCCAACAGGAAAAGTAGCCCTGGTGCATGGTAACCGGTGTTAAATTGAGGGAAAAGGCGTTAAATCTCCAGGTGCACAGTTGAAAGGGATACGCGAGGCAGAAATCAAACTTCACACGGATACACTGGTAGAGTGCCTGTTTTCTGTTGGCGAGTGTACGACGGGTGGCCAAGATGGCAACAGGTTCAATAGCCACGGCTAAGTCCTCTTCCTCTTCTTCCCTCGACTCTTGTCTTTGCTTGCCTGGGGAACAACAGTGCAAGGCAGATGAACCCAAAATGAAAGGCTGAACCCTGTGTGTGTGTGTGTGTGTGTGTGTGTGTGTGTGTGTGTGTGTGTGTGTGTGTGTGTGTGTGTGTGTGTGTGTGTGTGTGTGTACTATAAATAATAATGTAAATACCAGTGCAAGCTGTACACACAACAAAGTGGACGAAGAAGTTGAACACATTCTAAGTGTCAAGACCACTATGGTCTTTGAATACACGGACAACAAAGATAATGCAACAGGCACAATACGCACACATACCTGGAGAGCAGTCTGCAGCTTTCCAAGACTATCCTGCACAGAACACAGCAAACGTGGAAACAGGCCGAACTATGGTCAGCAAAGAACAGTCTGAAACAGTGGATCAATGGCAAACACAAATAGTGAGAATCGGTTTGCGTGCGTGAATACGTGAGCGTGGTGTGAAGGAGAGAGAGAGAGAGAGAGAGAGAGAGAGAGAGAGAGAGAGAGAGAGAGAGAGAGGGAGAGAGAGAGAGAGTGAGAGAGAGAGAGAGAGGAAAGTGCCAAGACAATTTCGTAACACACACACATACGCACAACAAGATAGACATACACACAATTTGACCATTTGACGCCCATTGCCGGAGGCGATGATAGCGATGCTACAACAGAAGCCATAGCAGCTTGTGCTGGGATTCCACCATTCACCAGCTTGCAAGGCTGAAGAATTGACCGCCACTATTCAGCCTGGTGTACACCACACAGCTATGAAGTGGCTTTTTCTGGCCAGTGAATCCCTACTATATGGTGCAGTGACAGACACACACACACACAGACACACACACACAGACACACACACACACGCTAATCCTAACCTCGTAAAGATCAAAGTGTGCCTGCAGATCCTCGTCGGAAACCTTCAGTTTCTTGAATGCGTCCTTACCAGCAGCACGCATCATTGCCTTGTAATGATGCACCTTGAAACACATGAGCAAAAGCAGCAACTTCAGTTTGCGAGTTTACGGTTCATGCGTGCCTAACGCACGTTCAGAAAACAGCAACTCGAATCGTATTTTAGGGCGTGGGACAACTTAGAGTTCCAATTTTAACCCTGCCAGTCAAAGTGACTGACATGTGCCTCGGCACATGCCAAAATAGTAACCCTTTTGGAATGTCCATTTCGCCGCGTTTCCATACATGCGCCCCTCAAGCCAGCAAATATAAGCACAAGCGCATGGTTTTATGCGCAAACACGCCAGCTATGGTGACTGTTCCCCTTTATAACATTGTGCCGTGTCCCAGATGCTGCTCTTACAGTATCAAGGCTGCCTACAAAAGTGATCAAATACTACTAGACAGTTCAGGTAACTAGCTAGCTTGCGTGGTCAGAGTTGACTTGCTGTCCAGTGCAGGTCTACACATCAAAATCAGATGTTTCTATAGGGCTTGATTCTTTGCTTCTCTAAGTTCAGAGTCTTACAAACTCAGACAGCACAGACGCAGGATACACAGAACAGTGCAGCGCACACAGTACCTCCTCAGGCCGCAGGACAGTGTAGCCATCCCCGGACCTGCCGGCTCGCGCCGTTCTGCCCATGCGATGGATGTGCGTCTTGATGAACTGCGGCGCGTCGTAGCTGATCACGTGCTCCACCTGATGCATTCCAACGGGGAGACACGTGCACAGCAGAGATACAAGAGAAGCACACAGGTAAGACATGGGCTAATTTCTTGTTTACTTCATGAAATGGCTGGTCAATCACCCACTGAGCACTCCCTAAGATTCTGAGTTTCAGTACCAGGTAGGAAGGATACAATGTGGATCATCAGGCAAAACAAAAACAAAACGACATCAAGCAGCTCGGGTAGATATATTATCCGACTGGCAGCAGGAAGATGGGGTACCTACCTTCTCTATATCCATACCACGAGCCATTGCGTCCGAGCAGATTAAACTGCAAGCACACAGGCGGCACAGACACTAAAGGATGAGAAATGGTAGCACACTATTAAAGTGGGTTGTGACGAGTACACTCAGGACACCTCCAGCCAGGTATTAAATTAAAAGTGTTTACCTGGCATTTTGCGGTTCGGGTTATCAGGATTCTACCTGTGTAAGGGGTCGTCCGTATTTTTCGAAAAATTAAAAAATCCGTCCTCAGGCAGAAAGGGGGTGGGTGGTCAAGAGTGCTGGCGGAATTTAATTTTTTGATTTTTCGTACTTTTTTTTTCGTCAGTGACTCATACACTCGTTGCACTGACTCGTAGTGCACTGTAGTGTAGGATCGCAAACACCAGTATGATATACCGGTACATGACTTTTTTGTGGTTGTAGGACGTGCATGGCCTTCGGTAGACCTACTCACTTTACTTAGCTACTAGTACTTGACATACATACGTCATGTACATGTAGGTGCAATCACTGAATCAGTGAACATGGGGTCAGGAGTTCTTATTTTCGAGCTGGGCATCGGTAAAAATCAAAAAATTAATGGGAAAAAATGGGGGGTGGGTGGGTGGGTCAGAGACAATTTTGCACGAGGACGGATTTTTTAATTTTTCGATAATTACGGACGACCCCTAACGAAAAATAATGAAAGTTTATTCCAAATGAAAGTTTGCAGTTCTTTAGTACAAGTATTGAAAAAAAAGCCAGAATGAGTACCACAGACGTATGCACAGGACGGACAGTCGGTAAATCTGCATGGACCCATGCTGCATTCCAACATGGCACAGCAAGTACAGTGCACTCACAGCTGATAGCGGCCCAGCTTGAAGTTCTCCAGGAGGCGCATGCGATGGCCACGCGTCAGTTCCGAGGAGAAGTGTTCCACCGTGATTCCGCCCATGATTTTCAGCAGTGTGTACAGCCTAAGAGGAACAACGACAGGAACAATATCACCAGCACGCACAGCAGCAAGGAGACAAAGTGACAGAGACCAGACAAGCAATTTGAAAGTGCGAGAGTTTTGAGCACAGTTGTTACACATGGATTCCGGCCCATTACCCACGACAGAGTCTTCATCTGGTTATACAATAGAGAGCTATATCATCAGGCTGGACACTGACTTCATTTGGGTCCTGTGACAATCTATTTAGTCAATGGGCAGTAGTACAATTCGGTAGCTGCTACTGAATAACTATGCATCTGGATTTTCAGATTGACTCAGCTGAAGCACCTGAAGTGTATTCCTGGCTTGAAAGAGCATGTGCATCAACCAATGTATTCGCATGCTACTGTGTCACCTCAGTTAGCCAGCGTAAGCAGCTGAGCTCACACACCGTACAACATACACCAGTGCCTGGATGACTTCCAGCTGCTCGTACTCGTACTAGCAGAGAAAGCAGACGACGTGCACAACTGTACTGGCAAAGGGCCATCTCTCCAGCAAGCAGAGAGATCCCATACAGCACTACAGCCAGGAATACCCTATGTGAAAAAGGTTCAAAAAGCCACTTGCCGCCACTTTAGAAAGACAAAACCCGCTCACAACTGGTATCCGGCCATGGCGTGCATTCCAACTCACCTGTGTGTGGACTCCAGTGACCCAGTGAAGCACAGCACGTGGCGGAAACCCTGGTCCTTGACAAGGTGGTAAATCAGCAACGGCTTCTGACTGCCATCGCAGATGATAATCCGTTCCTGCAGAAAGGGGAGATGAAAACATTAACAAACCAACACAAAAGTCATTGGATTACATGCATACACACTGGCCAGTAGGTGGCTTCCGCATTGGATACACAAAGCGCAAGTCCATGGCAGCACAGATGCCCTTTCTGCATCAACTGCAAAGCAGCTGGCACTACAGATTGAGGAGTAGCATAAGATTTCCCGGATCGGGACTTACTGTCAGCGCAGCAGGCGTGCTGTATCGGCCCGCAAAGTTACCGGTGACGGGACCGGACTGGTCTTGCTGTTGCTGAAGTTGCAACTCGTCCACAACCGTGAACAGCCGAGGGCGGAACAACATCAACTTGGACAGCTTCTCGGGATCTTGCGTCAAAGTCGCGGAGAACAGCATTTTCCGCACCTGAAATCATTCCGCACGCATAGATAGTACATAATGACAATGTTCAAAATACTCATCACTGGACGGGATGGCACCATACGACAATCGAATTATACCACAATACAGATTGATCATTTCTATACATGTACACAACCTCACTCATCCTGCCATTCAAATAGCAATTATCTTCATCATCATACGACAGACTTCATGCTACTGTTTTGAAATACCCCGAACATTCAGAAAATCTGCATGATGCTGAGTTGCTCCTCTCGACATGTGCAAATAGATTCCTGGAGCCCGCTCATAGTCTGAAGTTATGGAAAATGATCAATCTGGCAAAGTGAGGCCTAGAAGCTCGATACCAGTTCTGAGTCGGCTAAACTATTGAACATTTACAGTTACCCTGACGTGGCCATACCAAGCAGTGTGGACACATGAAACAGCACATGCAAACATGTCCACACGCACATGCAGCGAGCAGAACACCGAATGCATACTGTAGTTTCACAAATTTTCGGTGTAATTTTATTTTCGGTACTTTCGGTGCATCTGTTTCATGTTTCATACCGAAAAATTTAAATACACCGAACAAACACTAACACACATAATCCAATAGGGAACTGCTTCTCTGTACCTAACATTTCTGTTCACCTAACCTGGCCTTTTGCCCTCATACCGAAAATATTGAGCACCGTAAATTTCTGAAATTGGTGTAATCATGTTCGCAACATGTACGAAGCTCAAGAGTCAGGGCAAGCAAACCTCACCTTGTGTCCAGATCCAAATAACCTGCCGGGGGAAATACACAGACAGAGCAGAGAAGCACAGTGAGAGACACAGTAACGCCATTGGTACCCAATGACTTGCAACTGCACACAATGCCCCGTCAATACGTACCCAGAAATCATTTCAGGTCACAAAGATACTGAGCCTACTTGTATGAAGATGTTGCTCCCCCCCCCCCCCCCCACACACACACACGTGTTGTTCCACATATGCATCTGGAGTGCACAGTTGAAAAACCAGGAGTATGCGGGTATTGCAGTGAGAAGGAGGAAAGGATCTGGTAAAATTGGTTAATACAGTACTAGCTTTTTACAGGGACAAAGTGCCTGAACGTACAGGGAACTAGTTGCACGAAGTTGAGCAAAGCCACATGCTGCGTGCACTTTGCCGAGCCAATCCTGGAACGGCTGATCCAATAACCGATCCGCTTCGTCCAGGACCTAGCCAAAAGAACACATGAGCACACACGCGCACGCATGCACGCACAAGTGAATACATATACATGTGACCAAGAGTACAAAACCCCTCAGAGTGTGCAACGCCTGATCCAGCTCTGCAGAGGGTCTTGGTCGAGTGTAATCGGATCTTTGCGTTATAATACCGTACAGATCTGAGGGGGACCTGGGGAGTCGCGAGGACTGTCTGATCGAAAACAACGGTGCCCTGCCTCGAGACCGGCCTTGCGCTGGTGTGGAGCGTACGCATGACATCAGAAGATCCGACTACGCTCGACTAAGACTTCATGCAGAGCTGGATCGGGCATTGCACACTCTGGGGGGGTATGTACTCTTGATATAACCACATACACATCCAACACAAATCTGCTACTAGGACTCAAGAGTCAAGACACCGCAAAAAAAAGGCACGAGCTAAAGAAACTCAGCGTGAGTTACATGTCTCACAAAAGCTTCAAACAAGCTACATTGTTTACTTTGACATTAGAACCATCACTATTGCTGACTTACCAGAAATTCCAACTGCTTCAATGAAAAGCCAGGAGTGGATGAGATGTGATCCACCAGGCGTCCAGGAGTGGCCACTACGATGTCAACATACCTGAACAGTGAGAGTACCAGAAAGAAATTGAGATACGGAAACATTGAGCTTCAGGATACTCACCGAAACACTGTGATATGTGTGATGTGATTTGGACTTGGCTACCAGCTATACCAGGCTGCATTATACTACGCGCCGGCAAGGGGGTCGGATTTCAGTTGCCAGCACTGTAGCAGCGTAATAGCTTTTGATCTGGACAGCATACGTAAGAAACTATCTACAATAAACAGTGCCCTAAAGCTTACTCGGATGAGATGGTGGCTTGCTCCTTTGCAAAGTCAGTCTGCCCAGTTGCCAAGCATATCTGCCCATCAAGATACAACAACAGCAGCAGTGAGACAATGATGCAAATAATAGATTGGTACATATACGAGACGGATCACATTGGCACGCTGTATAAGAACATGGTTGAATTTCTACAACAAAACAATGATGCTGGTCATTCGCTAGACAATGAATACTGAATACTTCAACTAGGTACATGTAATTGTATGGTGGTAGTGGAGGTGGTGGTGGTGGTCGTAGTGGTGGTGGCGGTGAAGATGGTGGTGTGTGTTCATGTACTGTATGTACGACTTTATGACTTAATGTGCGGGTGCACGTGATGTATGGTCGGCCTACCTCAAGGTCAGTGTGAGCTGACATGGACTTGAGCACACGGAACACTTGCTGTGCCAGGTCACGAGTCGGAAGCAAAACCAACGCTCGTATTGCGGGAACAACACGGCATGACAGTCTCTGTTGGGTGGTTGCAAACGCAGGCACATAACAAAACAGCAACACAGCGAACGATTAACCCTACGCAAAGCCACCAGTAACACGGGCAAATACTTTACTACTTAAAGTGACAAATGTTTGTCCAGTGTTTCCAATACTCCAAAGTACCCTCATATCGTACGTAGTCTGTCCAGTAGACTCTTACTGTGTCATGTGCATGCATGTGCATGTAGTACCACTATATCAAGTCCAACCTGACACAAAAAGCTGGTGTTCCAGAGCCACACTTGGAACTTGGAAAGTAGTATCGAATGAAAGAGTTTGCACGTGCCCAGCAGCACTCCCATCACTCCCAGAGCATCAAGGCCGCTTTAATGCGCTTCCCGAATCCCTTCGAACAAATCGTATTCCTGTTGGAAATGCCCAAGTAAAATAACGAGAGAGCTTGGAAGCTCAGGGCCCTACGCTATGCTTTTAATGTAAAAAGGCCAGAAAATCTGATTATAAGGAGATAAAAAGGAAAAGAAGGAGCAAACCAAAAGCGGATGAAGTGAGAGAAAAATAACAATCCGCAATAAATTCTGCAAATACTTTTGTCAGTCTTTTGCCTAACACATATTCAAACTGATTGAAACGTTTTTGCAATACAATGATGTAGCCAATCAACGGAAAAAAACATTTCCATCAGTTCTAGTAACATGTACGATGAGCTAGGCAAAAAATGTCCTGATGTCTGTCCCGTTCACGCTTATTTTGGAGTCGACGAGATGTCTGTCCTGACGTTTTCTGTGACCGGCGCTGACTCTGCCGATCACGGGCGTTCTGGACTCGACGGGATCTCTCTTCCAACATTTCCTGTGACCGGCGCTGAATCGCCCGTTCACGCTTATTTTGGAGTCGATTCTGCGTCTGTCCTGGCGTTTCCTCGGACCTGCGCTGACTCTGCCGATCACGGGCGTTCTGGAGTCGACAGGATCTCTCTTCCGATGTTTCCTGTGACCGGCGCTGAATCGCCCGTTCACGTTTATCTTGGAGACGACGGGATCTCTCTTCCAAAGTATGTTTTTGCTCACGCATCTTATCACCTATTCAGCAAATAGCGTCCATTCTAATTTTATTTCCTCCTCGTCTCCCTATTAATTTTCTTTCCAAATCTCCCTCTACATCAGGGAGTCGTATACATAATGCGACGAATATTGTGGCCAGCTGTTTGTGGCCAGCTGTTATGTACAATCCTGTAGAAACTTTGTAGTCACAGATACGGGACAGATACGGTAGCTCCAGGCGTGACACAAACAAACAAACACCAAATCACAGATACGGGATAGATACGGTAGCTCCAGGCGTGATACAAACAAACAAACACCAAATCACAGATACGGGACAGATACGGTAGCTCCAGGCGTGACACAAACAAACAAACACCAAATCACAGATACGGGACAGACACGGTAGCTCCAGGCGTGACACAAACAAACACCAAATCACAGATACGGGACAGATACGGTAGCTCCAGGCGTGACACAAACACACAAACACCAAATTAAAGCTGTGTGGACCCTGGCTAGCGCCAGACGTTACTGAAGTACCGTCTTCTGCATAGCTACGGGAATAAAATACAATACAAATCGAGGGTTACCCAAGTCCCAGGGTGACAAACATGCACTTCGGTTAGGATTTCCTATACCGTAAAGTCGCGGATAAAAGCCGGGTTTGCATACAAGCATATCGCAGATAGAAGCCTGAAAATCAAACGGTTCAAATGCATATAAGCCTGTCGCACGTAGAAGCCTGGCTTCTATGCAAGCGCGGATCGGGTAAGTCAAGAGTGCATGCGCCACACCGGTAGTCAGTGGTAGATCTACGCGTGTCGATGTGCATACAAGCCTGGCAAAAATATCAGTGGTGCATATAAGCATGGTTTGCATACAAGCCTGGTTTGCATTAAAGCCTGATGCAGAAAGCGGCTTATATGCTTATAAGCCCGGCTTTTATCCGCGACTTTACGGTATACGTTGTGCAGCCTCCGCGTGTATCCAGATGCAGTGACTGAGCCAGTATTTGCAATGGTGTATCCCACTGATCTACGGTCTTACTGTGGGAAGCTCTGAGATGGCTAGGCATAATCATCCACGTCATCATTCATATCATAATCCTATACATGCTGATGCCGTCTTCACAAGCATGAATACGTGTATACGTCTAATCAGTATACGTAACACGGAGGGCTTCTCTGTACTGCCATTCTGCTGTAAACTAGACACACTCACCCGTACCTCAATAACAGGTATTCCATACGCCAGTGTTTTCCCACTGCCGGTCGGAGCAGAGACGCACAAATCTTGCGGCGGTAGACCAATCTCGTGGATGGGCGCTCTGCCATTGGCAGCACAGATGGCCTTGAGGAGGGTGGTTTGTACTGTACGTGAGAAGGAAATAATGGCAACCACACGTATGGCCGTGCACAAACCGAGATAAGCTTTCTTGATATGCTAGTGTGAACTCCCTTGCCCAACGTGAGTGAGTTCAAATAGAGAGGATTAGTAGTATGTAGCTGAGAGAGAGAGAGAGAGAGAGAGAGAGAGAGAGAGAGAGAGAGAGAGAGAGAGAGAGAGAGAGAGAGAGAGAGAGAGAGAGAGAGAGAGAGAGAGAGAGAGAGAGAGAGAGAGAGAGAGAGAGAGAGAGAGAGAGAGAGAGAGAGAAAGAGAGAATGATAAAGACTAGGATATTGGCCTGTAAGGTACATTTGATTCGCTTTCATGTTGATGACATGTGTAGCAATCCGGAAATTTGAAATACACTATACAGTATACGCACCTGGGAAAAGACAGGAAATTCCATTTCGTTTCAAGGTCTTTCTCATTGGACCTGAAATTGAAACAGCATCGACGGATACTTGATGTCGTTGTAGATCGTAATCAATGGTTGTAGGATATGCCAACCATTCGGGGAGGGAAGATTCGATAGCCTTTTGCCTAGAACGGAGGCCCCCAGTGCCCAAGATTTGAAATTGAGACGATGGTGTTGCTGGTGTGTGACTGTCTGCATCATCTTCATTATCTTTCGGATCCTCAGCCTCATCATCCTCTTCAGAAGGGGTCAAAACTTCGCTTTCCTGTTCCTCTTCCGAATTCATCCTGGATAGTTTTCAGACGTAGGCTAGAGTGGAGAATACCTCAAGAGCTAGCTAGACCTCAGCTCTGCTCATGCACGAGATATCACAATTATTTTTTAGTTTTAGAAATTGTGAATGTGATGGTGAAGGTCACTGCATGCACAAGACTTGTACATGTATGCTTACTTTGGGTGAGGTTTTCTTGCTTTTGTCCATTCTGCGCACGCTCGTTATCAACTCAGATATTTCATTGGCTGATTGGCGCTCATGACGTCATGTCACTTTTCCCTTTCGAATTATTTCTGTGTTTCAAAAGGTTGGTGAGCAACAACGATAGTGAGAGCAGAACAAGATCATCATGAAGACGGTGCCTTGTGGTTTTCATGTCTGAATCTAGCAAAGACTAGTCGTACAGAGACCAGTATCATAATTCCAAATCTCGGCAGGAGTAGGATAACACAAGTCATACTAATAGTAATACAGAAAGTCGGTCATAATTGTTGTATTCACAACAGCAATGCAAAATGAATTATGCCAGAGTTGCAGCTAATGTTGGACTGACCGGCTATGGCGCATTGTTATTCAGTAATGCTTTTATCAGAGATTCCCATGGGCAGCCGCCTTACGACAAGCTTGAAGATGAGCTATTGAAGCAGGATGTGCTGAATACTGCCAAAGCATTGGGTATGACGAATTTGGAGAAGTTGCACCTGTTCACGTATGATGGATACTATGCAATGAGCCACGGAACTCTGGGAACGCCAGGTGGTGCGTTTTTGCTGCTCCCAAAGTTTTTCTCTCGTGAGCATCTCTACCAAGGAAAGAATCGGTTTGGACTAGATGAAACCGTGTACCGCGCCTTGCGTCCTAATGACGACATTCGTAAATTCAGTATTGCACATGAGCTTGTTCATGTGCAGCGGGGTGACTCCTATATAAAGGACGGCATTTTCCTGAGCACGATGGCAGCGGCTTCCAACTTGGGAAAGCGATATTTCCGTGCTTCAAGTCCAGCCAAGCTCCTTCTGAGTTTTGCATGGCTGACTGTAAGTTACAACATTGGTTGGTTTGCGGAGATGACGTATTTGCGCTGGTCTGAGCACAATGCTGACAAGAAGGCAGCACTACTGGGAAAGGACTACACTGAAGGTGGTAAACTGCTCTGTGATAAACTGCTCATGGCCCAAAAGGCTGTGCACGATGAGCATAAGTATGGATGGGTATGGCTTGACTCCACCGGCGAGCACAGAGTTAGTCTTTCAAATCCGCTTTGCGGTGCTCGGCGGAGGAGGATAGAGAAGGTCGAGAAAATGTGGCAGCTGAAGAATAAATCCCTGGCAGAAGCGCCGATGACAGACAAGTATACGTGACAATGCGGTTCCCGTACCTGAACACATCCGGCTGGCTATTTATTGAGTATTGACACTGGGAAGTATTCACGCTATCCGATCATGAGTCATGGCTCTATAAAACTTGAACTGGCCATTGCGTCATGGCGTTTATACGCATGTCCGGTGATTTTAGCTACTCTACAATGCCTATATTCGAACTTGTGTTTCATTCATACTAGGTTCTGTGAACTGCCTTTTTTAGCAGACTTTGACCTTTTTCATGGACCAATAATATTATTCATGTCAGTATGCGAACAATGTACTGGATTGGTAGCATTGCAATTTTAACTAGAATATGCCAGATTTTAGTCGGAAGTAGCATTGGATGCCTTCATTCTTCAATTGAAGACAGGGTGTATATCAGATCAGACACGGTGTCCCCAGTTGTCATCTAAACATATCTGGCTCGAAAGCGATGAGCCGTAAACCAACGTGGATACGATTCCTTGTTGGTACTGATATTCAAGGAGTTTGATTTTCAGCGGCTCCCTGGCTGTATTGCCAATCTCTAGATTTGAACGGACTATTTGTTTTCAAAATCCATGCATTATGCCACAGCTAGTACTTTTCTTAGTTCTCATCACTGGCAGGGAGGCGAAAGGCTGTGTAGCTGTAACTTCAAGTTTCACGCATTCATCAGCGATCACCAGACAGCGTCATTCACAAAGATGTCTGCATACACCTGTATACGAGTACACGCATGCAGGTATTTGAGTGGAAATGGAGCACTTATAATTATTATTATGATCTGACAAATTATTCTCACTGCATGCACATGGCGATGAGCACCGGCACCATTACATTAATTGTCACCACCAAGACATCGGAAAGATGCATCCGCATACATAACTCAAGGTCGGTTACCATCATGCCATTTTTGTGCAAGGATAACAACATGCCAGTGATCAGTGATGACACACTGCTAGTTGCAGATGGGCGTTTTTGATGATGAAAGAGGTCATGCCAGCTACGGGTATGCTCACTCTTTTCCACATGTATCATAATTATAATGGATAGCTTGCATAGAAAATTTCGTTTGTTTTTCTAGGAATTTGTTAAATTACCATCCACGTTCCTTTTTGTTCACACGAACTTGCGACTCAACCGAAATTTAGTTGTCAGAGGCCTGAAGGATTTCATGGTCAGTTTAGAACAAAATGGCTGGTATGTCTTTTGAAGGATGGTGCCACCCACTTCTAAAGTGCATGCCTACATAGGCGGCGTAGTGTAGGATTCTTCTTTGATGCTCGTACATGTTCATGCATTCTATGGTCAGGAGCACAACAAAATGCACACTGTTCAGTGTTCACGAATACGTGCAGGCCACTCACTGCGCTGGTTCATCGATAGACCATAGCTGAGTAGAAGTGGCAATAGACTACATGATTGTATACACAAAATCAATTATTCACCATGCTGTTCTCCATGAGTGGAGTGATACAAATTTGTACAACCCTGCACAGTCTTCCCCAGCTGCACCTCTTCAATACCAAGCTGCCTACAACCTTGTTGCTAGCAGAGATTATTAAAAAGCAAAAATCTCTGGTTTCTTAGTATGCCACAGCTTGGTTGTTAGTTCGTGTACGTGTACATATGCCCCATTCCCCTAGCTACAGGCCTGTGGTCATGGCAATATCGATGGAATTCCTACTGGCACATAAGAAGTTAGTGGAGCCCCGTGCTTTTAACCAGTTGTCATCCCGATAGTGATGCAGTCAACAGCACAAGCACCAGCAGTAGTTCTGAAGAAATCCTTGAAGCCATACAGAAGAACTGTGCAAGCATCCGGCATGCTAGCCGGGAGCGGGCAGGAAAGGAAAGCGGAAAAAAACACTGCAATCTCAAGGGGGCAATGATCCCATATGAGGGGATGCGTAAAAGCCAGCAGGAGGTTCTCTGAAGTCGGTGTCAATTCTAGAAGCAGAAATAAGTACAGGCCTCCTTGAAGTGAGCATTCGGTTGAATGATGTAAGGCAGTAGTGCACGCAGGTATTGCAGCAAGCAGCTCCACAGTAGATATCACCTACACTAGTCTTGTACGTGTAGGCACGGCTTCACACCTAGAAGTCCACTTTGCCCAACTACTGTAAATATACAAAATTTCGGCGCTGCAAAATTTCGGCACTTCACGATTTTTGACATTTCGGCGGTGATTTATTTTCGGCGTGGGGTAGAGGGCATGGTATAGTGCGACAGATGCGGTGAAAAATTTCATCGGCGTTTTGGGTCGGTGCCGAATATAGCCGAAATTAAATAGCTGCCGAAAATTTGTATATTTACAGTAGTTCCTTTGTTACATGATTGTGTACAAAGTAGATTCACAAATGTCGTTCACTTGACTTTGCCTTTCTCTTCAACAAACAGGACTCGTTTATTCACTGCAGGCAGGGAAGAAATGACACACACACATACACACACATACACACACATACACACACACACACACAAACACACACACACCACACACCACAAACACACACACACACACACACACACACACACACACAAACACACACAATAGTCTACAGGCCCAGAGAAAGAAGCGTGTGTTGACAATAAATCGCAAAACAAGGATCCAATTCTGAGACTAATGATTACATGTACAGAACTTTGCTTTTTATGAAGATATACTGGTACAATAGCGCAGCGCCCCCCAAGAACGCTGCTTCCACAGGATTACCCTGGGATGGTCTTATTTTTCAGCAATCTGGCTGCGTTCTTATAGTACGTTCTTAGAAGCAATTCGTACTCGATCACATGTATCCCAAGCGTTGCCAGAAACCAACACCACCGTTCTTAGCATATCAGGCTGGACGTTCTTGGGCTCCAAGTTCTTCGCCGCGCGACTACTGTACAGGTATTTGTGCCTCCGTGGCGAACGTATGGCCAGACTCTCCATAGAAGATGAAGAGAGTCGTCGAATGGTGCTGAAAGCACTTTTGCTATTCAGCCAGTAGGTCATGCAGTGTGACCGCAGTCTAAATGTAAGACCTGTAATGAAGCCACAGGCTCCTTGAACAATTTTTCTCGTGGGTATTGATCGTGAGGTACACGTACTACGATACTATTGTCATGTGATACTGTCTCTAAGCAGTAGTTTCACACTACACATGCTACTGTAGTACTTCATATACGTGTGTGTGTGTGTGTGTGTGTGTGTGTGTGTGTGTGTGTGTGTGTGTGTGTGTGTGTGTGTGTGTGCGTGCGTGCGTGTGTGTGTGTGTGTGTGTGTGTGTGTGTGTGTGTGTGTAGGGAACTACCGCTGTTTCGCCAGACCGTCTGACAGATCACGACACAAATGCCACCGTAGTACGCATCGCCCGACTGCAGCAACACGATTGACATTTGAATGGTCCTGCCCCGACTGTGGCCGCCGTTTTCGCCGCGGGAGCGACCTCACCCGACACAGATGCCGGCGGCCTCCCTCCTCCCCGGTTCTCTCTTAAGGAGAGCCACGTGGCCCTTGTGGCAGTGCTGAACAGGAACAGGAACAGGTGTGTGTGTGTGCGTGTGTGTGTCTGAACCTGCCTACTCGACGGCATTTGTACGTGGTATGTGTTCTCACCACGGTTTTGTATGGCTCAGAGTGTTGGACCCCATTGAAGTCGGATTTGGACAAGCTGGACAGGTTCCATCACGCCAACCTACGGTGAATCCTTGGCATTTCGCGCGGCCGCCAGTGGGAGCAACAGATCACATCGGAGCAACTACGCGCACAGTGGGGTGACCCTACTCCACTGTCGTGCATGGTACAGAGAAGATGCTTGGAGTGGCTTGGGCACCTAGCTCGGCTTGATGACAATCGGTTACCCAAGCAGTTGCTCTTCGCTCATCTCCAACGAACCCGCCCGTTTTGCGGCCTCCGACATCGCTGGAAGGACGCTGTCCGGGCTGATCTGACTGTGGCCGGTGTGCACAATTGGTTCGAATCGGCCAACGATCGCGGAGAGTGGCGTGATATTGTGTCGGCAGCAGCGGGGGTGAAGGAGCCTGCCCCGAAGACGATTGTGTGCCACGTTTGCGACCGCCTGTTTCGTCGTCGCGCTGACATGGCCCGGCACAAGAGCACAGCAGTCCGACAGCTCCCCGTACCACAACAGCCTGGGTCAGTGCAGTGTCCTGCCTGCAGTAGATGGCTCCGGAGCAGGGGTGGGCTTGCAGCGCATAAGTGTCAAGAGAGTGACGACTGTGACGACCGACCGCCTAGTGATGCTCATCCTGTTGCCGAGGTCCCGGTATGTACAGCCTGCCAGCGTACTTTTAAGTCTACTGCTGGCCTCAAGCGCCATCGCTGTGGACCCCGCCCTACAGTGACTGATCGCCAGCACTTCGAACATCATTGCCGAGTCTGCAATCGACGCCAGTTTCGGAGGCGACAGGACCTGGAGCGCCAAATGAAGCACTGCCTACCTCTCCCCTAACCTCTCTGACAGTACCTCCCTTCGGGGAGCGGCGTGGCCATTTCTTGGCAGCTGTCAATAGTAGTACAGTCGTCCCTCTCTAATCCGGCACCTTTTGCTAAGGCGTTTTCTGCTGGATTAACGAGGGTGCTGGATTAAGAAATCCTGCCCTCTGACCCGGCCCTACCCAATTGCATGCATGTATCATACGTCAAAACGCAGGGTTTTTCCGTGTCGACCCAAGTATTTGGTGCACGGCTTTATATTCTCAACTGTTCTCCAGGAATATACACAGTGATAAAGTAAAACAGAGAACATGTTCACATGTACTCACGCACCTGATAATTGGCAGGACACTACTATTGAGTTAGCAGTGATCTAGCCAAAGCCGGCTGAGCCGGCATTCTAATGCCGGCTGGGAGGGCAACCTGCCTGCTGAGACAGCTCCAAGGGTAATTTTGGCCGGCTGCAGTCACCCCCATGTAGACTGTAGTGCGTCGAGATGGTGGAGTACAACCCATATCCGTAGGCATAGGTATGTACAGTACAGTACATAGCACTGGCTACTCAGGCTCAGTGCTAGCTCTTCACTCAAGCTCAAATGCACTTGAGTATGCACTTGAGTACGTCAGTAAAATGTAACAGGTTGGGTCATGGTTCGCTGCTTCTGGTGGTGTACACGGCTGTGGCTAGGCTGGGTCTTGTCAGATGACCAATGTACACTGCATGCAGACATGACCTTGGCGAACACATGATCCAATGCTCATGTAGCTGCTTGCTTCCTTTTTCATATTTACCTATAATCACATTGTCACAACTGCCTGATGAATGCCAATAATTGGACGAAGCGAAAGGAGATGCAAGCTGCAATGAAAGATTTGTAGTGGTGTGTGTGTGTGTGTGTCTGTGTGGATACGTGACTGATGGGGGGGGGGGGGTCTGGGGGCGCAGCCCAGAACGATGCATTTTAACTAGAACGTTGGCCGGCTGGCATAAAATCCTGGCTAGACCTCTGAGTTAGGGTTCGGAAAAGTCCTAACAACCAACCGAACTGAACTCTCCCGCGCGAGGTTATTACTCAGGTAGAGTACAGTTGTCAACTGAACTGAACTCTGAAGTGGCCCCGCGCGCGCGGCACTGACCAGACTGGCCTAGCCTGGCCTGGCAAGGAGTGCACCTGTACGATACGCGATTTACGACTGCCGGATTATGAAATCAAACTACGTGCAGTTTGAGTGATTTGTTTCAAAAAGTCACTGCCGGAGGCGGAATTCAAGTGCCGGATTAAGATGTAGGAATTGAACGAAAAAAATCGGTTTCGTCAGAAAGTGCGCCGATTGGCAAGGGTTCCGGATAAACAAGTGCCGGATTAGAGAGGGACGACTGTAGTAGTACCGTAAAGTACCGTTGATCTGCCCCCACGCCATGTCGCTTCCCAGCTGGGTTTTGGGCAGGGGGGCGGGAATTAGGTCAAGGTTGTCAAGTGCAGTACGATGTACAACAACGTAGAAGTTCAGACTCGATGTGCTGGATTGTGCACATTTTCATCCTGGATTGGCAAATTTTGTGTACAGCAGTGCATGCGTCGGTTCAACATCGTATTTTCGTTGTATACGCTGAAGTCGCTTCACAGGTAGAAAATCGACAGGGGGCGGGAATTAGAGAGGGGGCGGATCAACGGTACTTTACGGTAGTAGTGTGTGCGTGTGTGTGTGTGTGTGTGTGTGTGTGTGTGTGTGTATGTGTGTGTGTGTGTGTGTGTGTGTGTGTGTGTGTGTGTGTGTGTGTGTGTGTGTGTGTGTGTGTGTGTGTGTGTGTGTGTGTGTGTGTGTGTGTGTGTGCATGTTACAGCAAAAATGTATGAGAGACAGGTGAGGCAGAAATCTTCAGAAGTACTAGTAGTAGTAGTGCAAGGCGAAGAAGAAAGCAAACTTACCAACAGGATCATATCGTAACATTTTTATTCTGTGATCTACCGTGGCAGGTTTTCGGAAAGGTCTGAGCACTCCCGTCCCAGCCATACTGATTAATTTGACAAGTGTGGATCTGTCAAAGCATTCCACAGCAAAATGTTAGTGCACTGGCAGGGTTAAAATCATAAAGGTAAATTTGCTTGGCGACCTTACTTTTTGGCCATTTTCAAAGGACAGCTGAGCCTGGGAAGGCGGTGATTAGGCTAAGTTCCCCGCCACTGGCAAGCTCTCTGATGTATCCCAGATATTTAGAATCAATAGTAAGCTAGCCTTCGTCTTCCAAAATTAATGACTTGCTTCAACATTTTTTTTTCAAAGTATATTTTGTGCTCATGTATTATTATACAATGTAAAATGTGATGGTACGGTACGCGGTACGCTGTGAAAACGCTGCTTGACACTTTTCACGTATTTTTGGCAATCTTTGGCTTGTCACCACAGAAACGAGGTTTTTTGACCATGGCTGTGACGTAATCGTACACGTCTGCAAATATTTCTTGGTTCAAGATTTCCATTCTTTGCTTCATTGTTTTTGCATAATTCTTATCAGCATAGTTGTAGTATTCAAGAAACGGTTTGTTTGCAAACAGCTACACTGTAGGTCACAATTTGTAAGCCATGGCATCGCTCTGGCTAGCCAAGAGCGGAGGAATAGTAGCTGTTCTTCTCAGCCTCTCCGTGTGTGCCAATGGCCTATCTTTTTACCTGACTCCTGGCGAAAAGCGTTGTCTGAAGGAAGAAGTACATAAGCAACAGATGGTTGTTGGACAGTATTCGATTTCGGACGGAGAGCCAGCCGTGTCTATTCTGGTCAGTGCTAGAGTGTTACTGAAAAGGCTGTGTTCGGACCTACTAGACGGTATATCACCTTATTCCGCGCTCTGGTGTTGTTTGGATTTTTGCTACCTTCATTAGGCCACTGATCAAGCTGGTCACACACTTTTCAGCAAGGAAAATGCCAAACAGGGAAAGTTTGCCTTCACGGAAGATGAGTTTGAGGTTGTTGACATCTGCTTCAAGTCTCACACTAATGCAGTCGGTACGTGGAACCGTGAATAACAGGGTGGCAAAATCTCTAATAAATAGCTTGCAATGTTCATTGGAGAGTTAGTTTGACCCATGTATTGTTATAAAGTGAGCAGAAAATGATGGCCTATGTGCATAGACGAGAGCTGCATACTGGCTTACGTGCTGAGCTGTTGAGCATGTCAGTACTCATTATCATACCGATGGAGCCTGTTGGCGAAGTGGGTATCCACGTCCTGTGCTGTCAGTATACTGGTGCACTTGCTCTGTTTTACTGATCCGTCGCCATGTTTGAGTACATGTAATACACTGGCTGAGTTTTTCTACTGTAAAATCGTCAGGATTATGTGCCCGCTCTAATGTGTACGAAATAGTCATGGTAAATCGGACCTAAATCCACACGACACTATCTGTAAATAAATTCACAGGACTCCGTGTTCTTGCAGAATGTTGTCATTATGTGTGAGCATTCAGAGTACTTAGCATTGAAGAGTACTTGGGGCAAACATTGAACTTGTGCAAGAGTATATAGAGATTTATGGTATGCGTAGAACTTTTTGTGTTACTTTTCTGATTTGTAACCCAGTCTTCATTCGAAGACGACAAACACTCACTTCAGGGTGATCTACTTCCATGGATCGCCTGCTCTTGGATGCCACTTTTGGCCACCTCCACGGGATTAGCTATGTTATAATTATGTCTGCTGTGTACACTGGTGGGCTAAATATGATGTCGTCTACGAATTGTACTGTGGATCATGGCATTTCTTACAAGCTATTGATAATTATGATGATACGTGATGGCCTAGCTGTTAGATATATTGTGCCGTGATACGTTTTATGTACTTCATGGTACTCAATTTTTCTCCTTTTCTGACAACAGCAAGTCATATCAAGACTTCCCGGGAAGTAAAGCTTACCCTGAAGCATGGTGCGGAAGCCCGGAACTATGACCAGGTGAGAAAGAGACAACAGGCGCTGCTAAACATGACTACAGTGTATGATGTTCTTCTGATGATTGTGTGGACAAGGTAGCATCGCTAGTCACATAGTCCTCATAGCCCGCCCAGTGTTTCTCTTATGCAAGAATGTCACGTAAACTATTCCCTTTATTGATCATGCAAATACCGGTACTACAACGGTTTCTTGAGATGTATTCTGTAGGCTGCCCTCTCACCAACAGTTCTGCTTCGCAGTTTTATCAACGTGACTGGTGGTAACATACAATGAAGTGTTGGAAATAATCAGTTGTTTATGGGCCGCTGAAATCCTGAAAGTACTGTGGCTTGTTAGGGGCTGCTGCCCCCTCGACCCCCAGCCAGGAGACACCCCCCGGACCCCCGTTCAGATATTTGCCCCACATAAGTGGCAGCCCTGATATACTATCATATTGTGGAAGCATTATCGCAGATGTGGCTTTCTGCAGAATACTGCATAGGCTATAGTTTGCCTGCTGTTTTTTTTTCTGCTAAATAGAAACTAAGCACCGTGAATCTGCCACAATAGGCACTGTGCAGCTCTAGACCTGCGATCACTGGCTTGTGCTTTGGCGTAGCTTATTATCCAAGTTTCAGTGAGCACAAACTCTTTTCAATATGTATTCTTGTCGTGTTTATTGTACTTGTCTATTGCTTTTTAGATTGCCAAAGCAGAAAAGTTAAAGCCACTTGAATTGGAGCTCCGCCGACTGGAGGACTTGGCACAGGAAGTTGTCAATGACTTCCAGTACATGCGTGAACGTGAAAAGGAAATGAGAGATACCAATGGTAAGGTTTCGAGCAAGGCCATGTGTGTGTGTGTGTGTGCGCGCGCATGTGCGCATGTGCATGTGTGTGTGTGCGTACGTGTGTGCATGTGTGTGTGTGCGTGGATCTGAGTCCTATACTTGAATTTTGCGGTGGAGTCTCAGGAATCCCACACTTTCTCATGTGCATTGTACAGTCGTTCTATAGGGGCTTTAGTGCCAGCCTGCACCTGTTTCATTGTTGCTGTTGCCTTGAACGTTTTGATAAAAAGTTAACACCTCCCATGGTACTGGAATTGGTGCTGCGGTATTCCTCACAGCGGTTGTGCAAACTCAGAAGAATGATTTATTGTTACGTTTCAGATGTGTATCTAGTAATAGTGTGCTACATGTAGGACATTCTAGCTTTGAGACGGTTTGTTCGTACCAAGCTCTGTTGGCACGAACAGTCGGTGTTCTTTTCTCTGTGCGTTTACAGAGTCTACCAACTCCCGTGTGTTCTGGTTCAGCATCTTCTCCATTGGCTGCTTGGTCACGCTGGCCACGTGGCAGGTGTTTTATCTGCGCGATTATTTCAAGAAACAGAAGCTGATCTAGATAACCACGTCTAACTTTTTTTTTCAAGTTCTGTGCTTGTTCTGTGGGTGGTGCAAAGACGCGCCATGCTGCGTGTCTGATAAGATAACAATGCTACGATTCATGTATTCTTTCGGTTTTTTTATAAAGCTTCCTCGCTACAATGATTTGTGTACAGTATGTATGTGATTGGAGCATTATTCGGTCTGGCTGGACTGCGCATTGTACATAATTGCTGATGATGACTAAACAGAGCGACAATACTAATTATTATTCGCTTGTAAGTCGGGCCCTTTTCCTGCTACATCCAAGTTGCTGTTCTGGGGAGTCGCGCAAACTCCTTGTTGTGGACCATGGTACTACTTTGCTAAGGTATCATGCATTTTCAACACAACTCCAAGGTGGCTTTGCATGTATCTTCAGTTTTGTAGAAGATGAAGGAACAAAGAGGAGTGACGTAGTTGCGTAAACATGACTGATTGTGCTGGAGTGCCCAAAGGATGACATGGCTCTGTCCTGCATATTTTGACATGATTGGTACTATAACATTTATATAAAGTGGCTCGATGCATAGCGTCCCACCTACTTGAATAGAATCAGGGAGTAGTAAAATGTTACTAGGAGTACATGTACAAGTAGTAAAATGTTACTACTCCCTGCCTAAGTGGTGTGTTATATAGGGCTGGCCTATTTTCTCTTGCAGAAACATAGTGTCATACACAGAAATAAAGGCAAACAGATATGTACAGAGACAATTGCAAGTAGAGACTTACAGTATAACAATATAAAGACAAGCGTAGATGTACAACACATAGCAAACAAGCAACACACTCGCCTAGAACAACATCCGCTTCAGCATATGAACAAGCAGCAGGGAAACGTAACAGCACTAGCAACAAGGGTCAACAAACATGCACATGAACAACTGTAACGGTCAATGGTATGTACAATAGAGTAGCACAGTAAATAAAACTAAATATCGGTACAAGTTTCAAGAACTTTGAAGTACAATGCTTTTGCAATGAAGTAATAAACACACCTAGTGATGAGATGAGGATTTTTGGTGCAGGGGGGATAAAAAAAAAGTTGACCACCCACAATGCTGTACGAAGATCGAGACACTCTAAAAAGCGTAGGTCTGTGGTTCTATTAAAACTGTTGTCAACCTAGAAATTATTGCTACGCCGTCCATCGGACTTCTATCATACGTGCTATGTACCTGCACTGCTGGTTGTTTTCAAGTCACAGGACTTCTTACTTTCATGACTCCACCGCTTCTGTCTCCACTCGCTTTCTGCTTGCCGGTCAGCACTGGTCATCAACGACGCCCAGGGATCCTCGACCATGCTGTGGTTGAAGTAGCCGGAGGCAGGCTGGCCAGCGTTAAAGCCACCTGAGTGGCCTCCTCTGCCTCTGCCTCCGCCTGATCCTCTACCACCACGCCGCCATGAGCCCATTTCCTGTGACGCACAGTGGAACAAGCAGTGATACACGACGTATTGTACGAACACGAGGGATGCAATTAGTGTGCTAAGACCCATAGCACCCTAACATGAATCACAATTCTTGACACAATCCGCACCCAGTCCCCACACAAGTACCGACATTATCATGTTGTCTGATGATTGCACAGTTGTGCTGTGAGTTACAACCACAGAGCCATTCTCTCCACTGTTTGACTGTGTTGTATGAACAAATGTCAAACAAGTTAGACTGAGCTAGGACATGTACTCTGTCCGTTCAGCCAGGCTAGCTTTAGCCTAAGCACATGCACATCTAGGCAGGAAGAATACACACACGCACACACCATGTACCCCCCCTCCCCCCCCCCCCCCCCCACACACACACATGCACACACACATATCCTGCACTAGGCTCTCCCCAGAGTCCCCACACGTTACTAATCCTACATGCAAGAGTTCATAACTCTTGCAACATGTCGTAAAGTATTCGGATGACTGACCGGTCTATGTGAAACACTCTGGTTTGGCATTCTTTGTGGTGATTGAAATGGAGGCCGATTGGGACGTGGTTGATGGTAGCTAGGTCTTGGTCTCCATTGGTTCTGGAAATCTGGATTCCGTTGCCCAAATTGTTGTCTTGGGGGAAAACCTTGAGGGGGAGGAGGGTGCCTTGGTCCAAAGTGGCCTTGGCCAGGTGGTACAAATCTTGGAGGAAATCTTGGAGGAGGAATAAAATCGGGTCTCCCACCTCCCCAAGGAGGACGCTGTGGATTCATTCTATCAACTACTCTCCAAGGTATCAGGGCAATTATTTCTATTCTTTCTGTCCAAAAGAAGAGAACGATACCTGAACAGGCAAGATACGAAAATTATTTGAAAATTCAGCTCTGCATTTTCATTCACAGAAACATTTTTTGACACGCGTACGCATACTTATTGTACAAGTTTAGGGACTTCCCCATAACATGCGCGCAGGTCGTGTTCGCCACACGTTCCCATGCCAATAAAGATGGCACATCAAAATATGAAATTTTTCTGCCAACATGTCAGGATTTATGAAAGTAAAAAATTGTAGTAGGCTACAAAAAAGTTACATTAAATTTTAATACACGAATAGAACAGGCTCGATGATGAGGAATGAATTTTTCTTCTTGCGTTTTGTTCAGGTGATGTGAGTTGCTTTTTGAAAAGGCATCCAAGAAGTGAAGAACAGCGTTTCCTTCGTACACCTATTGTTTCGCCTTCTTGGAGTTGAAATATAAATGCAATCTCCTTTAGGATGGGCTGGATAGTGCCTCTGAAATGAACAAGGGACCGTGTGAAACTCCAACTCATTTGTTGGATGGAATTGCATTTTCTTTATTTTCACCTGATGAAATCAAGGCGCTCAGTGTGAAGGAGATCACCAATCCGGAGACGTTTGATACGTTGAATAATCCCAACCCGTGTGGCTTGTATGATTCCGCACTCGGACCTTTCAATCGCTCGGATACCTGCACCACATGCAGACAGCAGCAACTGCACTGTCCTGGTCATATTGGCCATGTCCAGCTTCCACTGCCCGTCTACCACCCGATCTTCTTCAAGACTTTGTTGCAGATTGTGAAGGGTGGCTGTAGATATTGTCATCGTGTTCTGGCTTTGCCATGGCAGTTGGCATTGACGCAAGGTCAGCTCAGACTGGCCAGCTATGGCCTTCTAGCGGAAGCTGTTGATCTAGGCAGTTTTGTTCCAGACAGTGTTGGTCCAGATGGCGAAGAGGGTGCGTCCACAGTACACGAGAGGGTGGCATCCATCCTGGAGAAGGTTGGATATGCCAACATGGACGAGTCAAACCTGAATACGCTGACGCGGCATGCAGTTGACTTCCGGCGTCAACTAGTCACCGACTTCTTCAAGCAATTAAAGGTTGCAAAGTGTCCGCATTGTAAGGCGCCTGTCCGAGGCCTTCGGCAGGAGCAGGGTGTAAGGATTTTCGCTAAGCCGCTGCCCGCTAAAGTTGCCAATAAGTGGGCAACGTTTGTTGTGGACAAGGAGCTGGAAAAGAACGGCGGGAATGTCATCACAGCAGACCTAGGGACTGGTGGTAGCCACCCGCAGCTTGGGTACAAAGAGATGATTGATCGGGAGCGCGATAGCCTGCTTGCCCTGACGCTGCTGATGCCGCATGAAATCCGCGAGCACGTGGTGCAGATGTGGCAGCTTGATCAGGGCGTTCTGCAACACGTCTTCGGCGTACTGGGCACTGTACCCAAAGTTAACGTGCAAGGCTCTCCAATGGACATGTTCTTTGTCCAGGTGCTGCCTGTTGCACCAAGCCGCTTTCGACCGGTGAGTAAGACATCACGTAGCCTGCATTATTAGGCATGTCTATGTGTATTCTGAGAGTTTTTCTTGACGGTGTTGAAAATCCTTCTGCATGTCAGATGGACCCGGAGATGGTTGTTTTCTAATTAGTACTATTTCTCGGATGTTGAGCCATAAATAAATGTAAAAAGGAAAAGGACATATGGATACGAGTTAAGATTTATAATTGTTTATCATTTTTATGCTCCCCTCCTCACGTACTCATTTGGGCCCAACAGTTCTTCTGCTATGTTTCATGCAATCTGCAATTGCGAAACCAATGAAAAAGGCAGGGCACATTTTCTTTTCTTTTTTCTTTCCCTTTCTTTGCCCTCAAAAACCATGCTTGTGGGTTGTGTGAAGCAGACGAAACGGTGTGCCCAAATGGGGAACAATTCCCCCATTCTTGAATGCTGAAGCACTAAATGCCAAGGATCCAGTTGAAATTTGTTGCTATTATATAAATGGCTATTTTGTTTTGTTTGTTCCTATGCCCGTGCAAATATAGGTGTCAGAGATGGGCGAACGAAGGTTTATTCATCCAGAAACTCAGGGCTTAGCCAAGATCATTTCGGACAACATTGGTTTGCGGGAGGTGATCGTTGACCTGAAAGCGAATGGAGATAGCGAGGACAGTGCAAAGGTTTGTCCGGAGTTGCCTAGTGCCAGTGTCTACTGTTGCTAGTTGTGCAGATCCGGAAGTTACGTGGTAGTCGGTGCAATGATGTGCTGTGCATCAAGATTAACGTCGACAAAGAATGCTGCCGTGGATCAGATCATGAGTACTCTTGATAATATGGGGCACGCTGTCTCGTTTCTGAGTTGCTTACTTTTTTAAAGATGTTATGGCTATGTGTTATAGGTATTTTAGTTCATCTGAGTGTTTGTAGTTGATGGAAGTGCCAAGAAATAGCCCAGCTGAGAGCCAGAGTTCAGAATCAAGAAGGTGCACTGCTTTACGAATGGGCTTGTTTCGCACATGATATTCATCCGTATTGTGTGTGTTTTTCTTCATCTGGTGCTGTTGTTGTTGTTGTTATTAGGCCAAGAAGGTTCAGTACCTCTGGCAGCAGGTGCAGTCTGATGTGAATGCATTGATGGACAGTGACCTGATACCTAAGCAACCCGGCGAGAGGGTGGCTGGTGTACGCCAGGTATGGACTTCCTTGAGATAGTATTGGTTTAGTGAATGTCAGGTAGAGTACTGTTTCCCGTACAATGACCTTGTTCACGCATGTACGGTGCGTTAATCAGTCCCAGCCTGTACTGATAAGTCTGGCAAGTGTATGCAATCATGTGGCTGTATGCGTGCATGTGGCTGTATGCGTGCATGTGGCTGTATGCGTGCATGTGGCTGTATGCGTGCATGTGGCTGTATGCGTGCATGTGGCTGTATGCGTGCATGTGGCTGTATGCGTGCATGTGGCTGTATGCGTGCATGTGGCTGTGTGCGTGCATGTGGCTGTGTGCGTGCATGTGGCTGTATGCGTGCATGTGGCTGTATGCGTGCATGTGGCTGTATGCGTGCATGTGGCTGTATGCGTGCATGTGGCTGTATGCGTGCATGTGGCTGTATGCGTGCATGTGGCTGTATGCGTGCATGTGGCTGTATGCGTGCATGTGGCTGTATGCGTGCATGTGGCTGTATGCGTGCATGTGGCTGTATGCGTGCATGTGGCTGTATGCGTGCATGTGGCTGTGTGCCTGCTTGCAACATTATGATGCTATTTATTGAATGGTAGCTGGTAGACCAATGGGATAGGCATTTTCTTGTTTTGTTTTTGTTTTTAATAACTGGTATGTGTGTGTGTTCTTCTTTCTAGTTGCTTGAGAAGAAGGAAGGTCTGTTTCGCAGGCATATGATGGGCAAGCGTGTAAACTATGCTGCACGTTCGGTCATTTCACCTGACTTGAACATCAATGCGGATGAGATTGGCATTCCCCAGGTATTGGTCGTGTGTGTCTGTGTTTGTGCCTGTCTGTCTGGCAGTATATACAAAGACAGCTGCTTGTTTAGTGGTGATTGGTCAACTACTGTGATTGCTATCAAGTATCATGGAACATTGTGCACGCGTGCATACATGTGTGTGTGTGTGTATGTGTGTGTGTGTGTGTGTATGTGTGTGTGTGTGTGTGTGCGTGTGCGTGCCTACATGCCGGTCTGTCTGCATGTGTAGAGGGTACTATTATGCGTGCATAATATTTATGCATATTATGTGTCCATATATGAGAGTATGATTGTGTGGGAGTATGTTCTCTTCCTTCAATAAACATGTTTTATTCTCTTCAAATCATGCAGTGCAGTGTATTAGAATGTCACCTGTCAGAGGCACTGAGAGTTTACCGGCAGGTAACCCTTTCTTTCGTTTCATGTTTTTTTTGCTCCTGCGCTAAATTTACTGTAGGTGTTTGCCAAAACACTGACGTATCCGCAGCCAGTCACGTCATGGAATGTGCAGCAACTTCGCAAAGCAATCCTCAATGGTCCCAATGTTCATCCAGGGTAAGCGATGTTACTGTTGGGCCGGTGGGTGATTTGATTTCCTAGCTGGCCTGTGAATTGTGGTGTGGCATCCTTGCTCCTCGCCACAGCGGTACTGAGTGTGCACTCTTCACGTTCTCATCACCATCTATGTTGCTGTTGGTGCTGTACCTCTCATTTACATCGTGGTAGGACTGACGGCTTGCTGTGAACAGCGGAGAGCGGTACCTCCGTGCCATGATTCTTACTACTTCTACACACCAGCATGACATACTTATTATGCTATAGTGTGTTCATCTCTGCGTTGTCGTACCTCTGATATGTTGTTGCACCTCAGTGTGATTTCACAACCACACCTTGTTGTGTGCCTGGCGTAGGGCGTTGTGTTTCTTCCTCATTTGCCTGTGTGCTCCTAAAGAGAATGCTTTTGTTTTAAGTTGCTTGAGCATTTCCTTAACTGCAGCAGGAATAATAAGAGTACTCTGCGTCCAGGTTACGTGGGGCTATGGAATTGATTCTACTCATCTAAATTTCATGAGGATTGTCTGCTAACGAGGATTGTTCTGTTGCTCTCTGTCTGTTTCTCTCTCTCTCTCTCTCTCTCTCTCTCTCTCTCTCTCTCTCTCTCTCTCTCTCTCTCTCTCTCTCTCTCTCTCTCTCTCTCTCTCTCTCTCTCTCTCTCTCTCTCTCTCTCTCTCTCTCTCTCTCTCTCTCTCTCTCTCTCTCTCTCTCTCTCTCTCTCTCTCTCTCTCTCTCTCTCTCTCTCTCTCTCTCTCTCTCTCTCTCTCTCTCTCTCTCTCTCTCTCTCTCTCTCTCTCTCTCTCTCTCTCTCTCTCTCTCTCTCTCTCTCTCTCTCTCTCTCTCTCTCTCTCTCTCTCTCTCTCTCTCTCTCTCTCTCTCTCTCTCTCTCTCTCTCTCTCTCTCTCTCTCTCTCTCTCTCTCTCTCTCTCTCTCTCTCTCTCTACTGCTACTTGCAGTGCCTTTGCTGTGGAAATGGAAGATGGTTCCCGTGTTCTGATCAAGAGCAAAGACCTCACGCAACGGCAGGCACTGGCCAAGCAGTTGCTGACTCCAAGCGCCAATGCTCCAACTGGTACATGCAAGAAGGTACATGGCTTTGCTACCTTACTGTACTGATACATATGATTGTTCTGGAACAGCACAATAGTTTCTCAACTGTCTGTCGTTTTGTTGGGATGAGAAAATGAACAGATTCTAAATTTTTTGGTTGCGACCTGGGGCGGCTTGCAATGGTGCGCATGTTGAATTTGTTCACTCTTTTCTTTTTATGCATTGTGTATATGTATGTGCATGTGTGTGTGTGGGTGTGTGTGTGTGTGTATGTATGTGTGTGTGTGTGTGCGCACGCGTGTGTGTGTGCGCGCGCGTGCGTGCGCTTTTCCTCTGTCAGGTGCATCGTCATTTGATCAGCGGTGATGTCATGCTGCTCAATCGCCAGCCAACCCTGCACAAGCCCAGCATCATGGCTCACAAGGTACGAATGGTCACTGGCATGCCGGTAACAGTATGTATTTACTACGATGCTGCAAGATCCGTGCCTGGATGCAGGTTGCAGGTCTGCACACCTTCTATTGTAGTGGTGTGACAAGCAACTGTATTTCCTTTTTTCCACATGCATAAAGTGGTGTCGGATGATATCCGACCTTGTGAATAAAGCAGCCGCACTCACTGCACAGCCCAGCTCGTGGTACTCGGGCGGTGCAACTACGGCGCTATTGTTCTCGAAGGCCAGATTTCATTTGGCGCTACTTGACATGGCGCTTTGACTGACCGGTATCAGGCACTACCTCCCCGTGTGTTTCCCGTGTGTACTTCAAATATTTGAAATGTTCCAGCTCCTGATCATGGTCTGTAAAACAAGAATAAGCTTGTGTCGACTTGTAGGTACCTATGCTTTTAACACCACTATTATCGTAATGACAAGAGTACAGTGCGTTTGCATCTGTCCCATTCATACGTGTTACCCGGCAGGTTTGAGTAGCTTCTGTTTGTGACTGATTACGGTGCTTCTGTTGTTCCAGGCCTATGTGCTGCCAGGGGAGAAAACCATCCGATTGCACTACGCAAATTGCAAGTGCTACAATGCCGATTTTGATGGTGATGAAATGAACGCTCACTTTCCGCAGAATGAACTGGCGCGTTCCGAAGCCTACAACATTGGTTAGTCAGAGTATCTGGTTCTTTTTTCCCCTGTATGGTCTGTGTGCAGTTTTCTAGAATAGGCAGTTTGGCGTGCGCGTGTGTGTGTGTGTGTGTGTGTGTGTGCGTGTGTGTGCATGTGTGTGTGTGCTGTGAATGCACATGCACATCCAGTGCATTTGCAGATTTGCATGGTTCTCTTGCGACGGGCGTATGCATTGTACATGGTACAATGGTATACGGTGTGTGCGTGTGTGCGTGTGTGCGCGCGCGCGTGCGTGTGTGCGTGGTGTGTATGTCGGTATTGTGACATGACCAGGGGTTCATGCTCCGTAGCTTGGTGTACATGCAGGACAGACAGATACTCGTGTGTCTGATTCCACCACAAATATGCATGTACAGTCTAGCGATAAATCACACACTTTTATGTCACGCACCCGCGATAAGTCACGCACTCGCGATACGTCGCTCCCTATTGAAATCTGGGCGGGTTGTACTTTTTGTATATGTATACACTATACGTAAGTCACACACTCACGGCAAGTCACGCATTTTCGACTAGAATATCGCTTGCTTGACATATCGACAGTAGACTGCATGCACTCTCACGCCCACTGCCGTGCTCTTGAACATGCTTGGTGCCTGCTGTTATCAGCATCATCAAGCTTTCACCGTGTCCTCTCCTTTAGCGTACGGTGAGCAAAGAGTTGATTGTGGAGCTTTTTTACGCTACGTCAGTATATTTACTAGTGTACTGTATTGCCGCTCCTGCTGCTGCTGCTTGTCTTTGTTATTTGCTGCTTCTGTCACTTTGCTTGCCTAGCTGCTACAAGTCATCAGTACCTGGTGCCCAAGGATGGTTCACCGCTCAGTGGTCTCATCCAGGATCACATGGTTGCTGGCGTTATGATGACAATCCGTGGCCGCTTTTTCTCCCGGTAAGTACTACAGTGAAACCTGTCTAAGGCGACCGCTCAAGGGACCTTCAAAATGTGGTCTCTGTTGCCAGGTGGTCTCCTTATCCAGGGTTGTTTGACTGCAAATAGCATCCCTCGGTCCTGGTTACAGTGGTCTTCTGAGGCAGGTGGTCGCCTTATCAGAGTGGTCGCCTTGACAGGTTTTACTGTGCGTGCAAATTAATCCTTGGCTCTCCATCCGAGTCTAGATATTTGGGAGAGCGCAGGTATTTTACAAACACACACAGACGGCCACCGCACTTATGAGCAATGGTTTGGTTGCTTTGGATGGCTTGTCGGTGGAACGGATGGGCTAAAGGCTACTTATTGTAGACTCCTCACTTCAATAGCAACAACATCAACATCATGAGAATAAAGATTTGAAACAATTTAGACACCTGTCTTATCTTGACGTAAGTGTAGGACTGTTGACAATGTAGTTTTGTGTTCCTGGTACACAACCCTGCTATGGTCTTCTGACTAGACGAATACATTTCTGTGCTTCTCTGCAGGGACGAGTACCATCAGCTGGTGTTCCGGGCGTTGCCTCGCAGTGTCGGCCATGTACGCCTTCTTCCGCCATGCATCATGAAGCCCAAACAGCTTTGGTCTGGCAAGCAGGTGAGAGAAAGTGTGTGTGTGTGTGTGTGTGTGTGTGTCAGGGAGAGGGAGGGAGGGAGAGAGAGAGTGGGAGGAGAGAGAGAGAGAGAGAGAGAGAGAGAGAGAGAGAGAGAGAGAGAGAGTGGGAGGAAGGGAGGGGAGAGAGAGAAAGAGAGAATCCAGTAGCTTATCAAACGCGTTATTGACCAATCATATTCATGTCTTGTTTTATATCTGCGTGTTTCTTTGACCTTATTGGGTTGATCTCACTCTTCAGTCTTGTTGTGTGTTCTATGTGTCCTGTGTGTTCTGTGTGTTCTGTGTGTGCAGATTGTATCTACATTACTTCTGAACATCACACCCAAGGATAGAGCATTACTGAACCTCGGCGGTAAAGCCAAGATCGCTGACAAGGTACGATGCTGTTGTTTTCAAGTTTCCTTTTGTATGGCAGGAGTGAAATTACAATCTGCGTGCTGTTTTATTCTATTGCCTCCTTGTGTTTGGTGCTTGCTCTTGCCAGATCCATTGTGCTGCATGTTGTGGTCTCTTTGGAAAGTTGCTATCTGATTAATTCTGATGGGCACTATGCTGGATGTAGACTGGGGAGTGCTTTTGAATACGGGTGTGGGAGTAGACTACGTATCGTGTTGTGATGGCTATTGGGAAGATAATTTAGCATGCCTGTAGCAGTATGCGAAATGGGAAGCTAGCTTGACCTTCCCACAATACATGTATGAGGTGATGTACTTGACTTGTTCTGTGTGCTTATGTGGATTTGTGTGTGCATGTGTGTGTGCGTGCGTGTGTGTGTGTACCTGTGCTTGGGTCTTTGTGCCCGTGTATGTCTGTGTATATGTGTGTGTCTCTGTCTGCCTGTGTGTGTGTGTGTGTGTGTGTGTGTGTGTGTGTGTGTGTGTGTGTGTGTGTGTGTGTGTGTGTGTGTGTGTGTGTGTGTGTGTGTGTGTGTGTGTGTGTGTGTGTGTGTGTGTGTGTGTATGTGTGTCCCCACTTACTGAGGTGTGGTGAGCCCATAAGTGGGATCATTTTCAAGTCCACCCAGAGTTTTGGGGATTTCAGGGGGTGTCGGCCGTTGGGCGGTTCAATAGCCAATTGAGTCATCTTTCCAAGATTCCTTTTGAGTCTCTCTCCCCTCTCCCGGGGAGACCCACATGACCAGTTTTGGCAGTGAGCAACAAGTACAAGTATGTGTGTGTGTGTGTGTGTGTGTGTGTGTGTGTGTGTGTGTGTGTGTGTGTGTGTGTGTGTGTGTGTGTGTGTGTGTCTTCTTGCAGGCATGGAAGAATCGGAAACCACGCAGAGCATTCATGCAGGTTCTGCAGGAAAATGAAATGTCTGAATCTGAGGTCAGTGCTCCTATGATGTCTTGCTTAGTTGGGAAGGCATTGGAATATGTGGCCACACTGATGTCTTCCTAGATTTCCACCAGTGAATAGAAGGAGGCTTAAGTCGTAGTACATGCAGTAGTTTCTGTGATCCTTTCCGAACTCCGCAGATATAAAGCTGTCGTTACAGCTATAGTACTATACGTCTGAAGATTCATCCCATATGGAAAGTGAGTCAGCTGGGATTTTTTAGATTGTGTGTGCGCAAGCGCGCGCATGCGTGTGTGTGTGCGTGCATGTGTGCATGCGTGTGTGTATGTGTGTGCTTGTACTCTTCGCACCTGATCTGTTGTTTGGTCGCTTGGTATTGATTTCAGGTTATCATTCGTCAAGGAGAGTTACTATGTGGTGTCCTGGACAAGGCACACTTTGGAAGCACAGCCTACAGTTTGGTACATGCCTGCTTCGAGGTAATCTACTCCTGGTTGACGGATGTATTTTTTTTCACTTCTTTTTTTTGTCGGAGATTATGATTCATGATGTGTTGTGCGATTTGTTGTGGGTGGTTATCTCTGAGGATGCCGGCTTACATGAATTCCCGAGACTTACTTTCTGTTGTCTTTTGCCTTGCTTGTGACGTAGGTGTATGGTGGAAGTATATCCAGCCTTCTCCTGTCTTGCCTGGGAAAGCTATTCTCTACGTTCCTGCAGCTTCATTATGGCTTTACACTCGGTGTCGAAGATATCCTTGTCAAGAAGAGGGTGCGTTTATATTTTTGCATTTTTGGTATTTGTGACTGCTGTTGACTGTCACTGTGATTGTGTAGCTGCTGAGAGCGTCTTGTCCGCGTACGTCTGATGTTTTTAAGGCAAGCGCGCACGTCTGTGTGTGTGTGTCTGTGTGTGTGTGTTGAATGTATGTGTGTGTGTATACCGGCACATGTGATGTGTGAGTAGGTGCATTTGTGTGTGTGCATGATAATCACAGTTTCATTTGCTCGACTATTATATTCTTCGCCCATGTCCTACACCATGCTCAGGCAAACAGGAAACGGCAGGACGCCATGGCCCAGATGGCACAGTGTGGTGGTGAGGTCATTCGGGAGGTAAGCTTTAATAATGTGATAACTTTTATCAAAATCCACGTCATGTTACTGCTGTCACAGCTATGGGCTAAGCATGTTCACTTCAATTCTCTTCTTGCCTTTCATGTTAGTATCTTGGAACCGCTTAGTCTTTTAAAATAGTCTTTTTTAGTCTTAATAGTGCCATTCTAATTACTAGTAGAAAGGAAAAGGACATATGGAAACGAGTTAAGAGTAACTCTCCACCACTGTAACTAGATACTATATACAGTCAGAAAGTGCAACAACTAGGCACAAAACTGACAGAGTACTGAGACATTCGACGTCCTGACACGGAGATGTGTTGAAGCTAGGTGTCAGGACGTCAAATGTCTCAGTACTCTGTCAGTTTTGTGCCTAGTTGTTGCACTTTCTGACTGGATATAGTATCTAGTTACAGTGGTGGAGAGTTACTCTTAACTCGTTTCCATATGTCCTTTTCCTTTCTACTTTTATTATTGGCTCAATACCCGAGTTTCAAATTCTAATTACTGTTAGTCTTTGCACCAAGCCCCACCAAGGACTAGATTAATTTACTGCAACTATGCTAAATAAAGCTCCAGAGAATCCGTCTTTCCTGGTCTTCAGGGAAAGCGAAATGCTCACCTTTTCTTGTGGGCCCTACTTGACCCTTGCTGTCTGTTTGTGGATGTGTGATCTGGCACACCAACTGTTTGCATATTGCGCAGTCTGGACCTTGACGTGTTTCAACTGGGCTCATAGGCTGCTGTAAGCGTTTCTTTTCCTTCCTCCCTCCCCAACGCCTACCCACATGCACACACACACACAACACAACACACACATACACTGGTATCATGCAGTGTTTGGTTTTCTGTTTTTGCCTGTCACGGCTTTCTTTTTCAGGCAATGGGACTGGAGCAAGATGCAGACGATGGTAAGAGAGTGAGAAACTGTTGTACGAGTTGTGGGTATTGGTTGAAGCGATTTAACCTTTCACACTGTAGTACATATCCGGAAAGGCGAGGGAACCTGATAGTCGAACACACATACTGTATGCATGCATGGCATATGCTCTAAATCGGTAACCAACAATTTTCTTGTGGATGGCGAGGGATCCGGATAGAAGAGGACCGGATAAGCGAGGCCTGACTGTAGCAAGTTATGCTCTGCGAAAGGTGCTCTGCGCATGCATTATGACTGTATTTGTTGAGCTGACAGATCTTAGCTGGTCTATATACATTCTGTTTGGCATTAAACCATTAAAGCAGCTATATTGTCATTTTCTGGTCCGTGCAGAAGTGGCGCAGGCCAAACACGAAGCGGCTCATCGAAAGCAGGATGGTCTCCACGTGGTGGACTACGCAATGAAACGGCGCACTGACGAGGCCACCAACCTCATCAACAAGTAAGAATGGTGATAGGGTGCTATGGGATACTCATGGCGTTGCAGAACATTTGCCTTTTGCCTCTCGCCATACATTGTCCATGGTGTCGGCATTGCAATGGAAGAGGTTAGATTACACGGAAATCCTGCGGGCAACCTCAATATACCCGAAACGTTTTTGAATTTTCTATGGTAGGGCTGTGCGTTATGCTTGACTCCGAAAACCACTGACAAGGCCGTGCTGCACTCTGTCCTGTACTGCTGTTGTCTGCTCGTACGCTGCTGTCTTCTAGGCTGTGCATACCTGATGGCCTGGTGAGACGCTTTCCGTACAACTCCTTGCAGTTGATGGTACAGTCCGGTGCTAAAGGTTCAATGGTAAGTGGACAAACAGTAACATGTGCCTGTACAATGTACTAGTTGCCGGTAGTAGTGGCAGTGGAAATGACAAGAATTGCACATGTGAGCCATGGGGCTTGCCAGTGGTACGTCATAATCCCGAAAGTGGCAGTACGATAATTATGAACTTTGATTCCACTTTGATTCTGTATGTATGGGTAGACACATGTTTTGGAGTGCTTTCCTGTGCATAGCTACAATAGCGTGGCCCAGCGATCGGGACTGGCTTATGGGCGAGGAGCCCACTCATCATTCCTGTACCACTTAAGTTACACGCCATGGTTCCATACAAACCCAGCAGGCTAATTTAATGGTGTAATTTCGATTTTTGATACAATCTCTTTCAAGCCCAGTGGTCTTTTAAATACACACTGTGAGTAGACACTCAGCCCAAACATGGGTGGGAAATCGGGATCAAGCATGGGGTATGGAATGGGGTGAAGCATGGGGTGGTTAATTGGGATTAGTCAATGGGAGCAAGCATGCCCAATTCACCTGTACATCTCACTTACATTTAACCATTCCATGACCTTTTGTTGATAAACACAATGCTATCATAATGCTGGTCTTGGTTTTGCACCGCAAGTACATGTAGTACACCGACTACAGACAGAGTGGGGAAATTGCGACAACGCACTTGTCACTGATCACCGCTTGATGCAGCCCAACACTTTTTGTTGACCTAGTTTCGCATGGAACCGAGTGATTTGTAGGGATTTTCTGGTACTGACTTAAAGGTTTTGAACTTTTCATGTGAATCAGACTTTCGAATCGTGCACAACCCTCATGATGTGTGTTGTCCACGTTTGTCTACCATTGCTCTGATCAGGTCAACTGCATGCAGATCTCCTGTCTGCTGGGACAGATTGAGTTGGAAGGTCACCGGCCTCCGCTCATGCCCAGTGGCCGTTCACTGCCCAGCTTTCAGCCGTATGATCCGAGCCCGCGTGCCGGTGGATTCATCGATGGCCGTTTTTTGACCGGAATCCAGCCGCAGGAGTACTTCTTCCATTGTATGGCCGGCAGAGAGGTGAGGAACGAATTGTGTGTGATTGATCTAAAAGATCTTTCATCTCCAGGCATCACTGTGCACTGCAAAGACAGACATTGCTTGTGCATTCGATTAGAACTCTGCAAGATAGAACTCTGCAAGATAGAACTCTGCATCTCATCGTACTCTGCTAGCTGTAGATAGACTTATTCGTGTGTGCACACATGTCTCCTTTGGTAGCGAAGAGCAACTTGCCGCAGGCAGAATACACTGGCTCAGCATTGTCGCAAAGCAACTTGCCTCAGGCAGAATACACTGGCTCAGCATTGTCGCAAAGCAACTTGCCTCAGGCAGAATACACTGGCTCAGCATTGTCGCTAAGCAACTTGCCTCAGGCAGAATACACTGGCTCAGCATTGTCGACAGACGCATGACCCTTATCTGATCTTTCATATGAACTTACTATATGCGTGCTGTATCAGTATTTATTATTCGTGCGAAGAAGCTTATCATTCTTGTTCAATGGGTAATCTAAGGCGGAAACCCTCGGTGTGATGTTGCATTTCTATTGTCGCCGACAATAGAAATGTAACATTTGTCGGGGTATTTATTTTGATTTGAATTGTGTGGCAATACAGTAGTAACGTCAATATGCTGACTTCTCACTCTTCCTCATGAATTGCATCTTACTTGTACTTGTGCATATTTGTGTATCTGCTTAGGGTCTCGTCGATACTGCTGTGAAAACCAGCCGTAGCGGTTACCTGCAGCGCTGCCTCATCAAGCATTTGGAGTCGTTGCAGGTCAACTACGACTTGACTGTGAGTGGCTGGCTGACTTGATGCACCTGTATCAATACGCTTCGATGAATATCCACTTTTTGCCTAAATGAGCGTGTTCTTTCGGGCAAACAGATCCTTGATCGATGGATTGATTGGTGACTAATCTAAGTGTGTGATGGTTGCAGTCACGGTGAAACTCCGTTAAGAAGAACAATGATTAGACAAGCATTTTCTCTAGAAGAACTGGTATTCATACCTCAATTGGATAAATCACTATGTATTCGCTGGGTGTAAAATACGGTATGGATAAGAACAACTCGTTATTGAGAACAAATACCATTGTCCCTTGGTGTTCGTCCTAAAGAAGTTTTACTATCCTGGGCATGTGATAATATTCTGACGATGCGTCCCTTTGGCGTTGGTACTGCTTAGGTTCGTGATTGTGACGGCACTGTTGTTCAGTTCAACTATGGTGAAGACTCGCTGGACATCGTCAAGACACAGTTTCTCTCCAAGAAGCAGCTGCCGTTTGTTGTTGACAACTTCCAGGTACGGGTGTCATCTGTTTATCACGCAATCATGCTGTATGGTTGTCACAGAGCAGTTATTCCCCCTGTTATGTATTTGCTGTGCTAGCACTGTCTGTAGCCAGCTACTGCCGAAGTCTATGCAAACTGTGTCGTCCACATGCAGGTCTTCGGGTCTCTGATAGATATTCACTTGTCCATTCTTCATTTTTTTTGTCTTCTTTTTTTTAGGCTTTCCGCGAGCAGTGTGATGTTGGCGCAGCACTGAACTCTCTGAACTTGTCCAAAGCATCTAAGTACAAGAGGAAGGTATGACCGTACTTCTCTCTCTCCTCTCTCTCTCTCTCTCTCTCTCTCTCTCTCTCTCTCTCTCTCTCTCTCTCTCTCTCCTCTCTCTATTTTGGTACGTAGTGCGATGCATTATCCGTATCATTCCAGGTGTTGGTATTTCTTGTAGTATTTCCTGTTGATTGACTAGTGTTTTCTTCACGGCCATGTTGTTACTAGATCGATCGCTGCACGCAAAAGGGTGCAGACCCCCTGTGCAGCATGCAGCACCGCCGTGTCGCAGCATCGCCCTTCCTCGCGTTCTGCCGCAAGCACGAACACCTCGTCGATCCCAGCACTCTCAGTAGGGACGACCAAGTCACTGGCCGGTCATTGACTTCCTCCGCTCTCTTGTCACGCTGGTCTGAGCTGGATGAGGCACAGAGAGAGAAGTAAGCATTAACATTATTTTTGCCACAGTGGTTAGTGTGCATGTTCAGTTACCCACTGAGACCCCGTAGCAGTCATAGCACTGTCAGCTATTGTATTGTATTGTATTTTATAATTTTTATTATTTTACTTGGCCATTCCCAACAGACCCTAAGGTCTTCTTACAGGGTGCCCTAGATGAATGAATTTGTTAAGTTCCTGGCGAAATGAATTGGGGATATGATTTGTGCGTAGGGATTCGGGAAGCGCATTAAATCGGTCAGCGCCAAGGAGTGAAATAGATTTGTATCCAGCTTGAGCTTGCACAATGGGTAAAGAAAGGGAATTATTGACTTGGCCGCGGGTGACTATCTGTGTGAGCGCAGCTATCTTGGGATCGTGTCATACCAAACGGACAATGTGCTCAGGATAATGACTGTATCTGGCGAGGACTTCTTTTTTCACCAAAAATGCTATAGAAATGCCTGTGTATCCAATTTGCTCCATTGCACGTGATGGCAACAGTTGATCTTTTCTGTGCTTCTTAGTTGGCATGAATCTCTCTGTCAAGGGGTGCTTAAGCTGGTTGCTATCTTTGCCTGTAGGGAACCAAGCGTAATGATGCGCTTATAATATTGCATGACTGTAGAAGGTCTGACTCGTGAGTTTTTTTGTTTGTTACGTTGCTTTCAGATATCGCAAGAGAGCCGTGCCGTTCCCCGACCCAGCTCTATCCGTACTGCGACCCGACCACTACTATGGCTCTGTGTGTGAGAAGCTGGAGCATGTCATCGATCAGTACGTGAACGAGTCCGTCGCCAAGGGTCACCTCAGTCACGGAGAGACAACCGACTCACTCGAAAGCTTACAGTCGGATAGTTCAACGTAAGCTGACTGACTGGGTGGTTCTTCCTGTACAGAAGAAGCTTCTACACTATCGCCACTGCCGTGTTATGCATGTTGGTGCTCAATGTAGTCTCTCTCTCTCTCTCTCTCTCTCTCTCTCTCTCTCTCTCTCTCTCTCTCTCTCTCTCTCTCTCTCTCTCTCTCTCTCTCTCTCTCTCTCTCTCTCTCTCTCTCGGGCATTCTATTACCTCTCCTGGAAGTGACTTAAAGTGAAAGAACAACTGATTTTTTTAAGGTTCTTTGAAGTATTGAATGAGACGGCACACCTCTCTGTTTCTTTTCTTTTTTTTGCTGTTGTGATTGTGATAGAACTGATGAAAGGAGCACACCCACTGCAGATCAACTCAAAGCGTTGGTCAACCTGAAGTACATTCAGTCCCTCGCGGAGCCTGGTGAATGTGTGGGTCTTCTCGCTGCCCAGGTCAGTGCTGATGTCGTGATCGATCACAAACACGTCATCTGCGTGTACATGTAGCTGTAGATCCATCTCCCCACTCCCTTTGTGCCTAGCCCAGTTCTGTCTGGAAGCTCTGAAGGCCTTGAGTTCCTCTTTTCCTGCAGAGTGGCTAACTCTCTGATGACAAGTTAGTAGAACATGGTAAACAATGGCGGGTTGGTGTAGTACAGGGAAGCCCTATCGTGAATTGTCTGCCAAGGCGTGTCTACCCTGACTGTAGTCCGTGCTCTTGCTGGACGAAAGATGTGTGCTAGTGTTTACATGCACACCCATGCATGCACATGCACGCACATCCTAGAGGAAGGTTTATTTTATAATTATTGTGATATTAAATCCAGCTAAAGTTATACCTGGCCTGTGTTTCTGCTTCGTCTTGTGCCACTGTCTTGCTCGCACTTTCTGTGTGCTGTACAGTCCATTGGCGAGCCGTCCACGCAGATGACGCTGAACACGTTTCATTTTGCTGGTCGTGGAGAAATGAACGTCACACTCGGTATTCCTCGTCTTCGGTACGTACAACGCACGGACGGCACTCTCCGTCCATTCCTGAGCAACCAGCACACGAGTAGTAACGCACTGCGTACTGTATTGATTTCTGTTTTTATATATAAATCAATGTAGTATGCAGTGCTTCGCTCATAATCTCATAGTGGCGCCAATTTTTTAAATTGGTACCATTATTATTTTGCATGTGATTGTATCCCGCCTCGCAGCAAATTTGTTTTGCGGTGTTTACGAGCTTCTGCACTTCCTTTTCTTGTTCCGTATATTCCCTGATACTGGGTTAGACAGTATTACATGATTATATCACACTTGTGAAGATAGGTTTGTCTATTCGTATACATGTAGTCATGTGTTTGGGGGTCGAGTTCCAGACAGATGACCTGTCAAGTATCACTACTGTAAAGCGTGAAATTTTCGCGGCGTTTTTAGTTCGCGTTTTCAGAATCCGGACAGGTTTGCGAGGTTTTAACTTTGCGATTGCAGAGTGGCATTCTTGCTAAACCTGTGGCATTCTTGCTAAATCTTTCATGGATCTCCTTTTCGCGCTGTCTAAATTTCGCGATTTCCACGCGGTCGCGAATTTCGCAGGAATTAGACCAACGCAATAATTTCACGGTTTACAGTAACCTCCACCACCGCAACCACCATAATCTAGGCAGTCTGTGTATCCCGGTGAATCCTGCACGGTTATTTACTTGCAATCTCTTCTTCCTCTTCTGTTCTCAGTGAGATCTTGATGGTGGCTAGTGCCAACATCAAGACACCGGCTATGGATGTGCCGTTGCGAGCACGTGGACCTGATGCAGCTGACGACTCACAGTTCCTGAAGAAAAGATTCACAAGAGTTCTTTTGTCTCAGGTATGGTCGTGATGGCTCTGCTGATGCTAGCATACAGATTTACCGCAGTGGTGTCAGATTGACTTAGACATATTTGATGCGATTACCGTGCAGTGCTTGTTTGATTTGTGGGTCTTGACCTACTGGTGTGCAGGTGTACTAGTAGTAGTTTGGATTGTCTACATGTAACGCACATATAAACGTACTGTTATTTGTGACTGTGGATTGACGAAATGGTGTGCTGGGCTTGCTTGCTTGTGATCAAAAGGTGTTGGAGAAGGCCGAGATCTTCGAAACGCTCTGCGAATCGCCTGCTGGCGGTAATCGGTATGTGTTGCTTGTTTTGCTGGATTTTGCTTGTATTTAGTCTGCTAGAGAGGGTAGGGTTAGGATAGGGTTTCCTCTTTGTCACGTGCTATGATATAGAAAGTGTTTCAGATCAGACCTGGTCTTTATCGAGTTACATGATTGCAGAGTGATTGGGAAAGGGCAGGTCTGCTCTAGAACACTTTCTATGCATGAAGGTGCAGGAAGTCTCGCCACTCTTACTCAGTGCTATGGTACGTCTCCCTCTCTCTCTCTCTCTCTCTCTCTCTCTCTCTCTCTCTCTCTCTCTCTCTCTCTCTCTCTCTCTCTCTCTCTCTCTCTTTCTCTCTCTCTCGTTCTCTCTCTCTCTCTCTCTCTCTCTCTCTCTCTCTCTCTCTCTCTCTCTCTCTCTCTCTCTCTCTCTCTCTCTCTCTCTCTCTCTCTCTCTCTCTCTCTCTCTCTCTCTCTCTCTCTCTCTCTCTCTCTCTCTCTCTCTCTCTCTCTCTCTCTCTCTCTCTCTCTCTCTCTCTCTCTCTCTCTCTCTCTCTCTCTCTCTTTCTCCCTCTCTCTCTCTCTGTCTCTGTATGGCTCATTCCTTTGCATCTGCTTACCTTCACAGTTTTCCTTGGTGACTGAGTTACAGATTGTTTCTGTGTCTGACGTTCAGGTTACGACAGTACCGGATACGGCTCAGTTTCTTACCGCATGAAGCGTACAAGGTAGGCCCTATTTGCAGCTATGTGTTGCACGGCGCTTGTCAGTAATGCGTCGAACTGAAAGAACATGACCAGAATTGAAAATGTTGGGTTGTGCTCTGTTCGTTGCCACTGGAACTGCCAACAGTACCATGTTGCCACATATGGACTCTTTGTTGGCGTGTGTTTGCCTCTATTCTTTGTGCATCTATAAACTTACTGGGTCTTTATGGCAGTGTGTTGTCTATACAAGTCATGTAGTTACACTGGACGCTTTCGGCTACACATTCTGGATCCAGGTTTGAAAATTCTCGGATGACCGTGACGAGCGGATTACGGACACGTAAACGAATGACTGGAACTTGTCGTGAATTCTGTACTCACAACCCACTTGACGAATCGTGGAAAGAGATCGAATGTACAGCTCTTTGTGACAATCCGCAGTATACATGCAGCGAGCACACACTGTCAGGTGTCAAAAAAAGCGTACATCAACTTCGTCACTTCTGGCGGGAAAACTAGGAACTCCGCCTTCACTTCCTATTGGGCGGAATTAGATTCCGTGGATTCGGACGAAGAGTTCTGTGTAACAGCACAGTGTATGCTTCGTATGGATTTCTAGCATGGACGGAATTGTGTGTAATCGAGCGCGCACAATGACTGCTAGTTTACTTGTGTGTGTGTGTGTTTTTTTTTGTTCTGCTCTCAGGATGAGTTCAGTGTCACGCCGGACCTGGTGCTGCAGTCCACCGAGGCCCGCTTCTTCCGCCTGCTGGTTGCCAACATTCGCAGGGTGATCAAGAAGATGCAGAAAGCCAGGTGAGTGCAGCTGCTTTGCCTGGTCACTGTAGAGCTTGGCGTTCAGACGGTGAATATGACAACTACTGCAGTCAATAGATGATATGCGAAATAATGTGCAACTAGACAGGGGACGGCATTGCAGAGTAGTTTGTTCCTGCAGAGCTAGCTCAGGACCTACAGTGTACACATTGTAGTATGGTTTGCATGCAACTGGTGTGCAATGCCCTCCCAAGTCTATTTGCACGTTAATTGGCATAATTATCATCTATTCTGGTCATATGCATTTACTTGAAGTATTTATAAAAAAATTCATTGATCTCCCTATTTCACATGTCGGACTCGAGCCAGTAGTATCCGACTAGTCTTGGATGGTCGCCGTGAGTGCGGGATTCAGCAGTGGCGGCACTGTAGGCGTAATGTGAGTGTGCTGTTTCTTTGCCACGCTGCACAGGGAAGAGAGCACAGCCGTCGTTCCTGAAATCGTCCACCGGCCGCGAACAACAGATGAGAACGGCCCTGACAGCGAACCAGGTATGGATATGATACTAGCAGTTAGCAATCAAAGTGGGACCCCAAAACCATGTACATATGGTTATAACAATTGTGTTCTTCATCACCACTTTTGATAGTGTACATTTGCTTTTATCCAATGGAATACGACATCAACATGTACATGTACATGTACATGCCTAATCTAACTTTTCCCAACCGAGAATTATATTACAAAACTCCAAGCAATGCATTCTTACGTCTGAATCTATAATGCATACAAGCAAGAGTACATAAACCAGAGTGCGCAACTCAGGATGGTTCCTGTGGGAGCGTAATCCGTGCAGTGCGTCGTTTTTTGCCGGCATGGTATTATAGTCATGTGTACGGTGAAAAGTTGCGCAGCCAGTCGCGGTGGTGCAGGTCACTGAGTTTGTGCTGATTTGGGTGTTTCGCACCGATAGCCTGGTGAATTTACTTGACAGCGGATGTACAGAGCGTACGCGGTCACACAAAAACACAGAAATCCTAAGACAGGACGTCTAAAATCATGCAAACTTGCCTGATTTCGGGGCTGTGAAAAACAGAAATCTGGGCTGTACGCAAGCCGCGGCTTGGCTAACCTCGTCAGCGTGACGTAGTGCACGAACTGTGCTGCTTCAGATCTAATTTATGAACTCTTGATGCAAGCAAGAGTGCATACCCCCCCCCCAGAGTGTGCAACTCCCGCATACCGTGCTGTCCCGACAGAATTTCAAGTTGACGCCATTTTTGTGGTGCAATGCTCCTCGCACAAGTGATTTGCGACATTTGTACTGGGTGTCAATGTATCACATGTGTTAGTTTGAACAGTATCAAATAGGGATTTGCACACTTTTGTTAGTTGTGCACTCTTGCTGCAAGCACACGGCTGTTGGCTCTATATAGTACAGAAACACACACAACTGACGTCACCACCGTAACCTTGTGTGCTGTGCTGTGCTTGGCATCCGCTGCAGATGAATTGCTATCGGACGTTGACGAGGAGGGTGCCGATGCATCCAGTGCGAAACTGCACGCGCGCAAGAAGCAGGTGAGCGCAGCTAGCAACTCTCGGGTTGTGCGTGTGCATGAGACAGCTCACTCCGTGTGCTAGGCTCAAAGACTGCTAGCACTGCAGGCCATGCCTCGACTATGTTGTTGTTGTTTGTTTCATTTAGAGTTGATTAACGAACAGGCAAATTTAGAGTTGGTTAATGAACAGGCAAATTTAGAGTTGGTTAATGAACAGGCAAATTTAGAGTTGGTTAATGAACAGGCAAATTTGCTTATTTATTTATACATATCTAGTTACATGTACTACTCTTAGTTCATGTATAATGGGCAGTCCGAGAAAAAATGGTTCGCCATGCGATTTCCTCCAAAGCATCTCCTGCGTACGACCATTGTAATAGTGTTTTCTACCTTTTGCAGTAATTCCAATTCATGGCGTACTGCAGTGTGTTTCAAAAGTGTGGTCCAGCCACCCGAAAATAATTTCAAACCGTTAGGCCCACATCTCTGCCACATTGTAACCTGTATCGTGTTGTACATAACATTGTGTTTGGCCTTTGATTTCCGATTTGCAGCAAGTGTCTTACGACGATGATGATGACGATGAGGAGATCATGTATTCGGATTCGGATTCGGACTCAGACAGTGATGCTGCCCACGTCAAATCTGAAGCCTCGGCAGCTGGTGGTGGTTCCGGAGATGAGAGTGATAACAGTGGTAAGACTATTTGCTTTTGTATTTTTCTCCGATTAACTCATGGCTGAGGGAGCCAGTGACAAAGTACTGTGGCGAGTGTAGGACAGAGGACAGCATGTCCCAACCATGGCAAGAAGTTACAGGCTACGTGCATGTACTGTTGTAGCGGTTTTCGATTCTGTTGCAACTTGGATGTGCGGTGCTGGCAATTTGAGTTGAATTCATAGTCGGGAATTGGGCTCTGGCTGCTTCTAATCTTCTTTCTTTCTGCTTTCTTTGTCGCATTTACTTTTAATTTGCCCTGTGTTTAGGTAACACTAATGGTGTGCCTCATCATCCTTCAACTCCAGGAGCAAGAGGTAAGATATTGGCTTGTTCTCGTTGTACCTAGGGGTTGTGCTGCTGCTGCTGCTGTTGCTGCTGCTGCTGTTGCTGCTGTCGATGATAATGTGGAAGCCCTGGAGGGGCATTGACACACAGTCTGAGTTTACACCAGGTTATTGTTTGTGATCGAGCGTGATCCTGGTCTTTTCACTAGCTTGGTGTGACCTAACGAAGAAGGTGTGTGGCTTTTTCACGAATGATTGGTCTGTGGGGATGCCACTTTGAAGTACTTGGTGTGTGCTATAAAAAGACTGGGAGTCAGGTAGACCTACTGTGAACTTCTCAAGTTTGTTCCCGGTGAGAGAGCACAAATATGTTCAATGTGAGTGGCAAATAGCTTTGAAATGTGGCAGGAATGGTCCCTAACAAACATTTTTCAGAGGTCCTATGTCCGAAGTACTCTGTTGTCTGGTGTTGCTGTGCAGCTCGATCGACCGATACAGATGTTCAGTTCCGTGTTCGGGTAAGGCCTGGGGAATGTCTGTGATGCAATACACACCGGTGCTGTGCCCGTCAGTCTGGGTGTCTATCATGATGGTCTGCTTGACTGCAGTGTAATGTGTTGGTGTGTTGGTGTGTTGGTGTGGTCTTGTTTGACTGGCCATTGTGCATGTATGACGAATACACATCCAGTCAGAAGAACGGTCCAGGCTTCTAGTGCACCATGTCATGATTGTGTATTGTTGCTACTCCAAATTTCTTTCATATTATAGCAGTCTTCAGTCAACTATTGGTTTTTTGATGCGTAGATCCAATGCCTTTGTGAGAGAGTGAAGATGGAAATGGTATCAGGGGCAGTGCGTATTGCCTGTTTGCGCCGTCTCTGCTAAGGTCTTCACCTATAGTGGTTGAGTAGTTGGGAGTCTTTACCAGCGGTGTGTGAAATAGTGAGAAGGGCTGAGTACAGTCTACCAGTTTGTTCATTTATACTATTTCCACTGTTGACTTTGTGTTCAGGGTGTTACACAAGGAAGTTCAGCTGTTACAGACTACTGCTATGACACAAAGAACAACCTCTGGTGTGAGGTCATTCTAAAGGTAATCAGCGTGTTCATGTGTTGGCCACCACACTGAATGTGCACGGGGCTGTTTTCTTGCTTGTGCAGTGCTCTCGCCCAGCCTGCTGTGAGTAGTTTGCACGTTCAACATCAAGTGTTCATGTTAACACTCTACATCACATGCCAGGCTGTGCTGGGCTGGCTGCTGCTAACAAGCCTGTGTGCATTAGGGGTTGGGGGTGGTGGTGGAGGTGGGGGATGCACATGTAACACCCCTCAGCTACACCACACTCATTCACCTCTCGAGTTGTTCTCCTATAGTTTTAAGGTTGTGAGTGATGGCTGATGAGTATTGGTGACTGTGGTGCATGAATCTCCTGGACTGGAGAAGGGAACACATTAATTCACTGACACAGAGAGACACAATGCCTGTTTGAACCTACATGTACATGGTGTGTGTGTTTGTGTGTATCTGTCTGTCTGTCTGTTTGTTTGTCCGTCCATCCGTCTGGCCATATTCAGTTCCCTATCATGTACAGCAAGGTCATGATCGCAGATATCATTGAACGAACGTCTAGGAAGGTAAGTTTTCTAAACGGGAACTGCTGCTGCTGCTGCTGCTGCTGGTGGTACATCATTTGCCCCTTTCTGTCATTGACCATGTCAGTGTATTCCGTGATCCCTATCCATATGAATTTCTGGAGAAGTATTACTGTGCTAAATGCTTACTATTCACCAATCTACTTCTTTCACTGCATGTGCCCTATTGCCTTTCTTGCCAGACATTGTGTCAGAGGAAGTGTTGTATGTACTTACACTGTACATCTAATTTTGAAGTCACATTGATGTTTATGGAGAGCACTGCAAAAATATGCCAAAGAGTGACCGTTGCTTTTCCCAAAACATTTAATATCTCTTGTCTGGTTTCGTTTCTGCAGTACATCGTGCATGAAGTGCCTGGCATCCAGCGATGCTTTATCAACGAGAGCAAAGAAGCTGGCGAAAACGGCATGTGGCGCCTCAAGACGGAGGGTGTGAACTTGCCGGTGAGTTTGCAGCGACATTTTTCTGTTAGTCGCCTTGACGCGTACCTTGTACGCTGTATGTGTTGTACACTGTACATATATGCCTTGTGAGCAACTCCTCTGCTGGTTTGTGTGTGTGTGTGTGTGTGTGTGTGTGTGTTTGTGTGTGTTTGCTGGTGCGTCACAGGAGTTGTTCTACTACCCGGACATCATTGACATCAATAAGCTGTATACCAACAACATCCACGCCCTTGCGGCAGTCTATGGTATTGAAGCAGCTCGCCAGGCACTCGTCAAGGTAAGGAATAGTGGAGTGTGATGCGAATGGGATGGGGTGGCTTGCGATAGCGATGGCTAATTTTTTACTTTTCAGTTCGTCGTGCGAATCGCATTGTCTTGTCGTGAACTTTTGCGGCGGCATGGTTTATGTCGTTCTCTTGGCAGCATGAAGTTCGCCGGGGATCTCTATTAAATTAGTGTTTGTACACAATCATGTATGGATAATGGATATTAACCTCATTTTTTTTTAAGTCAGCGGGTTAAATCGGTTACTATTAGAGACTAATGTTGCCTGACGGTCACTCAGCTTGAAGCTCAGAATTGCAAGCAACCGCTCCGACTTCTGTGTCAGATGCATATACCTACTACATGTACCTAGAGTTTATAAGCAGCAGGAGTATGGACTTCGATCACGTTTATATGGGCCAGACGTGCGGCCTGCTGCCTTCATTGCATTGTGCGGCTGCACACTGCAGGAAATACAACTCTATACTTTCCAGATGGATACGAGTTATGAATGACTGTCCACTACTATAACTAGATACTGTAATATGCAATCGAAAATGCGATAGGTAGGCACGAAACGGACAGATCACGGTAAAATTAAACGACATGACACCTGCACTGTAGCTCTAACCCAACTCCAATGTGCAAACCAGCAGCCTGACTGTATCTGCCTCAAAGTCGTGATTTTACAGTTGTGCCAAGTGAAACCTGATTGTTGTGTACTTCCAGCGCCCGAACAGTGTTTGGCGGTTTCACGCAAACTCTGAATAGGTCGGGTGGAACTTCCAAGGGCCGTGGAACTGTAATGTTATTATAATTATGAGTTTGAACTGCTCTTGTTGCTAAACTTGGTTCCTCTCTGCGCTGTGTGTCGTGTGATATTGTACAGGAAATTGCGGCCGTCTTCAAGGTGTACGGTATTGTAGTGGACTATCGGCATCTGTCTCTCATCGGTGACTACATGACCGTGGAAGGTTCCTACAGACCGTTCAATCGCATCGGCATCGAAAGCAACCGCTCGCCCTTCCAGAAGATGAGCTTCGAGACGACAATGCACTTCCTGCGCCAGGCGACGGTCAACGGAGACACCGACAATCTCATATCGCCCTCGGCTCGGATTGTGGCCGGTCTGCCAGCGTTGGGAGGTACTGGCTGCATGGATATCTTGCAGCCACTCGCTTAACGCCGGATCTGCAACTTTGTACAGTGATGCTGCTCTGTGTGGCTGTGTAATATAGTGGCTGTGAACATATATGCCAAGTTTTTTTCCTTATCTTTTTCTGACTTTAAGTTAACGTACCAGTTGGTGTTCTCCCTCCATGTCCCTGAATGCAAGTCCACTCAGTGTTGGGCACTGGGCTTTTATGTACTCTCTGAGTAGAGGGTTTATACTGGAGACTGGAGACATCTTTTATCATCGCAAACTCTGGAGCGACCTTTTATCACGCTAGCTTCAAACGCTGTGTGCAACTCTAATAAATCCGCTGACAAGCTTCTGTTGTCAATGCAGTGTACATAATTATGTGTAGTGTATGTGTGAAGCTGTGCCCCAGACAGGCACTACAATGTCACCGATGTGTTTTGAGCTTTGACGTCACAGTGGATGTGTGTGTTTATAGGGGGAAGAGACACGTCCATGTACTCGTAGTTCATTGATGTCCATCAAAAGGCAGTATGAAGGGTTGTTGGCTTACGTCCAAGTACATTGCTGGCTGTACCGTAGTAGGTATCTATGTGAATTAGGGAGTCTCGCTCCCCATACCATCTTGCCCCCTCATACACATATCCGGTAATGATATTTTACTAGCCCCTGGTTGGTACAGAACTATGGCCAGGCTCCAACCCCGAACTCGCAGTAGAAACACTGTACCGCAATGCAGCCGCTGCAGCAGCTTTCCTGTCGGTCTGATCTTTTTTTCCACTTGCAGACTTTAAAAACACATCACACCCAACAAGTAATAATGTCATGACACTTAGTGTTTTATTGGAGGAGATTATCATCTGAGTAAAATGAGTATACACGCTAGAGACAGCCACGAACATAGCACAACATGTATTTGGAAACGGCTATAATCGAGAGTGCTGCCAATGATTTTCGTCTAGTCAACAAAAGGTTATCATGTTATCAAAACAATGTCATTAAAAAAAAAACAAAAAAAACAAACAAGAAAGCATCAACAAAAGTTCCCTGCACAGCAGGTCGTAGTGTGTGACAAGTTGGAGTCTGTACAGTGTACTCAAACGGGGAGCAAGACCTGACAGGTCTCCAGCATGGAAACGGCGGCGGTGCAGATGGTGGTGTTAGCATTAATGAGTACACGGGTGAATCTCGGAGGGCGGACAAAAGGCAGCGGAGCACAGGGGCAGCATGGCCTTGCTGCAGACCAGGCTTAGATTCGGGCTGCCGACCAGCGCAAGCACTATTATCTTTACAGCTAGCATGTGAATGCAGTTTCCTCAAGTGGCTGGGCCAACGAACAATATATTATTCCATGATACTGCGGAGTACAGACTGCAAAAATGATCATCTCAATCCTTACTGCCGCAGCTATGCACCGGAATGCAAAGAGAAGAAGTAGACAAATAGAAGAAAGATCGGATAGAGTAGAAGTGAGGATTTCTGTTGCAGTTCTTCTTGGATTAGGAGCGAACTGGCACTGTACGTAGACCAGATAACACCAAATACCTGAACATGAACATGTACATGCACACACACACACACATACACCCACGCACGCACGCACACACACACATACACCCACGCACGCACGCACACACACACATACACACACACACGCACGCACACACACATACACGAAAGCTCGAGTTATGATTTGCAGACATATCGTAGATACCGCTATCTCCAGCACAGGTGAAACACCACTTCATTTGACTTCTATCCTTCTCACATACATCTACTCAAGGCACCAGGGTTAGCCGGAATACCGTAAAAGTCCGTAAATAAGTACGTACCGGTATTTACTTTCGAATTTAGTGGTCAGACGCGCACTAACTATCGGGTGGATTCTAACTTTCGGGCACGAACCAACTTTCGGACCTGACTTGTGCGTAGTGAAGAAGTCATTTTTCATGTGGATGTACATGCTAATCGCTGAATGTGCGAACCATACCGGTACTTATTTCGGGCAGTATGTTTATCGGGCTGGACTTAACTTCAACAGACAGAGCCAAAAGGATGAAGGGTGTATGTATTCGGGCAGGTACTTGTTACGGACTTGTTATGGTAGCTACTAGGATGCATACATAATACATCACACAGATAAAGACCAACGGTACTAGTATGTACAAGTAACACAATCAACAATCCAGAATCGTCGAGAGATGACCTACCTTGGAGCAGCTGGAGAGCAGTGGAAAAGGATGGAGCAATGGAAGTACTGTTGCAATGATGATCAACGGTAGTAGGGAATAGCCAATGACACCTAGCATCTGTGAGAAACTTACCTGTATACAACACACACACACACACACACACACACACACACACACACACACACACACACACACACACACACACACACACACACACACGCATACACACACACACGCACACAAAAGACAACAGCATACATGATGTAGTGAACAGACCAATTGCATGAACGTTGAGTATCGAGAGCTCGACATACGAAGTGGCTGTAGTGGAGCCAGTGCAGCGAAAGAAAGGACACACACACACACACACACACACACACACACACACACACACACACACACATCTGTATTTGCTATTTAAACACTCATGATGTGGGGGTGGGGATGCATAGGGGGAGTGAAAGTGAGCAAGTAAGAGAGAGAGAGAGAGAGAGAGAGAGAGAGAGAGAGAGAGAGAGAGAGAGAGAGAGAGAGACAGAGAGAGAGTACATTAAACACTAGCTTACACTGCCACCCAGAACTCTAGCCAGTAGAAAGAGAAGATAGGTACCGAATATCCAGATCGTGACGATCCACGATATAACCTGCAGATGAACATACACACACACACGCCCACACGCGCATGCCCACACACACACATTAGAAAGAGGAGGACATTATCACAAGGTAAAGGCTACCAGGCCATACATGTATATAAATACGACAGGAAAGCGACTGTACTGGTATCGTCTTCCAGTACGGTAGAGAAAATTTATACACGTACCAGAAGGGTTATGCGAATGATGTCAAGTCGGTGAGTCAGCAGAACCGCTTATGGGTGTGCTATATAGTACAGTGTGAGTCAGCGGAAGTGTTTTGGGCGCATGTATAAGGCGTGAGTCGCTAGTGAGTCGCTGTGCCGCAATTACCTTTGCCAACGCACCTCAACTGGCAATGTAAACACACATCCTCTATAGCAATACTAAGCACCAATTCAACTTTCAAGTACAGATGTGGTGAGTACACACAGTCCGTACTAAAGTCTGTACCGATGTACACTTGTAGTACTGAATGCCACGCAGACACGTACCCGTGCATTGCACGTGCAATCAAAACTGGTTCGCGGAGCTGCTGAACGTGTCGATCGGTCTGCATTTCACTTGCCACCAATTACGTTGTATCTGCTATTGATTTTAACGAATCTGCGAGCTGGACTTCGGCTGGTGCGTCATCATGTGGACAGTCGAGCTTTTGCAAAGTACATGTAGAGTGTATAGTGTATCGGTGTTTGAACACGAAACTCGGAGTCACGAGAAAGTTTTTGGTCTCTGCTGTTCTGCATGGTGTTAGTGCATCTTAAAAATTGAAACTACAAGCACCAGTGCTAGAAGTGTGAAAGACCTACCCTTAGCTGTCCAAACAGAGATACCATAGCATAGACCAGTACAACAAGCAGGGGGCCCCAGAAGTCGGGAGCATCGCGGATAACAGCACGATTGAAGCCCAGGAACGGCAGCGGAAGCAGCACACAGCGTAGCTTGTAATAAATGTCCTTCAGATCAATGTCCAGCTCTTCTCTAAGAAAATATAAAACAGAATGCACAGCAGCAACAACAATACAACCTATATGGCTCTGTGCAGGACAATAGGCAAAGGACACAAGAGCTGGGACGTTGTCCGCTCCGGGCGGGTCATAATAGGTTGGTGCAGCAACTCCCTTGTAGCTAGCTGGCATACGTGCACACACGCACACAACCACACATTTGCAATAGTCTATATTTTGCTTCTGGTGTACACGTGTACTTGCCTTCTCCTGACGGTTGTAAACCATGCGTGCACAGTCATTTTTTTCCTTAATACTGTCTTTCGATTGGGTATCCCAAATTCACATGCACGCACAGGAACTAGACCATAGGAACAAACTCATGTAGTGTACACAATGAGGTGTGAATAATCGTTTTTGAAACAACTTACAAAAGTGGTTTCTCATCTTCATCCTGATCATCAACTTCAAGCATCCATCCGAAGCCCTTTTTGGAAAGAAACTGAGATGTAGCTTCCCGTGATCTGTTCCGTACACCACCGCTGTAGCCAGTGTCCTGTTTCTCATCGTCAATGTCAATTGCAATACTCCCTTCAGGGATTGTTGCATCGCCAGAACTCACTGAAACGAACTCGAGGCCAGTGGGGGCCGCCGACTCGGTCTCCACCTCGAGCTGCGCAACCGACGTCATGCTGGGCTATCTTTACCCAAAATTACGTCCAGAGACCTTCTAAAGTGCCACACATTCCCCTGACGCCATGCCAATCGACGTCTTGTCCAAGAACTTGAACTAAGTAACATAGTTGAAGAAGATGTAGTTGAAGTATTTTTGTGGAATATGACTTGATTCAGAGATTTTCAATTTTTTCAATGTCTGCATCACGTCATTCTGCATAATGGTGATGGAATGATGACATCATAAATCTCACACTTCGATTTCAAACGAACGTTACTTTTGGATCAGACAGTAGTATTTTCCGGAGGAAAGCACTACGTAACGAAACAGTCATGTTTGGGTGTAAACAGGTTCTACTGCTGTAACTATTCACTGCTTTGGAAGTACAAGTAAGGAAAGTTTCCTGAAGTAAATCAGTGGTATGGAGGTTGTGCGTGGCTTCGCTCATGGCAAGCTTGTCGACTGAGCTCCCTTTGAAGGTCGAGGATGAAAGAGAATCGAGCGAGGCCATTCCTTTGTCCTCAGATAGTAGTGTATGTGAGCTTGTGGATATACTTCGCTGTGCACCTCATGTAGTAGTGTACACTGGAGCGGGAATAAGCACGGTGAGTAAGGTTTTACTGACAAAATGAATATCATTGAAAAGAATCATGCATAGCTCATAACAATAATTATAAACTACCATCCTGGCCTGAACGTTTTCTCGTGACCATCATCTAAATAATCAGGGGAATTCATCTGTAAAGACCACCTACTTTCAGCAACCACCTGGTCTGTAAGTACTAAGAGTGCCTGGTTTCAGCAACCACCTGGCTTGTAGGACCAACTGGTTTGTGGGACAATTGGTTTCAGCAACCACCTGGTTTGTGGTAAGACCACTATCCTAGGCGCAAACGTGTGGGATGTGCATGGGTCACCGTGGACATCTGAGTCCGGTCACATAGGTGATGACTGATACCATGATTTACCTGAATCGCAGTGATCACAGTTTCACAAAGTGACCAGTGCCGCTGAAATGTGATGTGTGTGTGTGTGTGTGTGTGTGTGTGTGTGTGCATGTGTGTGTGCGTGTATGTGTGTGTGTGTGTGTGTGTGTGTGTGTGTGTGTGTGTGTGTGTGTGTGTGTGTGTGTGTGTGTGTGCATGTGTACATGTGTGCGTGTACATGTGTGTGTGGTATGTGTGCGTGGACATGTGTGTGTGTGGGGGGGGGGGGGGTATGTGTGTGTGTGCATGCATGTATGTGTGGGTATGTGTATGTCTCTGTGTGTCTGTATATGTGCATGTTGTGCTACTAAAGGCAGCTGCTATTCCTGATTACAGGTGAGCACAATGATCTGTTTGTGGCACATTGGAGTATGTTTTTATTATTGCATCACATTGTGCGGTGCAAATAAATTGGTCAGTTCATGATACAATCAGACTGGCCTGGCTACATGCAGCATGTGCAAGTCACGTAGTATGGTAGGGGGCATGTGTATAGTTGCTGCTACCCAAACTATTAGAAATCATGCCTTTCTTGTGAATGTGTTGTGATATATGCTATACATGTATACTGGTGTATGGATGTCGGGCTGATTGAACACAAACTATTCATTGCGCGTTTGAATCACATGGCATGCAGTTTGAATACCTAACAGTACATGTAATACCCAACCCTCATGTACAGGATGGGATAGCACGTGGTGAATGGTTGCAGGATTGCTGCTCTATAACATCTTGGTGTTGTGTGCATTTGTGTGTAGAGGTCCCAATGGTGTGTATACCCTTGCAGCCAAGGGCCAAGCAGTCAGGTAGGCACTTTGAACTCAAAGCAGATCATTGGACGTATTTTCTTTTGTAGGGCAGTGAATGTGTGCATGTGTGTGTGTGTGTGTGTGTGTGTGTGTGTGTGTGTGTGCATGTGTGTGTGTGTGTGTGTGTGTGTGTGTGTGTGTGTGTGTGTGTGTGTGTGTGTGTGTATGTGTAATTGATTTGCCAGCTGCTAAAACTAGTAAAAGGACCTCAGCCATGTTCATGGTTCCCTGTAGTCTATTGCTGCTCGCATAAAATGGTGGCCAGGCCACTCCATGATTTCACACAAAATCTCTTCATCTGTAACTAAACTGCGTGTGATGACCATGAGCTTCCGCTCTGAGGATCATCTTGATGGCCAAGCGCTTCCAGTGAAATGTTGAGAAGCAGTTCAGGCGGATCCCTGTTTAGTTTTTCGATAAAACCTGTAGTGTCTGGCCGCTCTCCATCATATTGCCGCAGTGCATCTGGTCATACCCTGGTGCGACACTTTCCTTGACGATCTGAACAACATCAGAAATGACACATAGACACTCTTACTTTACTTTGGTGTATCCCACTAACAATTTTCCTGGCTGCAGAAGCCTTTGGAGGGGTTGGCCATCTTTCATGCAGCTCTCTAAATGGGGAAATTGGCTTGTGGAAGCAAGTGGAAAACCCAAGATTAATGAGCTCTGAGGTGTTGCTGATTTGCTGCATTCATGTGCACGTTTGTGTAACTGGTCTGTGCACGTGTGTGTTAGCATGTCAGATACATGCTCATACACCCGGTAACTCGGCTTGAGCACCGGGACCCGGTGTGTTCAAATCCCTGCCTGTCTTTTTGATCAATCATGGGTGTGTGGTTGTTGATGGTTTGTGCTCGCTTGTAGCCCGTGTGACTTGACAGCTGCTAACCCGACTCTCACACACATGGTGCTTGTTGCTCTGCTGAAGACGGGTAGGGTGAGTGCCTTGCTTCATTTGCTTGTTGTGGATATCTCTTCCTGTGCCGTGCGTTGCCTTGCTTATTGCACCCACCTACTGCGAAGTGTCAATGCCAAGCTGTTGCTCCTTCTTTCACTGGCACAGGTATTCGAGTTGGAATTTTGATAATGAAATGTTGTTGCACATCCACTACACACCAACTGTTACTTCGAAGTACAACCTTTTCTTTCAAGTGTAGTAGCTGACGAGGGAGCTTGTTTGAACAGGACATGCATGAACTGTGCATTGTAACTTGTAAGAGACCCTGTCTTCACTGTGATCCTCAAGCTGTCTATAGTTTGCTTCAATCTACAAGTACCAAGTAGCGGTTTAGAGCTGGGTGTGTTGGTCTTCTGTGTACAATGTACATGTAGGTGAAGCACATTGTCTCACAGAACTGTGATGGCTTGCATCGCAGGAGTGGTGTGGTACAGGAGCAAATATCTGAGATCCATGGCAACATGTATATAGAGGTAAGTGCTGTACCATTTCATTTGTGTTTTTTTTACCGTGTACACCGCCTCGTGCGGTGCTGTGATATCTGCGTTATTTCAACTGCAGCTGCACCAGTTCTTACTGTGTGTTTGTGTGTGTGCATGTGTGTGTGTGTGTGCATGCGCACGTGCGTGCATGCGTGTGTGTCTAATGCCCAACTGCGCTAGGTATGCAAGCAGTGCTCGCCACCAACGCAATATATTCGTGAATGCGACGTGACTGGGAAAACAGCACGTCACCGGCATGCCACTGGTCGTGCATGCAGTGCCTGCTACGGTCCTCTACATGACACTATCGTACTACCCGGCGAGAGGGGATCCTTGGCTTGGCCACTGAACTGGGCCGCTGCACTGGAACATGCTCACAGTGCATCGCATATTCTTGTACTGGGTTCAAGCCTGAAGGTATGCCCGTAGTTCTTGCATGTGGTGCTTGCTGTCTTGAGCATGCATGATGACCTAGTGACACTAGTCCAGTGTCCCATAGTAGTATGTATGAAAGTCAGTTTTGAGGAAGGTTTATCACAACAAAGGTCACAAAAGAAAGGTCTGCCGGAAGTGTGTACACCAGATCTGAAGTTCATCTACATGTTCTGCAAGTCCAGACCAGTAACACCCTTTATTTCCGATTTGTTAGATTTGAATGCTGTGTTGGGTCCCAATTCAGGAGTAGTTGTACATATACCAGTATTTTTTTTAAAAGTTCAGTGTGATTTTGATATCTGGCCTGAATTCAGGTTCTCCTCCTTTTGTTGCAGATGCATCTTACCTTGCCGCTACAGCTATTTTCCTGGGTGGACTAACTTACACGCTTCATACTTTGTCCATTTTTTTAGATCTGCAAACTTGCGATGATGTGCATCCCCCGACAGGTCATAGATTTTCTGTTTTTGTTCTATTGACAGGTTCTACGGCATTACAAAGACCTGTGGATGATGGCCCGTGCCAAGGAGAAGCGCCCAAAGGTCCTCATTATCAACCAGCAGGTGGGGAATGGGATAAGAGTGTTGTTGTTTTTTTGTATTTTGTTCGTCATCAATTTATGTCTCTGAGGCTCCCGTGCCCATTGCTGCATTGCGCTACATCCAGATACGATGGCCGTATGGGATGCTCATTAGATCGTGCGATATCAGCACACAAAGATGAGCTTGTGCAGTGTGTGATGGCAGTGCCGCTTGGTCCGGGTGTCGGCTTTATCTCCGGTTCAACTGGCTAGTGTGTGTGCGTGTGTGTGTGTGCGTGTGTGTGTGTGTGTGTGTGTGTGTGTGTGTGTGTGTGTGTGTGTGTGTGTGTGTGTGTGTGTGTGTGTGTGTGTGCATGTTTGGTTATCATCTAACCCAAACAGTTTTGTACACTTATGGATTATGGATGGGCATTGGGTCATGATTGAAAAGGACTCGTCTTTGGTGTTATGTTTTCCTACAGGCTACTTCCAAGGACAAACAGGCAATGTTTCGAATCGAGAGTAAGGCCCTCTACAGACTACGTGCATAGAACATCCAGTACAAAATCACATAAAACCTAAAAGGCAACATGTTTTCAAGCCTGCATTCAGACTACATGTTACATGCAGCATACAGGTAACCGTTGACCCTGCGCAGTTGCGCAAGGGGATGCGCGAAGGCAGCAAGCAGTCGTGCAAAGTTTGTACGCGTGTACGCCTGCGTGGTGAAAGTACGATAAATGCAGGAAAGTTGCCTTGTACAAGGGTCCGCACCCTGCCTGAAAGGATTGGGCAGCTTTTTAGGCTTCGCGCCTGCTTGGACATCTCAAGTTGCCCAATGCCATTTGTTGTTGAGTGCTCAATGTTTTATCTCTTGCATCGAGTAGTTTGTGAGGCAGATGATGGCCGTTTGCAACAGTCAGGCAGTGTGGGTAAGATTCTACCCACACTGTATGTATGATGGTGAAACCGGGGAATACAGTCACACCTAGCTTAGCCGCACACATCCGTTTTCCACAAAAATATCCGGATAGGCGAGGAAACCGGATAATCGAACACTGGTTAGGTTGGATGCATCACGTATGCGGTAAATCTGTAACCAGCTATTTTCTTCCGGATGGCGAGGGATCCGGATAAAAGAGGACCGGATAAGGGAGGTCTGACTGTATTTTAAGTACAGGTCACATGTCACCGATGGATGGATCCATGTCACCATGTGCTTAAAATGTAGCTGTCAATGAAATCTGGTGGAAAAGGCAATTCGATACCGTTAGTTGCAAAGTACAACTACCTACTCGCAGTGCATTTTCCTACAAGCAGCAGCCTTTTTGTCTTGTCTGGAGCCAGTTCGAAACAGTCAGTAATATCAATACTGGCTTGCTGTATTTCCTTTTTCCCTTTTTAATGTTGTCAATTTATCTGAGATTTAGTCGGTCACATGGGTGCTTGGCGTCCCGCGTATCTATTGTCATCTCCAGTGTAACAGACCGCTGTGACCCTATTTATAATTAGTATAAAGACTATATCTATAGTATATGTACCACGTGTTGTCATTCTCGGTGGATGCAAGTAACACCGGGCACGAACGAGCACCCCACTCACCCTGAGTACCATGCGACTGACCTGCCATGGACTTTGAAATCAGGGTACTGCCTGCACACTTTAGCTTTCCAAAGAAAGCAAGAGGTCGTTCAGACTAGGGGTGCACCAGGTAGTTGCTGGTAGCAGATTGTCTCATGATCAGGTGGTGCGTCATCTCACTGTATCTTTCCTGTGTTACTGGGACATATACTTTTGTACAGGATCATGTGATGAAGTAATGGGTCACATTGCACTGCAACTGGCACTGAATGTACCTCACTATGACAGGTAGGTTTGATTATTTTCAGTCACAGAAAATCTCTCATATTGAGCAGACGGGTAGAGTGGGATGGTCTTAGATCACAACAGAGAAACAGCGGGCACATGTGGTTCAAGTCCTTGGCAGCGGAACGATTTTTGGACTGTGCTATGGCCCACGGCAAGAGTACTGCATAACCCCCAAGAATGTGCCACTATCTATGGGGTCTGCAACACCAGAACTTCGCATCGCGTACACATCATTTTGACCCTGTGCTTGATTGATACAGGGTACAGAGTTGTACCAAGAGTCCATAATCCCCTGCTGGGCCGGGATTATGGACTCTTGGTTGTACGCAACCCTGCTTCGGGTTCAACTCTCTTGCGGTCACTTTGCACAGTTTGCCAGCGTAACCTATTGAACCATGTCATGTGATGTGAAGTTCTGCCATTGCAGCACTAGATGGAGGTTGTGCAGACAGTTGTACACTCCTGGGGTTATGCACTCTTGCCCACGGTCGTTTGGGAAATCGTGAGCTGGCATTGAGGAGACAATGGATGCATTGAATGGGTTTTTTTGGTCTTTGACCACATTGTCATGGGTCTGATCTGCTCACCTGTCATCGCTAAGGAGCTGCACCGTGATCCTTGACGGGGGTGGTGTTTGTATGCATGCGGAAAAGTCAGTCTGACTGACGTTGATAAGAACCTTGAAATGTATTCTATTGAAGGCTAATAATCGACGCGGAGACAGCAATTTTAAAATAGCAATAGAGAGAACAAATTCTGCTGTCATCGTCACACAACAACGAAGTCGTGAAAGTTTTCCAAACTCGATTTTCATGTCACATTCATCAGTGGAATGTCGTGACTAAAAATTATCCATGCGGACAAATGATTTGTTTGAGGGCTAAGTATACCTTTTTGAACCATGAAACTAATCCACCTTTGCCCGCCACCAATTGTCGGGAACTCTACTTCACACTCGAATACATGTATGCACTTTCCTGTGCTGCGAAAATTGCCGAGTTGAGTTATTGTTGAGAAGGTACATAAAACATCAGAGACTGGCTGCGTACAGTGGAAATCAATCATGTCACACGCACGCATGCATGCATACACATACACACGCATGCGCACACACACAACCACACACATGCGCACACAGACACACACACACACACAGACACACACACACACACACACACACACACACACACACACACACACACACACACACACACACATGCATGCATGCGTGCATCCACACACAGGACATGGGCAGAAGTTGAGAAAGTCTGACACTTTTACAGAACATGAGATATGAAAAACAGTCCAGTCAGGTGAAAAGACAGTGGTGATGGTTCACACGCTTCTCATGTGGATCTGGGGGGTGTTGAAGCAACAACTGAGACTCTTTTCTTCAGCATAGGGCTTTGCTATTAGGAGGAACTGAGCCTGGAGACAGCTTAGTAGCCATGCACCACAAGGATGCAATGCTACAGTAAAGCTGCCTTATTCTATTCTTGTTCTATTACTGCTACTGCTGCTGACTGTATACCTCTTTGTGTTTGGATTTCGTATCGCAACAGAATAGCCGATCCTTTCTTCAACGCAGCAATAGACATCCTTGGGCCGAATATAACGACCATCAAGCCAGCTATCTCTTGTGAAACTTGCACAGGACTGTGTACTTGCGCAACCAGTCACTCAACACCAGCTACCAGTGTTGTTAAACAGCCACCACGCAATTGGTATTCAACGGCAGCGAACAAGCGGTCTTATGCTGCGAGAACCTTCGGCAAACGGCGTCGTAAGTCAAAGCGTTCAGCACCTTAGCGCAGAGGTGCAGCTGGCAATGTTTCGTGAACTCTATATTGCACGCACGCGCGCGCGCACACACACACACGCGCGCGCACGCACGCACGCACACACACACACACACACACAAGTCAAGTGTCGGTCAGTCGGCAAGAAAATCGAGCTCCAACGTTAGGAGTAGCCACCTTCTCCTATATCAATATTTCTACTCTTTTCAGCTTGGGCTGATGGGCTTTTTTAGTTCATGCTGGGCAGTGGATTTGGTAGTGCAGAGTGTGGACAATGTCCTGCCAGCAGTTATTTAGTTGCTGCGTTGCTGATTCTTGCTTGAAATAGGAGTACAGTGTTTTCCGTTTATCGTTATAACATTAGCAGTGCAAGTCGGTGGTATATTCTGCAACTGCAGAACTCGCATTCTGTGTACGATATGTTTTATTTGTGTGAGTGGCACGCATAGATGGTGATTGTATCGGCTACTGCATTTTATAATTTCTTGGGTTTAGCGTGACGCTTTGTCGCGTTACGTCGTTTTTGTCTCAAAGACACCAAGAAGTGACTGTTTCAAGGTTTAGGAAATACAGCGGGTGCTCTTTGTCCAAGTCTAAATCAGAATACTGTATAGCAGGAAGTTTTCGGACGGAATTTATTTTCGTACGATTTCGTACACGGCCTCTTTTGTACTAAAATTAATTCCGTACTAAAATTTGTTCATGACCGAGAAAATATGTACACTATACATGCATACTGCTTGCGAACACGTGTTCTTAGCATGCAGCACTGTACGAAAATTAAATCCGGTCGAAAGGTCGAAATTCGGCTTTGTCCGAAAATTTCCTGCTATACAGTATGTTTTAGAATACGCTACTGGAACACTGTATTACTGTCACAATTGGCAAATGAAATCCAGTCTGTGATTGGTGTTACTGGTATGTTATTCAAGCATGGTTCTCAGCTGTCTCAAACCTGGGAGCCCTGCGCATACCATACTCCTAGTTACTAATTATTGACCACAAGGTTGTTTGCTTTCATGTCGTCACCTGGCGAGGTGCCCAGGTCACAGGTTCGGGTTCAACCGAGTAACGCTAGTACAATACATATTCACTGATACCGTACTACTCACTGCCACTGGGTTCAAGTAAAAATAGTCTCTGTTGCATGCCGGTGCCTGTGAAATCATACATGAGGGGGGGGGGGGGGGGCTTTATCATGCGTTCCTTGTGATATTGAGTTTCAAACATTGAAGTCACGGCCAGGCAAAATCCATGTATGAGCTTTGGGTGTTTGAACCACTGGAACAGTAGTGAAGCCCGGGTGACCCCTATTAAATTTTCTTTTTCACAGAATGATTTTCCAAGACCATATCCGGGGCCAGGGACTCCCTGATCCACACCACTCTCTACTGTAAATCGTTTAGTATCACGACTCTCTGACAAGTATGGACATAGAGAGTCGTAGACTACTACTACTACTTACTCAGAGTACTACTCTCTCTCTCTCTCTCTCTCTCTCTCTCTCTCTCTCTCTCTCTCTCTCTCTCTCTCTCTCTCTCTCTCTCTCTCTCTCTCTCTCTCTCTCTCTCTCTCTCTTTCTCTCTCTCTCTCTCTCCCTCTCTCCCTCTCTCCCTCTTCCCCTCTCTCTCTCTCTCCCCCTCTCTCCCTCTCTCCCTCTCTCCCTCTTCCCCTCTCTCCCTCTCTCCCTCTCTATGCATGAAAGCAAGAGTACATAAACCTGATGAAAGCAAGAGTGCATGAAAGCAAGAGTGCATAAACATTTTATGGACTCTTGATGAAAGTAACATTAGTTGGAGTTTCACGCCAAATTTGACGTGAAATTGCGCGTCACATCACGTCAGAAATAATAACGACGCAGGTTTTTCAGTTTCGGTTACATTTTTACTGGCACTATTGTACTCCTACTAATAGCATTGCCATTGGTTGGTCTATGGCACATGGAATAGGCTCGTAAGAAGTGGGAACGTCGCAGGCTGTTGATTGAAAGTCATGCTGGCATCTTGTTTGAGGCGCAGCGTCTCCTGTGCGCTTGCCCCTCGAGTCCAGTCGTCTAACCCAGTATTCGTTAGATTTGCTGGTCACAACAAATGGTCGAAGATAGCCAAATCAAAGGCAGTTGCTGATAAGAAGCATGGGATCGTAGTTACTCAAATAATCTTTGCTGTCGAGAGCGCCGTCAAAGGTGAGAGTAATAGAACATGAATTACATGATCATTATTGTTACAAAGTCGTTACAAAGTCATGCATCACGAGGCATGCTAGGCAATACATGATAGTATACTTCGAGTAGGGTACCATGTGTGATTTAAAAAAAGTTCACTTATACTTTGATGGTACTGATATAAAGAGTCCATTACCAAGAGTATGCAATTATGCTCTTTCTCACACCTCACATCAGCCATATATAGTACGGGATAGTCTGCGGACAGCCGCATTGCAGGAAGTGCGGCGCGCCGCTGCCTTTTGTGGGTTAGCGAGGTGAAATTTTAACGAACTCCGTCTCAAAACCGGCAAATGACTGTCATGTACATGGCGTTTTCTACAATGACTTCAAATGTTAACGAATTTTTTAAATTCGTTAACAGTACGTTCGGTTACAAAATTGGCTTTCCCTGACTGTGTGGATTGCGTCGGTGCTGACACCTTTTCCTTCGAAACACTACTGGTCTTACAGTATACTAGTAATCAGAGCATTGGGGAAGACCAAACCCACACTTTCCTTCTGGTTGGAAACTAATTTTCGGACTGAACCAAAGTTTGTGCACTCAGAATGTACGAACCGTGCGGCGATTGGAGCGAATCAAGCAAACCATGTGTGGTGGGCTCGGGAGAGATAGTGGTGCTTGAGTGTATGATGTGCAGGGCATGATGCATACAAGTTACATCAAGAATAATATAAGCTCCCAAGAGTGTGCAACTCCTGATGCCATTTCTGTGGGGGTTTGCCAACGCCGAAAACTCACATCGCGTAGTGTTCCCTTTGAACGTGTCCAAGCCGTTTTCAGCGAGCAGCGGAATAATAGGGAGGTTTCGCTCTACGGAATTACGTATGAAAATAACGTATGAACTGCACGGAATTTTTATACGTAAAAATCAGAGCTGTTGGGTTTCGCTCTACGTGATTTCTCCACGACTGCTAAACATGCGTTGTTGCTTTGGAGACGCGTTGGCTGCATGCGCCCACCGTATGCACCATGAACCGAAACCGCGTTTTTCATTATATTTTGCACGTGGTGTACGGTGTGTGTACCTTGTGTTTCGCGCGGCTTGAATATTGCCATGGATAAATGCGGAAAATGCGAAAATTATTTCAAAAAGTCCTACGGAGGACCCAACGTAGGAAAGAGCTTTCCTACGGAAATCCGTAGAGAGATTTACGTATGTTAGTTGCCCTCGCTCCCCGGCGCGTACGACATACGGATTTTCATACGTAATTACGTAGAGCGAAACCTCCCTAATGAAAAGAGCACCTCCTGACAGAAACTCCTGCGTGTATGCAAGTCCCCATGGATGATCATGGCAGGTATTCGTATTGCGCGCACTCCATCCTTCGTTGTACATAGTACGAAACGTACCTGGGACACGTAATGTGAGTTTTCGCCGTCGGAAACCCCATGTGCACACTCTTTGGAGCTTATACTTCGAAGTATACTCTTAGTTGCATAATGAAGGCAGCGTGCCGTGCACTGACACGTGATCGCAGTTGCATTCTCTGCCCCTTATGCATAGTGGGCTCTCGGTACTATTCGGTGTAAGAATGTTTGGGCACTACTAAAGCTACACACGAGGTACTAGTATGTGCTCTTGCTTTTACCCGCCCGGCATGACGAGCCACACTCAACGTGCAGCACTGTCGGTCGCCGAAGACCTGGGGGGGTCAGCCTCGTAGCCCAGCCTGTTCATATTTTCATGCATTACAGACTTACAGTACATGCACAGCTGAGTCACCGCGTATACATTGGTATGCTGTGCTGGGTGAAATTCTAGCCTGGTCGTTCTTCGGCGCTACCCAACAGTACTGTAGTGTACAGCTGCTAGTGTAACTCGTATACTCTCAGCACTCAAAGCACATACTTGTTGTTACGTAAGTAGTTATCATTCGTTCATTGTCTCACAAGGAGAAGAAGAAGAAGACAAGGCAGTGCGAGTATGCGCACTGCTATCCATGCATTCCTACGGTGTACTATTTATGTGATACAAATTACCTGTCACAAAGTAGCCATGCTACACTAGCCCTGCTAGTGCTGCATGCTGCCGATTGTGCTGCATGCTTGCAGTGACTTGTACACCAAGTATGCACTCTCAACTGCAATGCCGCGCAATGAAATCAAGTTCGTTAGTGCCCTGCTGTATCAGCAGTGCACAGCTCAGTGGTCACAGGTGTGGCTGGGGCTGCACAGCGCCCGCCGGCATCATGCCATTGACACGTGCGATCGGATTTCACTGAACTGCACTGAGGTATGCATGTACAGTACTGACCAAAGAAATCCAACCTCATGAATAGAATAGCGTTGCCGGGCGCTACGCAGCCCTAGCACTACACATACTGGCTTGTGTACTCGAACGCGGCGCTACTTTATTCATGAGGTTGGATTTCTCTGGCCAGCGCTGTAGATAGATAACCCAGGAAATCACAATGTACTGTACACCATGCGTGTATACATTGTGTGGTCTGACCCGGACGCTCGCACGGCACGAGCTTCTGGCTGATTCCCGCTGGCGTGCTTTGTGCGCTTTCAGTACCATCCAGGTACACCTGTTTGATCACACATCGCATTCTTGGGGCCAGCGGAATGACTGAAGCATGTCCGCAATGAACATTGTGCAGCGCAATCTCGGCCTTTTAGGTGCCAGTAAACCTACTGTTAAGTCCGTTAATAAGTACCTGCCCGAAATAAATACGCCCTTCATCCTTTTGACTTTGTCTGTTGAAGCCTGATAAACATACTGCCCGAAAGAAGTACTGGTACGGTTTTCACATGGAGCACGTAGCATATACATCTACATGAAGAATGACTTCTCCACTACACACGAGTCGGGTCCGAAAGTTAATTCGTGCTCGAAAGTCAGTACATGATGTACCTCCCCGAAAGTTAGTACGGGTATGACCACTATATACGAAAGTAAGTACATTGCACGGACTTATTTACGGTCTTTTACGGTATGTAGGGCTCTAGCACATGCCAGTTAGTAGTTACCATAATTATTGTGTAGCATGGCCATGCCCATTGCCTTTTGTTTATATATGTGCATGTAGAGCACGTTGTGTAAGTCATGACTCTATTGGTCTTATTTGAGTGACTGCTTCCTGAAATCTTCGAAAGCTTTCACGGGAACTGGATAAGGCGAACTTTCCATTAGTACGAATTAGGGCCAATCCTATGGTTGGCCAGGCATCATATCAAGTTAACGTTGTTCATTTACGACGAACTCCTGTAGGGCGAACTTTCGTGAAGACAAACTAATTTCAAGTGTGATTAGAACAAAATCAGCGCTTAGTATGAACTTTCAGTCCATTTGCTTGCGCTGGCTGTGGCTTTTTCCGATAGTCTAGGCCTCGGGTATGGGCGAACCGAATTGACAGCATGTTACAAGGCGGAGGACATGCTGTCATGAATTCATTACACATTGTACTTACCTGTTGCTGGCTTATGCTATGAATGCTCTACATGTGCCACAACATGCACCTTCACATACAAATAATCCATGTCAGGTATGCATATCAATTTTTGTCAGATCTGGGTAAGAAGAACTCCGAATAAGACAAACGAACTTGTTCGGTCCCTTGAAGTTCGTCCTAACGAGGTTTGACTGTACTTCGAAGTATGTTTCTGCAAAGCCTGTCTACCACATCCGTAGCGCTGGCCTTGCCTATCCTACACGTGAGAATGGTTTGGTATGCTTTCATTTTCATACGCACCTTCCACATGTGAATCATACGGAATTAAAAAGCATACAAGTGCGAGATACTCTCGATTCACAATTGATTGTCCCAGCATCATGGTTGACAACCTGTATAATGCAGACATTCGGTGCCAGTTCTGCCAACCGCCCCGTGTTTGTGCGTATTTTTTTACGGAAATGTGAAGCATGGTCTGCAGTACAGATCGAGCGTGAGAACTCGTGCAGAATGGAAACTTATGCAGCAGCATGGCATTTGAGAAATTTAAAACAGTGGTGGAATTATGTATAACATATATGCTGTAAGCTGCAGTACAACTAATCCGTTATCAATGTTTGTCGGCTAAACATAGGTGCATAGCACATGTTCAAGAGTATTCCAGGACAAGCTATAGTTCAGTTAACTTGAAAATACATATCAGCTGCATCTGTGGGCCTGAATATTCAGGCCACCTTATCGCATACGCAAATCTGTGAAAAATTCCGCAAAATGTCACTGGTCAGTATGCAAAGGACCAGACGTTGTTTGGTATCGGGGGCAGGACCCTTCTTTCTTTCCTTCTTTCTTTTTTTTCTTTTTGTCAAAGTTAGGAAGCAGGATAGAAGCGTCTTCAGTAATGTGATATTGGACTTTTTTGTTTCATGCCTATTTTGTGTAATTTGTTTCTGATGGTGATGTGCAGCCGGGGGGCCTGACCCTAGGCTAAACCTTTCGCTTGCGAAAGTGATGGAAAGTGGAGCTAAGATGAAAGTGGATAAATCTGTAATGGACAGAGCAATCAAGCGATGTGTGGAGGTAATTTCCCAATGTGTCTATCCTGCATACACGCACGCACACATGCACACACACACACACACACACACACACACACACACACACACACACACACACACACACACACACACACACACTACTACTACTACTACTACTATTGACAGCTGCCAGAAATTGGCCACGCCGCTCCCAAATGGGAGGTACTGTCAGAGAGGTTAGGGGGGGGGGGGGGGGGGAGGAAGGCAATGCTCCAAGTGGCGATCCAGATCTTGCCGCCTCCGGAACCGTCGGTTGTGGCAAACTTGGCAGTGAAACTTGAAATGCTGGCGTTCAGCCATAGTGGGGCGCTTTGGACAGGTTCCACAACGGTGACGCTTAAGACCCGCAGCCGATTTAAACAAACGCTGGCAGGTTGTGCAAGTTACACCCGGAACAACAAGAGGAGCAGGGGCCGGTGGCTGGTCGTCATCGCCTAGCTGACACTTATGCACCGCAAACACACACACACACACACTTGTACTTGTTGCTCACTGCCAAAACTGGTCACGTGGGTCTCCCCGGGAGAGGGGAGAGAGACTTAAAAGAAATCTTGGAAAGATGACTCAATTGGCTATTGAACCGCCCAATGGCCGACACCCCCTGAAATCCCCAAAACTCTGGGTGGACTTGAAAATGATCCCACTTATGGGCTCACCACACCTCAGTAAGTGGGTGAGGACAAGGTGCAGAAAAAGGATTGACGGCATCAGGGTATCCGTCCCGGGATCCAACTGCAGTTACCCCTGCCCCCAGTGAAGGTAATACTTGCTACTTAACTAGTGTGGGTGGCTAAATCAGAGTGGATCTGATACAAGCTTCACTAGCACCATGATTACACAAGAGTTAATCTAGCCAGAAGTAGTCCATGGTTAACAGGTATGTATACTTCAAATAGAAAGTATATGAACCCTGAAACCAACAAAGGTGGTAGGTACAACATTACACCTTCAAGCAGCCGAGCCCGTTGGCAATAGACCCAACACTATCCGGCATAAGTGGACCCACCAACCAAACTAGCTGGCACACACACACACACACACACACACACACGCACGCGCGACACACACACACCAATGGTGGATGGCAACAATGCTGCAACATGACAGCACATCTACACACACACACACACACACACACACACACACACACACACACACACACACACACACACACACACACACACACACACACACACACACACACACATACAATGTTGCTCTGTCTTCTTTTCTTTGCCCTATAGACGCCAGCGGTAGACTTACTAGTTGAAGGTCGCTCTCCGTTGGGATTTCAGCTTATTCTAGTTGTGCCATCTAGAGACCCGCCTGCCTCTTGTTACAAGCACTTAACAAGAAGCCTGAAAAACACATGGTACGGGATGATATGTCGTTTAATCAATAATTCAATATCCTATTGTTAGGCTGCGTTTACACAACGACCCACCGCCACTTTCCCGTTCTCGATCCGCAAAATATCTAGGGGCTCCCTTCTGCTTTCTTGCGTTTACACAGGACATGAATAATCCATGAAAGTAAGATGTGAGCCATGTTGTTGACCGATCACCTCACGCATCACGCATTCCCAGTAATATGTACTGTTCGTGACACCGTCACACAGGATAGCAGTATTTGCAACGCACGTTTGCACACCGCATTACCGTCTTTGCCTGAGTATACTACCGATGCTAACGGCCACCCCACCCTGTCCCCATTTTTACCCCCAGATCTGGACCATGCTATTTACATACACTCGTACATTTGGAACAATACTTTCATGTGCAGAGTGTGGCATGTGCTCTGGATCTTGAGCCTGAAATAGTGCATCCAAAGTGCGGGGCACTACTAGTATCAAGTGTTTGATCAGACAGTCCCTGCGACTCCCTGGGCCCCCCTCAGATCTGTACGGTATTATGACGCAAAGATCCGATTACGCTCTACCAAGACCCTATGCAGAGCTGGATCAGGCGTTGCGCACTCTGGAGGTTATGTACTCTTGCTAGTATTGTAAGACCAACTTGCATTAGTGAGTTTCTGCTACATGGTAAACCGTACCATAGTACGTATGGAAACCTCGTCGCGGTTCAAGATCAAGTTTCACACGGATTTTTTTCACACCGTTTTCCGTGCGAAGCACCCTTCACACGAACTGGTCTCCTTGTGAAAACTGAGCGCACAGAGTGCATGTGGCGGAAAGTTCGAGCATGCTACGCACAGCAGAAGCGGCGCAACTTGTAGAAAAATCCGTGTCAAACGTCACTACAGTTGACACGGAGTTTGGTACGTAGTTCCGTGTAGCAGAAACTCACTATTAACGAACATTAGCATTTAGCGATTCAACAAATTAAATTATTTAAATATTCGTTAATTTTTGAAGCTGTTATTTGCAAACATAATTTACATGTATAATATATGCATGCACATAAATGTAGTATGTACAGTCACTTGCTGGTTTTGACAGCCAGAAGTCGTCAACATTTTTGCATCGCTGACCAACGCAAATCCGGAGATCGTTTTTGAATGGCGTCAAAAGAATTGTGTGGTTTTTCAGTGTGCTCCGTCCAATGCGGTGGGATTGTGTTGCTCCTTTTGACTGCGTTTGCTGTATCCTAGTGTTATGTTACGATATGAAGTGTTTGGCGTGACACCAAAGTCACCTTTTGCAAATGTTGCCGCTGGCACTATCATCGGTATTATAGTCGTCGTAATTGCTCCTGTTGCTGTTGTTTCTCTTTGTTTGTGTTTAAATGAAGCGTTGAGATTACCCAGGGATCGGCACTCTACGCATTCAACAAGAAAAGTAAGTGGTGTGTAGGAACATTTCTGATTTGTTGAGTGAGGTCTGTAGACTTGTGCACCGTGCTGCTTCTGCTTTTGTTACATACATACTTCATATGCATAGCTGGGTACACGTACTGTCATTCAAGTGCCAATCTCTCTGTCTCCCGCATGCGAATATTGCCTTTAACAGTACATGTATGTGATTGTCACGTGACATGCTGCAACCATGGCAGTACCAGCGTGGTGTTATGCACATGAACACGTTTTTGACCGTTTTCCAGCTGTCCAATAAGGCAGGTGTGTGCTGCATACGCTTCAAGCATTACTCCATTTGAAAACCCAGAGTGTGCAGCTGTAAACTTTTTCTGTATTAGTCGGTCAAGGCGAAATTCCTGGATTGCATCATGCTTGATGCAGATAAGCGGCGTGAAGTGACATAGTGCTTACAACTGAGCTGCAGTTGTGCAAAAAGAGACCTGCTTGAATCCTGCTTGTACGTACTACATCACTAAATTGATGTGGTCCCGGCATTTCTCCGCGGCAGACGCCCAATGCAGACAGCAACCCCTCCGGGCTGTACACTCTGGGTTTCATGTACTCTTGATGAAACTGAACCATGTTGCTACTTGAGTACGTATCCACCTAGGATATTTACGTCTCCCCCCCCCCCCCCCCCTCAGAAAATTCAGTGTGTTGCCAAGATATGCACAGTCATACCGGTACAGCACATTGGCTGGGATGGTGTGTATGGGGGGGGGGGGGGGCATTGCACAGCTGCTGCAGGGCAGCGTTCAGGGCTGGCTGCTCCTGTGTGCTGAAGGTGTGCCATGCCAGTGTGATCAGGCATTCACTGCTTATACAGAAAAAATCAAAGTGAGTTCATACGTTTTCCATAGTAAAGTTCACTCATTCGTGTTACCACCGGCTATACAATGGTGTTTGGAAAACGCATCCGGCTAATAAATCCGCAATAGCTATTAGGAATATGAATATACTTTCAAAATTGGACAGATGCATGTAGAAATCAACGCACGAAACACCTTAGCAGTGCCAATGTTATCTCCGTCTCATTTGATCATCACCCATATGTACATCTAAATAATATAATTATTTTCTTTCAATGAGAGCTGCTTGTCAATCAGTGTAGTAGAGTATTGCACGTATTGAAAGGCGAAACCACTACTACAGCGGAGATTGGATATAACGACACTCCTTCGGGAGAGAACAAAATGTCACTATATTCGATCTGTCACTAAACCCGATCTTCACAAAGGACTTACTAAACAACTTGGGCAACAGAATTGTGTCGCTAAACTCAATCTGTCGTTATGTTCAAGGTCGTTATATCCGCTCTCCACTGTACTTGTTCTGTTACCTACTTAGCAATGCTCCCGTTCCTCTCAAGTTGACGAAATGCCAACTCCTTCATGATTTCACTGGAACCTCCGCCAATAGCTAGCACATTCATGTCACGGAAGATACGCTCTGTTTTGCATCCACGAATGTATGACGCACCTCCAAGAACATGAACAGCACCATCAACAACATCACGTAGTGTTGCACTGCTGTGGTTTTTCAGCATACAAATGCTGGCAACGTCCGTATGTCCCTGTGACATCTGTTCAGCCACTAGCGTCATCCAGGCACGGCAAGAGGTAAGTGCAGTGCGCATGTCGACCAGGCGGTGTTGAATAACAGAACGGCTTAGCAATGGTTGACCAAACGTGTAGCGTTGTCGTGCCCATGATTCAGCTTCTTCCAGGCACTCCTCTCCCAGGCATATTGCAGTGACGGCAATAACGAACCGTTCCAAGTTGAAGTTGTGCATTATCAATGGAAACCCTTGACCTTCCTCGCCAACAAGATTACTGCGAGGAACTCGGCAATCAGTAAATGTTAAATGTGACGTATCAGAAGGCCACCATCCAGTAGTGGGCAAGCGTGTTCGTTGTAAGCCTGGCGTATCGCCGTCTACGACTATCAGTGACACACCATTCTTGCCCTCACCACCCGTTCTGACCGCAACCGTTAAGAAATCAGCTCGAGTACCACCCGTGATGAATGTCTTTTCGCCGTTGATGATGTAATGATCGCCGTCAACATGAGCTTTTGTACGCAGATTTGCGACATCTGAACCACCAGATGGCTCGGTTACCCCTAGACATGCACGCTTCTCACCTCGCAGCACAGGTGGAATAACACGCTCTCGGAGCGCCTCCAGCTGGCCATCTCCTCTATCTGATGCGGCAAGCAGCGGAGGCACAGCTATGGTGTGGATTAGCAGACTCTCAATCAGACCCAGAGATCCAGCACGGCACAGCTCTTCCAGCAGTGCAACTTGCCATCTAGCATCCGAATCACCAATGCCACCGTATTCGTCTGGCAAGCCGATACCGTACAGACCAATCTCAGCGGCTTTCGTCTGAAGTGAGACCGGGTATTCACCAGCCTCTTCCCAGGCGTTGGCATAGGGCGTGATTTCTTTTTCAGTGAAACGACGAACAGATTCGCGAAACATTTTCAGCTCGACCGGTTCTTCACGATCGAACCGAGTGGCTATGGTCCTCTGCCATTGACATTGTCTCGTCAGTTCTGGCACGCGTCGGCCACCCTGCAAAAGCCGTAGCATTGTGAGTGGTGGATCTCGATCCGTTCATAGATTTCTTCAAGTAACTCAGTAACCCACCGATGAAAGCTCGAGCCGGCCTAGCTGCTAGCTGTCTTTCGGATATCGGTCCAGTTATTTTCGTCGAGTTTATACACAGTAGACTACTAGTACTGTCAGTGAATGATGTTAGTTCAGCATCTGATCTGACGTGCAGATCTAGATTTATCACTCCCTTTAATAGCCTTAGTATTCATGGTATTGACTCACATAGATTTTTGCCATACCTAAGCAGTCAAATATTCCTGCATATTTGACTCCTTTAGGGCTATATTGACCGCTTATTTGACTCCTTTTTAGCGATTGAACACATGCTTTGGTTAGTCGTGATAAATCTAATATTGACCTCGTACTCAGTCAATATTAGATACGTACTAGTACGCCAGTAAAGCTCAATGCTTGACAAGTTGTTGAGAACTCTACCGTTCGTCTACAAAAATGTAGTAGATGTCATTGTTGTCAATGTTGACATCTGCAGTGTTACTTGGTACACATGTTCCTGGCTACAGTAACAATAGTCAATAGACTCAATACACTACAGAACAAAAAAACGAAAGAAGACTATAGCTGTTATGTGTTTACATGAGAGGTTTCAACCCGCCTTTTACACAAAATGAATGGCGCATTTACATGACGAATTGCGCTTGACCCGGGTGGAAATTTCGCCCCGTGCCCAAGGGGAGCAATCAACTCGGGGCGAGAAATCGTACTTCTGTGCGTATCTCAGAATTCTGTGCGTATCTCGCGCCAGGTTTGAACAGCACTGCATATGCAAATTTCGCGCGAAAGGTTTCGCGTGACCATACAGGACTCTAGAAGTGGATTTTTGGCGGCATATCAGTATTTGACCCGGGTCAACTGTCTTCATGTAAACACCCACCTACTAGTATTTTTTCCATCGTACAGACTTTCAACCCAGGTTGAAAATTCTCATGTAAACACAGCCTAAAAAGGCTGGCATATCAATTTTTCAATTCTGATCCTGTGTGGTGGTATCTTTTTTATTTAGCAGTTCTAGACGTCTCGCACGATCACATGATCTGGTCACAATGATTGTGCCTGTCATTTTGTCAGTGCAGGAAGACACATGCTGCAATCATCATCATACATGTACGCGAACTGTTCGTAGAAAAAAACTGGAGACTTTTTCATACCGCGATGAACTCCATTCGACCGCAGCAGACAAAATTCACAGATACAAGTACATGTACGCACTTGTAAAAGGAGGATTTCTGCATCCGAAGACCTCTTACACTGTACTACAAACTGTCGAACCGAGATCATGTTTGAGTGAAAATCAACAAGGACAAATTATAGCAGATATCTACTGTTCTAGTACTACAGTGCAATGGCGTGTAATGAGTCTAATGACTCATCATGGATCATGAATCCCATGGGCCCTGCTTGGTCAATGCACTCTAAATGAACACAGAGCACGGCACTTAGAAGAAGTCACTTCAAGTAACTGAGACTACAATACAATAGAATGATTTCAACCTCTCAGTGATACTGTAATGCCCATTGTAGCGAGTGAGAAAACACAAGCATGCGTCATCAACGAATGGATTTTCAAAACATGGGATTGGTATACTAAAAATTAGGTCCGACACACTGCCTATTTATGGGGTGTGTAGATACTAGATATGTTATCAATCTCAGTAGCCTTTCCAAAAATGCCTCAGTATGTACCAACGGTGACAGGAGTAAATAAATAAAGTTCAAGAACGTTCACGTAAAGAAGATTTAAAAAAGAATTAAAATATTGATCACAGTATGCTCTGAACTGCAAGAAAATGGAAATTTTATGAATATTTTTTAGGTAGTGTCCCTATCACAAGGGTATACATCTCCTTACTTTGCAATCTGGCCACTTCTCTCAAGTTGACGGAATGCCAACTCCTTCATGATTTCACTGGAACCTCCACCAATAGCTAGCACATTCATGTCGCGGAAGATACGCTCTGTTTTGCATCCACGAATGTATGACGCACCTCCAAGAACATGAACAGCACCATCAACAACATCACGTAGTGTTGCACTGCTGTGGTTTTTCAGCATACAAATGCTGGCAACGTCCGTATGTCCCTGAGACATCTGTTCAGCCACTAGCGTCATCCAGGCACGGCAAGAGGTAATTGCAGTGCGCATGTCGACCAGGCGGTGTTGAATAACAGAACGGCTTAGCAATGGTTGACCAAACGTGTAGCGTTGTCGTGCCCATGATTCAGCTTCTTCTAGGCACACTTCTCCTAGACACACTGCAGCAACTGCTAAGTTAAACCGTTCCATGTTGAAGTTGTGCATTATCAATGGAAACCCTTGACCTTCCTCGCCAACAAGGTTATTGCGAGGAACTCGGCAATCAGTGAATGTTAAATGTGACGTATCAGAAGGCCACCATCCCGTAGTGGGTAAGCGTGTTCGTTGTAAGCCTGGCGTATCGCCGTCTACGACTACCAGCGACACACCATTCTCGCCCTCGCCACCCGTTCTGACCGCAACCGTTAAGAAATCAGCTCGAGTACCACCCGTGATGAATGTCTTTTCGCCGTTGATGACGTAATGGTCGCCGTCAACATGAGCTTTTGTACGCAGGTTTGCCACATCTGAGCCGCCAGATGGCTCGGTCACTGCCAGACATGCCCGCTTTTCACCGGACATGATCGGTGGGATGATTCGTTTTCGTAGTACCTCCAGTTGCCCGTCTCCTCTGTCTGCTGCAGCTAGTAGTGGTGGCAGTGCAATGAAATGTACCAAGAGACTTTCCAGCAAGCCCAATGAACCAGCACGACACATCTCCTCCAGCACAACAGTGTGCCATCTGACATCTAAGCCACCGACACCCCCATATTGCTCTGGCATGCCAATGCCCAGTACTCCTATTTCTGCTGCTCTACGTTGCAGTAATTTCGGACAAGCTCCTGCTTCTTCCCATTCGTTCACATTTGGCATTACTTCGTTGTCCACAAACTTACGGAGAGATTGTCGAAATATTTTGAGTTCTGCAGGTTCATCGCTCACATTAAAACTCGTTGCGACTGTCCTTTGCCACGTTCTCGATGTGTTTGCAAGTGCTCGACCAACCATTCGGAGTCGAAGCATAGTTGTTCCCTGAACCTGTAGTGTTTCTACTTATTTCTTTTCTCCTCACCTTCACTATCACCAAGAGTCCATGCTATCACTCTTGCTATCACCACATGTACTCTATGAATACTCCGTTGACAAGCAACAAACAAGCTAATAGCCTATAGTAGTCGTTTTCTGCATGTATAACTCGTAATGTCAACATCCAACAATCTCAACGTCGATTGCCGCAAGTTCTGATTCTGAAGTTCAGCGAGACATCCACAACGAAGTTCGTTGGAGGTTGGTTGGATTGCATGAAGCTTGAAAAAATGCCAAGATGCACCTACATGTACATGTTATACATGTACATGTACAGTCATTTGCTTGGCGAAAGTCGTCGTCATCTTCTTTCTTTTCACGATCAATGAAAATGCTCGTTTTTATTATTATATTTTCGGTCTTGGGATACGTCATATATTATCATACGATTACGACATCATCCTAGCTGGAGCTACACTACATACACTGCAGCATATATTATTATACTGTAAATAATACAAAATTTTGGCGCTGCAAAATTTCGGCACTTCACGATTTTTGACATTTCGGCGGCGATTTATTTTCGGCGTGGGGTAGACATGGTAGAGGGCATGGTATAGTGCGACAGATGCTGTGAAAAATTTCATCGGCGTTTTAATTAATTATTTAGGCGTTTTGGGTCGGTGCCGAATATAGCCGAAATTAAATAGCTGCCGAAAATTTGTATATTTACAGTATGCGCATGCAGGCCCGTGGTTCGTTCAGCTCACTGAATAGGGCTTGAAAGTGATGACGTCAAAAACGGCCAGGGAGTAGTAAGTTGACATCAGATTTCTATTTTGGATCCACTGAGGTGTGACTTTGCAATTGCCTCAGTATGTGGGTGCATAGCAACCCACTCATGTCGTATGCAGGGGTGACTTTTACTTCGCCACCAGTTGTAACCCCGCCCCCAGTAGCCAAATCAGTCAGTTTCACTGGCTACATCACCTTGCTGTGAGTAAGACGGCTTGAAATGTGCTTGGATCCATACAAAAACTGGATCCAAGTGGATCCAGTTTTTGAATTTTTGAAATTGTTGCTATGTTGTGACGTAGCACTTTCAAGCCCTATGAAGCTCACTCAGCTCAGTCTCGTGAGCTCAGTGAGTGGTGCGTCCCATGGGGTGAAACGATTACACTTTTTGACTACCAAAATAACCTATTACTGTAAGACATAATATATATATAACGAGGAAGCAAATCTAACGTTTTAGCTGATGGCATTTCTTCGTTATAATAAGATCCGGTCAGGCCGTACTGCTTCATATATGTTGTGTGTGGATATGCCGGAATACTGCAAGATCGTTAACATAATTATCTTCTCGTTAACCTATGAATTTTGGACAATCGTTAAATTTGCGACTCGTTATAATACCATGTCTTACAGCACCTTTATTGATCCGTTATCGGTTATTTTTCGATTATTTCTTCCACAGATAAAAGCAGTATTAGAAGCTGAAAAATGCGAAGATTCAGAATTTTAAAATTGATCCTGTGGAGAAGAGAATTTTTTCTCGCACATTGGTCGATCTACAATCATACGTGTATAATCATGTGTATGCATACCGGTAATCAAGTAATCGAAACTTTTCGAATAATCGATTCGCTAACTTGCAACGATTTCTATTTCGAGTATTCAGTATACAGTCAACTCTGCGTGTAACGGCACTCGGCGGGGCATCAGAAAAGCGTTGTTATTCGCGAAGTGTCCTTATACCCGAAGTCTCATTATGCATACAGGTAGATAGGACTTTGCTCTGGGCATGGAAATTCTGTCGTTATTCGCGAATTGTCATTATATCCGCAGTCGTTATTATTTTGACTGTAATCGTTTCACCCCTAGTAGTGACACATGCGTTCACAGTGCGTGAAACTCAGCATTGCAAAATATACTGAGCGGTCCATTGGTTAGTGACATGCACACCACTGTTTATGTGCATTATACCATTGCACATTGTACTTCCGTTTTTTGTACGGGCAAAATTATTGTCATAAATAAACCATTATAATTATGTCATGAAAATACAAAAGATGACCAAAATGATAAAGTAATAGTACATTGTACTTGTACTTCCGTAGAAGTTACGGTAGAACAAAGTATGATTCGCACAGCTCGTACCGAGACGCTTCTGACCAAGTGGTTATGGTCAGAAAGTCACCATTAAAACCTTGACTAATGACCAATGATTCGTCGTGTGAAACTTAGAGTTACATCAGAATCGTGGCAACCTCTCATCTCCTGTGCTTGCTCTACTATTCTATGAGGAATTGTTTGGTGTGTGTGTGTGTGGGGGGGGGGGGGGGTGTAGGTGTGTGTGTGTGTGTGTGTGTGTGTGTGTGCGCGCGCGCGCGCCCGTTCGTGTGTATGCGTGCGGGCGTGCCCACCTACTGCGGTATGGTGAGCCCGTAAGTGGGGTCCTATTTTCAAGTCCACCCATAGGTTGGAGATGTAGGGGTTGCCAGCCGCCAGGCGGTTCGATAGCCAATTGAGTCCTCTTTCGAAGATTTTTTCTAAATCCCGCTCCCCTCTACCAAAGGGGAGACCCACATGAACACTGGAAGTGTGTACGTACTCTATTCTGGTATTGCTTTCCTATTGCTCTACAGTGATCGATAGCTAAGTGTGCCGTACGTCCTGTGCATTGCTTTCCTGTGTTTCCTACAGGTTTGGTCGTGGTACCAAAGGTTGATGGTTTGCCCGATGTAAGTCACTTTTAGTCAGTGTTTGGGTTCTCTGTTGCCTGGAATATTTTTCTATCTGATTTTGTAATGTGTATGGCTGTTATCAGGAGCACATGGAAGCCGGAGTGTGCAGCTCCAGTAGACTGTCAAGGAAAAGGCTAGACAGTGTCACGAATCTCATTTCGATGTACTCGTGGCACGCACTATTGTCACCGTAATGCCTGTGCTCTCTCTCTCTCTCTCTCTCTCTCTCTCTCTCTCTCTCTCTCTCTCTCTCTCTCTCTCTCTCTCTCCATCTCTCTTTCGCAGCTCGATGATATGGCAATTGAATGCGGTGCAGAGGATTGGAGAGAAAGAACTGATCTTGAAGGCAATCCAGTGATTGAGGTGAGCCATGACACTTTGGATCACAATTTGCTGTTCAATCCCCCCCCCCCCCCACACACACACACACATACACATGCACATATCTACTTTATGTATTGCTTCGATGTGTTTGAAATTATACTGGCTTGATATTTTGACGGCTAAGGTCATCACTCCTGTCTAGCTGTACCTGATAGTCTAGCAAGTCTACTTTTTCCTACAATAGTGCTCATACAATGCATGTTGGGTACTACTGCATGTGTCCAGAGTCCAACTCGGGCATGGAACTGTGCATAGGTGGAGCCTTGTTGGTTTCCATTATCCTGCCTGTACTGGGTACGGTGCATTTTGTGCAAATGCGGGTAAAACATGCACTTGGGTTGTATCAGATGTACATATACACACGTTTTCCTCCACAGGAGCACATGCTAAAGTGCACTGTTGCTTTCAACTCAAGCCTACTTCACCCACAGAAGATACTGTTTTTGGAGATCCTTCGAAAGCCATAGCCTCGGGTGAAACATAATGTTCTTGCCTGGTTGCATATAAAGTTTCGCTTTTGCTGCACAACGTGTGTGTGTGTGTGGTCATGCCAGGCAGGAGTGCGTCGTCTTGTTCTGACATCTCATGGTTGTGTTTTGCCCTCTCTACCTGCTTGTTTTTTTTTTTTATCCCTCAGCTGATTTGCGGGGACAAAGAAGCACATCCAGTGAAGCTGGCACTGGATGAAATGAAGGTGGAGTACAATGGGGTGGAAGCAGCCTACCTACCTAAGAATGAGCCTGTTGAAATTGCCGAGAAGGATGAAGAGCAAGTGGAAGAGCTCTTTGAAGCGCTAGATAGCCATCCAAACATCCGTTCCTACTTCACCACCGTTGCTGGCCACAGCTAAGGAGGGCAACAACATGAGTGATGTGACGCACTAGTCACACAGTGACCGATTGCCATGTATCCTAGTGCGCGAAAGGCATAGACTATGTGTGCGTTGCTATTGGAAGCTATCGTGTTGTCGGCGTCCGGAGTGATACGCGCTGTTAGTTGGTATTGCTTGGTCCAGCTGTGGTGCAACTTGCCAGCAACATACACTGGCCCTATTTATGATAAAGAACATACACTGTATTTGAATGTTGCGGCAGTGACGTTGTGTCAGCACGAGTCTTCATTGCAACACCAATCCGTGCCCCGCTGTCAACTTAGTTTTGCTCTACTCGCAATCCCGCTCTTCAACTTATGATGCACTCCAGCCACCAGCAGTGAGACAGCCCACGGAGACAATGCCCACTCTCTCTCTCTCTCTCTCTCTCTCTCTCTCTCTCTCTCTCTCTCTCTCTCTCTCTCTCTCTCTCTCTCTCTCTCGCTCGCTCCCTCTGATGAGTGATGGTCTTGCCTGGTTGATAGTGCTCTGGTCATGGAGAATGCAGCAATGTTTTCCCTATCATATTTGTCAAATTTAGTTACTTTTGTAGATCCCTGGATGGTTTTTGACCAAAGAGTACCTCTTTGAGTAGTTTAAAACACAGCGGCGGACTTGTGTTTCTGATGGTGATGCTCTTGCATTGTCACAGTTGAGTGCAAGACTAAGAGTACTGCAGTTGGGTTCCGACTGTCTTCACCCCTTGGGGCAGGGATATATTGAGCTCTGAGTGAGGATTATGTTCGGACATGGGATCGAGCACATCAAATTCATGTCTTCTCATCACTTTTATCCAGAATGGGGACGCATTCTGGTGCAAAGCTGTGAAATGGATATGTGCACACTGTAAGAAAGAGCATTATGACTGTTTTAAAAGGTTCTGTGGGTTAGAAAAATAAGTGCTATCTACTTCACCTCAATCGAGCATTTCTACAAGTTGTAAGAGCCAATTGTTTGCACAGTTTGCGTTTGGATAACTTATTCCGCATTGTACTGTGCTGCTTGAAGACCATCAAGAGTACATGAATCCCAGAATGTGTGGCTTCGATGGATTGGTGTCAATTCCGGGATTACATCGTTTTAGTGATGTTGTGCGTACAAGCAGGATTCAAGCAGAACTCTTTCTGTAGTTGCTGCACAACTGTAGGTCAGTGGTACGTACTACGCCACCTCCCGCCGCTTATCTGCACCAACTATGATGTTATCTCGGAATTTCACCCTGACAGAGATGTAGACGCCTGTGTAGAACTAGTCATACCGGTAAGTATGACCGTAGCTGCACACTCTGGGTTTCAATGTGTGGACGTTGCTTGGTTGCCATATCAACACTGATGATAGTACCTCCTGTGGTCGTGCTTCAAAATACAGGTGTGTCGAGTGATCCAGGTGCTGCTACAATACTGCCATGCAACCGAGCAAGAGTAGGGAATGGATGAACAGGTCTACGCTATCATGCCCACATGGTTACAGTCCCTGTATTTCTCCGATCATGGCAGATTCTATCGTTGTGTAGCACCTATGCCACTCTCCTGCAGCTGTGAATACCCGCTGCACGCAGTGCAGTCTTGGCCATCTGCAACATGATTACATGCCTACTTGTTGCACAGCACACTACAAACGTATACTGTAACAGTAACACTAGCAAGATTTTAACACGGCCACCATGTTTAGTCAGACTCAGCAGCAAATCAACCACATTCACTCAGGCATGAACTTGAATACAAGCACACAAAAAACAGTGGCAAAACAATGCTGCCGGCATCATGTTCATTTGAGCTTTAGACCAATACAACTCCAAAAAAAACAGGGCGCAGCTCTATTTCTATAGGTAGAAACACGCGCTCTGCTAGGATCATACACAACCTTGCATGATGTATAATTCCTGCATGTAAGCATGGTATTCATCTACACAGTCATAATCTCATTGGTCGCACACAACGTACCGCAGCACATCAATCGTTTCACAGCACAGTGTATCGACAATGCAAGAGAGTTGGTAAACACTAAGACTAACAAATTTCATGGGCAGTAGCTGGACATGGCAAAGCAAAGTCATGGACTACATTTGAAGACAGTATATTTTTTACACGTGCTGAAAAACACACAGCATTCACACAGCTCACGTAAGGAGTAAAAGCAAATGAAGAGAAAAAATAATAAAAGAGCCGTGCTTGGAGTGGATGGTACAAAGTCTCGTTGCAACAATTCGTGAAGATCATCGTCTCCTTGAAGAGGATCCTCTCCTGTCATGTCGGTCGCGATCTCCGCCACGGTCGCCGCCACGGTCACCACCACGGTCACCACGATCACGGGGTGGGGTGCGTGCTCGCCGCCTTCGCTTTCCATACAGCCGTCGGCGGAGGTCTCTCGAGATGGGCTTCAAGTGCATGAAGTTGCAGAAGCCACCACGCGTGCACTCTCCCATCTCGTACTGCCGGCAACATGCTTCTCTGAAATCTGTCACAGGAGACAGCTCTGCCATGATTGGTCTCCCTTCGTACCAGCGATTATTCAGGCCCGTCACTGCTTTCTCCGCCGCCTCTTCATCCACAAACTGACAGTAGACATTCCCAACCAAATGATCACCAAGGTTATCGCACACATTCATCTCCTCTATCTCCCCATACTTCGTCTCTAATTCTGTGAAGACGTCCTCGAAGAAATTGTCAAAGTGCTCCTGGAGCTCATCTTCTGTCATATCTCCTTTAATGCCCTCCGGAAATTGGGTCGGATTAGCTGGATTCCGATACATTCCGACCAGGAGGATAGTCTGACTAAATGTTGGTTTGTTGTGAAGACGAGAGCATCTATCTCCATGGCGGCAGGCTCCAATTTTGTAATAAAATGAGCAGTTCACTTTGTCCTTCTCAGTTCCAAAGATGGAGGCAAGATATTCAGATCCCATCTTCCCAGTGGGTGGATACCTCTACAAATACACTGTACCAGAAGAAGAAGTGAGTCTGATGCAAGCTAAAAATAATGACAACAATTTTCAAAGCTGAAGCAATGTTCGAACGTAAGAAAAAAGAAAAAAAGCACTTTGCAAAAAAACACAAAAAACCATCACATCGTGCCCGTACCGTAACTACTTACTTGCATGCAAGCTTCTTGTTGTCAAGCACGTCGTCAAGCAGCCATTTTACGTACAAAGCAAAGATTGCAAGCAGGGAGTCGTAAAAGCCCGGGAGAGGACACGGCACACATTCCCAGAAAACATCTTTGCCTCGCGCTGCCGGGGAACGCTGCCAGGGAACGGTGTTGCGAGGCAAGGAAATTATTATTTTCGAAAATTGTGATGTCTTCTTGAAATACTAATTGGGACATTCTCCGATTTCTCTTAGAGCACGGAGACGATTGCTCCGTCGAGTCTTCTGATCTCTATTTTCATCCTCATCTTCCAGCTGCCTCACTCATTCTCTCTCAGTTTATCGAAGTTAATTTATTCTGAGGCGATGGAAATGCAAGACAAATCCCTAATTGTACTTCACTTTTATTTGAGTTGGGGTGAACGAAATGAGATTTGTGGAAAATGACGCCACTTCCCGTGTTAGCCGCTGGTCGTATCATACAGCCCATATTCCATTGCAGGTGATGGGCGAACGTTCGTGTTGAGATCCGCTGAGCTTCCTCGTACTCGTGGAGTTGAATTTGCGGCAGAAATTGCACTGAATTGCAGTCAAATGGTTGTGAATGAAACGAGATTTGTGGAAAATGACGCCACTTCCCGTGTTAACCACTGGTCGTATCATACAGCCCATATTCCATTGCAGGTGATGGGCGAAAGTTCTTGTGGAGATCCGCTGAGCTTCCTCGGCGTACTCGTGGATTTATGAATTTGTGTCAGAAATTGCAGTCGAGTGGACTTCTGTGCGTGTGTTGTGAGTAAATCGCGACGGCTCCCTTCCTTCAGCATCGTCAAAACGCAACATAGAGCATTATTACGCACTCGTTCCATGATTCATGATAATGCCTGGATTCTTTTAAAAACAGTCAATGTGTGTTCCCTATCTATCTACATTGTACATGGTTGCAGGTCGTTATTTATAAATCTTGATAATTTCAACACTTTTCTACTCGTATACTGAGTACGCGGTGACTTGAGCCGTTTAGGAAACGGAAGTCTTGGCGAGTGTACAAAAGGTAAACCTATCATTTGTACTTCATAACGGAATTGTGCACAAAAATGCACACACACGTTCGCGCGCACACACACACAAGCACACACACAAACACTGTACAAACACACACAAAAGTACAAGCACATGTGCACATACACACGCCTCCCCCCCCCCCCCCCCCCCACACACACACACTCAACTCCCCACCCCTGTACTGAGTCTGACAGACATACAATCATGTTTATCCTTCCTTCGCCACCAGTTTCGGATAATGGTGTCAACAACGAGTTGTAAAATATTGGTATTTTAGGACTCCCTGCCCTGAAGACAAGCACAGCGCCGTGGATCGAGCAGATCCGGCCGCGCCGGCCTAGCGTGCTTCACTTTCTGGCCGAGGCAAACATCGTCCGCGTGCGCGCATCCCGTGTCCTCTCCCGGGCTTTTACGACTCCCTGATTGCAAGCATACGACGTAACGACGTGTACGTGTACGTTCACCAGGAAGGCAGTAAAGTCATGTAGAGCTAGCTAAAGAGGTACAAGATGAATTTTTTTTTTTCACATGATAAAGCCTCTTGTACGGGCAAAAGCAACACAATGATGAGAAACCAGGGTATGATAGGAAGATAATATTAAAAATAGTACACAGGTGTGGAAAATATGGTACAAGATGAATGCACGTCTTTGTTTTGCTTTTACATAATAAATCACTGTTTGTCAAGGATTCTAAAAAAAGATGGGGCACATTCTCAGTGGGGAATGTACTAGTAAAATGATAATGGACATGTACGTACATGAAAAATTGATCATGTTTACGAGATAGAAACAACAAACTCAAATTTTCTATGCAGAGCTGGAAAAAAATTAAAAACGACAAACTACACGTAAACGTACACCATGCATGAAATGGCATGATCCACCATGCCAATTACAATGGAAATGCACAACAGTCAGATCATGCTACAGCTAGCTAGCTGTACAACTACAAGTACAAGTACAGTACAGTCATCTGTAATGTTATACACACGCGTACACGACGTACACGTACACGTGCTTTCGCACGTGTCTATTTTTAGATTGGTCACGCGCAGGCTAGCTGGGGCCGAGGCCGAGGGCGCCCGATTCGAATCTTGTCCATCGATCATGCAGAGCTTCTGAACTCTGCAGCAGGGAGTATGGCCTGCTCTGAAGCCTTGTAGAAGATTTGTACAGCACAAGAGGACACAGTTCTCGTACAACTAATTATTTGCTTCTTTCATTTACTGTACTTGTGGAGACAGGGCTGCTTGTTGTGATCACTGAAGTTATTGTTTTCGGCCCCGGACACGTAGAAGGTTGTTCAGTCTCTACGCGACAACCAATTTCGTCATTTTCCATCGCCTCATTTTGGCGACGTTGCTCACTGAGTAACTGCAGACATGCACAATGATCGTTGTGATTGTGTCCTCTGGTGACATATACCCTGGCTCTGGAGAGGGAGAGAAAGACAGTGTAGCTTAGCTGAGTGTTGGCGAGAACCCAAGCGTTGCTTTTTGCTCACTGTGGACCATGGAGGAAACCCAGCAGCTGGTGTCATACCCTGACGATATGAAAGATGCCATTTGTCAAGTTGTCCGGAAAGATCTAGAAAAACTCAATATCCCGTTCAACGTTCTAAATCGTATGGAAACAACTACTTCGAAAAAGAAGGCGATCAAGGTACGTGCGGCTTACAGCATTCTATGATCAGTTTGTGTATCATTTTTCACATTGCCATACGGTTCGTAGAATTATTATCTTCAGATTCCCGCACCAATCCGGAAAAAAAGGGATCCTCTTTGAAGCAAGAGTACTCTCGCTTTGATGTGTATGTGACTTTACTCAGCAGTCGTAGCTTATTGTGAAGCAAATCACTTCATGTTAAAAAGAGGAGCTGCTTTGCACACATCACATGACAGCGTGCTGGCAGTATCACACTGTACAGGTTTTGTCACACAACTCTGCACTAGCACATACAACAGGGATGATTTTACTGTCATGCTTTTACATAGCAGTTTTTGCTATGCAAAATCTCAATTGTGGTGTAAGCTACAAAAAGCATGGATAGCCTGTACATGTATGTATCGCAGTTTTCTGCGTGTCACTGTGATTTGAGTAGCAGTAGATCGATTTTGCGTAGCAAACTGCGATGCGATACAGGATAAATTCATCCCTGCAACAAGTAATGATGTAGTTCAGTTCAAGGTGTTACCAAGAGTACATAAACCAGAGTGTGCAACTCGGGATGGTTCCTGTGGGAGCGTAATTCGTGCAGTACATCATTTCTGACGGCATGGTAAGCCAGAGGTACGGTGAAAAGTTGCGTAACCAATCGCGGTGGTGCAGGTCACTGAGTTTGTCCTGATTTCGGTTTTTGAAACGGATAGCCTGGTGACTTTACTTGTCGGTGTATGTACGCAGCGTACACAGTCACACAAAACACCGAAATCCTGAAACAGGACGTCTAAAATCAAGCAAACTTGGCTGATTTCCGGGCTATGAAACATGACAAATTGAGCTGTACGCAAGTCGCGGCTTGGCTGACCTCATCAGGGTGACGTAGTGCACGAACTGCGCTGTTTCAGATCTGATATGCACAGTTGCACACTCTGGTGTATGTACTCTTGGTGTTACCAGTATGTGATTACTAGTAATGCATTTATTTATTTTTAAAACCCACTTGTAATGGGAATACCTTTGCAGCCTGATGCGTTGACATGTCTGCACATGTCTGCACATGACAGTATCTACCGGTATCCATGTGTTGCAACATGTCTGAGCATCAAGTCATGTGCTGCACGTGACGAAGTTGCATGATTGCAACTACAATGTAGTCTTGGCAGAAATGGGTACTAGGGACGGTACTAATACTCATAAAAAGGACACACTTCAGGCTCATTACGAACATCTTGAAAGTTTTTGTCTTCACAAGTATACTTTACATTCACCAATAAGACGCGAGAAACGAATATAGTCACATGGGCTAAGAAACCCACGGACACGGGATATAACAGAATGGTAGGGATGGTACATGTACCGTAAAGTCGCGGATAAAAGCCGGGCTTATAAGCACATAAGCCGCTTTCTGCATCAGGCTTTAATGCAAACGAGGCTTGTATGCAAACCATGCTTATATGCACCACTGATATTTTTTGCCAGGCTTGTATGCACGCTTCTACGCGCGACACGCGTAGATCTACCACTGACTACCGGTATGGCGGCAGTTTTACTATGCACCGTACATAGCGCATGCACTCTTGACTTACCCGATCCGCGCTTGCATAGAAGCCAGGCTTCTACGCGCGACAGGCTTTATGCATTTGGCCCGTTTGATTTTCAGGCTTCTATCCGCGATGTGCTTGTATGCAAACCCGGCTTTTATCCGCGACTTTTCGGTATGTATAGCGGTGTCATGCATTAAAAAAAAAGTAGTCCTGCACACCCTTACGTGATCCAGGGTGAGTGGTAAGAGGAGCGCGTCTACATTTGCGCTGAAACCGTGCCCCCGGAAAGTCAGTCGCTGTTCTGACCAGATGGACTTGTAACTTTGTGCTCGAACATTTCTGTCGTGAGCACTGCATGGCAGCTTGGTTTGATATTTGCGAAAGGAAGGAAATTGCTCAGTTATGGTGTGGTGGTTGATGAAACATCTGTACAGGGCCGAATGCTGCTGCTCACCCCGTAGTCACATAGGAAGGAAATAGAGTCTACAAAAGAAACGACAGGTCTCTCCATTCTCTTCACATACATGTGCTTCCTTGCTGCTTGATACGGTCGTGTGCAGTCACCCGGGACTTACATACTTCTTGTATCCCGTTTCCATCTCAAACTGTTCATAGACTGTAGTACATGTACAAGAAAATAAGAATGGCCTAGGCTAGGAAGCTGACCCCACCCCCCAGTTCTTCGGCGGCTGACACTACTGCATAAAGCTTTTCCTGTGTATCCTACTTGTGCTAGCAGGTGGAGAAGAGCAGGTCACCAGCTCCAACTCTCCAGGGTGGCTGTTGCTTTAGTGATCGATTGGATAATGTTTCACACAAGGAACTAGTCGAAATCGCTCCTAATTGCTGTGCACTTGTACCCAGGTACGTGGCTTGTATCAGTTTAAAAATTTTTTTGAACAGTTCTTTGTTGATCACTGAAGTGCCTTTGTCATTTGAGATGTGTGTCCTGTACTAGACCCTGCATTGCCGTATCATGTGCCTAGCTGTATACACACACACACACACACACACACACACACACACACACACACACACACACACACACACACACACACACACACACACACACACACACACACACGCATACCTCAGACCTCAGACCTGCCCATCGCGGAAGCGATGATAGCGAACAGCTCAGCTATGTTAGACATAGCAACTTGTGCTGGGATTACACCATTCACACACACACACACACACACACACACACACACACACACACACACACACACACACACACACACACACACACACACACACACACACACACACACACACACACACACACACACACACACACACACACACACACACACACACACACACACACACACACACACACACACACACACACACACACACACACACACACACACACACACACACACACACACACACACACACACACACACTGTGCTCTTCACGGTCTGAGGTCTGAGCTCTTCATGTGTCCTTCGAAGGTTTCTTATATGAAGTGTTTTCGTGACTTTTGGTACTTTGATTGTGTGTTGTGTGCCTTGTGTGTGTGTGAGGGGTGGTGGGGGGCTGGTGCTTCTTCTATTGTAGTCCATGTAAGTCCAGGTTACTCATTTAGAATATTGTGTATTTCATGTTGTCATGTTGTTGTTCAGGGTACTGGTCCACATGATTGCCTTTCTGGATAATCACCGTGAAGCCGAAGGTATCTTCAGAATATCGGGAACTAATCGTCGTCTGAAGTTGCTTCGGGTACGTCACGCCGGCTTGTCAATACTATGTGTCGGTGCTCGTGCTGGTGTTTTGTTGAATTGTGCCATTGCTATATTGTGTGTGTGTGTGTGTGTGCTGGGCAGCTAAGCTGAGAACTGCTTTGTGGTCTTGTGTTAGTTGTAAGTTGTCAGACATGCTGTGTGTTGTTTTGTCTTCTCATGTTAGTTGAAATTATCACCCTCGTAGAAAAGGAGCGTTTGCCCTGCTCCCATTCCCTACAATGTGTGCTCCTAGTGGATGTGTACTCACCCTGCTCTGCTGTTCCTTCCTGTGCGCTTGTTCAGAACTCCATCTGTCAACAGCGCATTGTTGAGGACCCCTCACATCCTGTCAACCCGCACGATGTAGCGTGCCTGTTGAAGCACTTCTTTCGCGATATTCCTGGTTTACTGCTGACCAGGGAATGCCTCAACGATATGATGACAGCAGCTGGCAGGTGCGTGTTTTTTCGCTGTTTCGTGTTGTCTTGGTCTGGTCTTGGTCCTGACAACAAATACAGTGTAGAACGCTTGCTTCTACTGTCTCTACAGTCCATTCACAAAAAGATTGGCTCTGGCGAGCTCCCGTACTTGGCGATTTTTCAAGATTTTATCGTACACAGTGCAGTGCTGCGAAATTTGAAATTTGAAAAAGGGTCCAAAAAGGGTACCTGAACTGGAGTTCGAACCGCACAATGCACTGTTGCAGGCAGTTTCAAATGGCCTGGATTTTGATGGTGGTTTTTCCCAATTCAGTGCTCTTGGGGCAAAACCTGGCCGAAATCCTATTCCTCCTACGGCTTGCTTTTTGGAGAAAAATACTTCAGAAACATAATTGGAAGAGGATTCCAAAGGGGATTGCAGAAAAAAATTCTAGAAAAACTCAATGTTTGACCCATTTATGGCCAAAAGCTAGAAGCCCCTCTTTTTCTGAATGGACTGTAGTGCCGCCCCTTTTGTTTTGGTAGGGTTACAAGTTACAAGTGCCGGCATGAAGTCTACAGTGACACCATGTATCACGCTTTCCACCTGCCGTCTAACTTTATATGCACACAGTGCTGTAGGGTGTGTGTCTGTGTGTGCTGGTATCAGGGATACCTGTACTTGTTGCGATGCTGGTGACAGTTGCCAATGTGTTATGACGGACAATTGGCTATGTGCTTAACCACCTGATGTAGTACCAGTTCATTCTGCCGGGCGCTGAAAAACGAACAGACTAGAATGTCACCAAGCACAGCGTACCGATTATATACGCGGTCACTCCGCTTTGCATACAATCATAAAAGTAAGAAAGACCAAGGCTACGAGGCTGACCCCCCCCCCCCCCCGTTCTTCAGCACCCGGCAGTACATGTACTGTATTTCACCAAT